GAAGATTATTTCCAGTGCTTTACAAGTGAGCGCACTTTTAAAATGTCAAGAATTGCATTGCGATGTTGAAAAAGTAACCAATGCGTTGGCCGTAGTGCTGCACACGCAAGGCCACATTATGTGCTGCTAAGAAGGTTCATTGTCCGAAACGTCAACTATTATATGATACAATTTTTTAAGGCCGCACACAGTGTTATTGATAAATGTGTAGAATAGTTTTTGTTTATATATTAAAATACGGTAAGATGTGTGACCGCCTATAGAAAATTACAGTGAGACTGAGAGAGGGTGGGTGGTTAATTGGTCACGCCGGATATGTGGCGGTCGGATATGCGATGTTGCACTGTCCTACAACAATCACGACGATCTTGTTAAAAAGCTGCTAAATCAAAAATAACGCAACACAATGGACAATGTAAACGTTGGAAGGATTTTATAACAATGGAAATGAAAAATGAGCAACCACTTGAAACGTGTTGCTATTGGAGAGCAAACAAGGCTTTCATACTTTTACCCAGGACCAAAGTTTCTGCTGATGTTCAACTCGCGCAGCTGTTTCATTCAAACTCAAGAGGACGTGAATTTATATAAACAAAATTAAGCGCAATTTTAACCAGATCCGCAATATGCAAAATATAATGTAATAAATCAATACAGTTCGTGCATGATGGCTTGCAGATCTCCGTGCCCAAGGCGCAGCAGTACGAGCACGCCGAACGGTAATTATCAGACTTTGTATACTTTAGACCTTCTGGGCACGCTCCCCTTCGCTGCACATTTTTCCCGGTTTAATCAACGAGGTCACTTTTTTTTCTGGAATTTATTTCCCCCAACCTCCCCCGACCTCCATCCAGCCACAAATGTTTGACCCGTCCGAGAAAAAAGCGCACGCGTCAGCCGTCGGTTGTTCTCCGTGGTCAGATATTTTCGCCGGCTTTGGATCTGACCAGCGTGTGCGTTCAAATCCTGGGCAGCTTCGTCCAGGATTTGTTGTCCTCTAGGGAAACTCCCATCGTGGGTAAGTGGCATTTACACAATCGACTCGGGCCCTCGATGTGTGATATTGCAAGGCGCGTTTGTTGTTTGGCTTAACAAATAAAATTTTTCCACAATAAAAAAAAGTTTGGTGTTTTGTTTTTAATGCCACCGTTAAACGCGTGATAAGTTACCTTACGATTGTCATCGGTTTAAAAAAAAATTTTTACAAATTATATTCGAGGAAGATCGATTTGAATTGCTTGATAACTCCACTCAATTCAAATGGATATCACATAATTCGCCGTTGCCGTCCGGGTAAATAAATTGGCAGCCACTTGAAGTGGTACCCACAAGTAGAACATCTGGTCTGGGTTTTGACCCCGTGAATACGGTGGTCCGAGCCAGCCACCGCCCGCCCACGTGACCACGGCACCGTGCACCATGGTCTCGTGCCAGGCGGTGTTGGCGCACGCCTGGCATCCAGCAGCCGTGGAGGCTAGGGTTGGTGGGACAGATAAAGGTGGTACAGAAAATGTGGACTCCACCTGTTTAATCTGTTGCCATCAGTTCCACCTGTCCCATCAGTTCCACCTGTCCCATCAGTTCCACCTGTCCAATCAGTTCCCCCTGTCCCATCAGTTCCACCTGCCCCATCAGTTCCACCTGTCCCATCAGTTCCACCTGTCCTATCTGTTCCACCTGTATAGAATAACAATGATTTCCCCCTTCGCACGAGGGGTTTGTCTCTAGTGTGGTCTTGGGATTGTTTTGCTACCTTGCCAAAGTTTGCCTTTGGTCTTGCCAAAACTGCAGCAATGTATGTAGGAGTGCAATTTGTGCTTCCATAGTTTATTAATATATTTTTTTATATTTACATGAGTGACTCGCTTAACTTTTCTCTATCTTCGTCTTTTATCCGTCATGTATTCTTGTTGTGACTTGCTGACCCGCCCAAACTGAACATCTGTGGAAAAGAGCTTCAAAGCTCATCAGATTCCTCCGGGATAAATAAAGAGTCTTATTTTGATACGTAAGCACATATTAGTTGGCCCATACCACAGTTGAAATAAAAAAAAATATTATCCCATGTGTACAAATTACCCGTAAATGTATCACAACTGTGGCCAGGGAATTTGACTTCCAATCGGCAGATGTGACTCAGCCCATCATTCCTCCATTGTCAATATAATTAGTACAACTATATGGGCACCAATATGTTTGATGTGCTGATTGCCCCCACCATAGGAATGTGGAAATTCCAATCACTGACTCAGAGCTATTGTGTGTATATATGCCTTTTCCATTTTTGATATTATATTATCTATTTTGAATGTCACAGTTCTCTATGCGTGGGTTCAACAGCTAACAACATAGATACCTGCTACCCATATGCTTATATTGACAAGAAGACACTTCCGTTTTGCACTTAGTATACTATGAATGCGTTTTAAGCGTTACTCGTGATTTGTAAACCATTTATTAATCCACTGCATGATTAAGAATCTCCCCCCCCCACACACTATCGGCCATGGGGGTGTTTTGACCATACTTCACCACACTGCTCTGTGGTGGTTGTTTAAGGGGAGGTCACAGGACCAGTTCAGACACCAATAGCCACTGGCATCACAGCCAGTCCTGGCCGGGAATGGACTGTGGTCTCAAGGCTCATCGCACGGGCGCTAACCACTCTGCAATGTCTGCCCCATTTTATACATTTACATTACGAAATAAAATATAGACTGATAATATCTCATTAAAAGCGAGAAACATGATTGTTCTCAACGTGACATTTCGTCCGCTTCAAGGATACAGAATGTGATTGGAAGCCCTTTTGTAGTAAAATATGTTTTCGGAAGTTGCTAACGCAACGCTTCTGGTGAAGTTGACCACGAAATTGCGACTAGAATCTTCGCAATGCGAGCACAGCATGCAAAAACCAATCATCCCACTTGACGCAAACACTATCTGCAACTTTGCTGCAGCAGTATACGTGGGTGTGTACTGCGTTTTCATGATTGTTGCCTAGCACATTTTTTTGAATGGCATCATTGATAACTGAACGCGCGTGTGTTCCCGTAAATAAATACACACGGGTGCAACGGCTCTATCGGCAAATGGCAAATGACGATGACATGGCGATAATTACGCACGCGTGCATTTAAGAAAAGCAATTCAAACTGGTAGGAACCTCCTGGTTACACCAGCCCACAGGGGATTATTGTGTCCGTCCGTCCGTCGCATCCAAAAATGGGAGGGGTGAGGCTGGGTGGAGAGGAGAGGGTGGGGAGGGTGGGGAGGGGCTGGGTGGAGAGGGTGGGGAGGGGCTGGGTGGGGAGGGGAGGGTGGGGAGGGGCTGGGTGGGGAGGGTGGGGCTGGGTGGGTGGTGAGTGGGGTGGTGAGTGGCTGGTCACCCCGTGGTGCCCTTATAAAACTCAACGTCTAACCTACAAACGCCGGCTTGTGCCCGCCCTCACAGTCGGCCATATTTGCGGAATACACCACGCCGCCGTTGACCCTGGCCATTGACCGAGCAACCCAACGTTCCTACCAGCTCCTTGCGCAGCAATGTGTTTATAGGCTGCACGTAAAGGTATATAATGTATCATCCAATGGCAATATTCCCGTCAACGGTGGAAGGAATTGCAAAAGCTGCACGAACTCTCGCTCCCGAAACCTCTCGCGTCATGGGAGAATCGCCGCACGCGAGCACGAACAGTTTGTTAGAGGCTACACGAGGGATCTTTGTTTTCGTTTTATCAACCGAGGTCAAACTGTTTAAAACTATTTCTTTAATAGCCTTCATACCTACATTATAGACATTCAAGCGTTATAATGATGCACATCGTCAGGCAATGATATGAGGAATTACGTTGTGTTATACAAATATACATACAGTGTATATACTTGCATTCAGGAAAAACATATATAATATGCAAATGTTAATATGGTTTCAATACGCGTTACTTACATTTGTTAAGAAAAAAAAAACGTACCAATGATAGCATGTCAAGAGACAAACTCGCATTAAAAAATAAAATGTATAATGCAAAGGATTATAAATTTCGATTTAAAGCTTTCGTGACTGCAGGGATTCATCTTCTTGGTTCTTTCGGTAAAGTTACGTAGAATGGAAATAATAAAATAATAAAAATAAAACATAATAAAATAATTCTCACGACGTTTCGGCCACAACGCAAGCAGCCGTCCTCAGGTGAAGAACAGGTATGTCGAGAAGACAGAGTCTGAATGACACACCCCAGTCTTGGAGCGTCTATTTAAGCTGGGAGGGAGGAGGAAGAGCGCCTTCATATGCAAATTCTTTTGTCAAGGCGCTCTTCCTCCTCCCTCCCAGCTTAAATAGACGCTCCAAGACTGGGGTGTGTCATTCAGACTCTGAGGACGGCTGCTTGCGTTGTGGCCGAAAACGTCGTGAGAATTATTTTATTATGTTTTATTTTTATTATTTTATTATTTCCATTCTACGTGACTTTATCGAAAGAACCAAGAAGGCAAAGGATTATAATTTAAAGACGTGCGATTTTATAGCAATCCCTGGGTTGATGTATTCCAAGGGGGCTGCAGGAATGGTGTGTGTGTTGACAAAGCCGAACGAATACGTTGTCATAAAGTGGCGCTCGTCACAAAGTGCTCGCCGCCAGTAAACCACACAACACCTTGCTGATCTCTTTCTAGATTTTATATAATATTATTATATTATTTTATTTTACTTTATTAATTTAAATTTTTTACCTACGTGACTTTACCGAAAAAACCTAAGAATGTAACTTGCTGATCGCGTCAAGAGGCATGAACCACCATCACGCCAACTCCGCTCAGCCTCTCGGCAGGCGCCTTGTGGCTCAGACATCGGACAAAGACGGTCAGCAGCATCATCGCACGGCGCTTTCAGATGCACTTCTGCGGCCGTCTGGAACGCTCTTCCTTCCGATATTAGGAAGCCATCGGAACGATGCATTTTTAAATCATCTCGATTGAAAACTGTGTTTAGTTTGTTGTCCGATAAGCGCGGTTGGCGACGTACGGTGCCAAAGAAGTCCAACACACAGACCTGCATAGCAACCATGGGTGGAGAACAATCCTCCCCCTGTCGATGCGATGAACTGCCACGATTCAGGGTCACGATTACGCTTAAGAATCGATTAGTTTTGTGACGTAATGAATGGTAGCGCACCACGTGTGGCTGGAGCGTACAACCAATCACAATCCTCTCTTCAAACACGCACAATTCTACGGATGTATTCGCGATGCTAAGAATCGTTATTGATAGATTACTTCCATGCGAATTATATATTTCCTTCATTGTCATGTTCCGGGTTTTAGCTTTTGCCATTTTGGCAACCCAGGTCACTTATTTACAAATGAAGACGACGCTGCTCCATCTCTTGGCTTTCTCAGCTGGTCACACAAAATAATCTGTACGTCATTCAGTGTGAGTAGTCACAATCACAAACAGCCTATTGGCTCCAGTAGCTGCCACGACATTAATACCACTTGCACGGATACACATGCCCACTGTGTCCGTGCGTGTACAATGCGCACACACACACAGGAGGAGGACTTAAATGCAACCATTGCTTTGGTGTGAAGGCAGAGGCTCCATCATTGGCCTGGTTGTCCCAGCTTGGGCACCTCACTCTCGGGCTCCACCGGGCTGAACTTTATGTCCTGGGTGAAGTCCACCTCTTTGCTCGATACCACGGGGGCTCCAGCCCATCTCTGAACGGCACAATCCCAACAGCGTGCAAGCGGCACACGAGTGGCAACAGCGACGTTGGTATCAGGCGTGCAGGCGGTGCAGCTGCACCGGCTGCAAGCTGCCCAGAGTTTCGAGGAAATTGAACAGCGGGGCCCCATTTCATTTCCTTTTTTTTCCGACACATTTTTCTCGTGTTTTTTTATTTTACCGGGTAAGACTCACTGAGCTACGCAGCTCTTATTCATAAGCGGCCTGGTCATCACAAATGATATCTCAACCAAGTGGCTTATCATCGTGTGGAAATGTATTGCAGCCAAATACCCTAAACGCGTGATGTTGATGCGAGATGTGGAGGGAAAAACCGGAGGACCCGGATAAAAATCCAAGAACATGCAAACTCTAAATATACAGGCGTCAGGGTCGGGAACGAACCACGACCTCCTGTACACCGGGCGAGGTAGTTAACATCTCTCCACTGTGGCGGCTCCGGTTTGCACCGGGGCACATGCTAAACCAATAATTTAAATACTGACGCTGGAATTTATCCAAATTAAATGCAGACTCAAATTGAATGTGATAAATGTTGTTTGTGCGGTTATTGGCAAGCAGGCTACGACCAACAACTCTCTACACCTGAGAAACAGGCTTAATCACAGGAGGCTGCCTGGATTCAAACCCAGGTTCTCAGTTGTGTCAGCTCAGCCCTCTGACCTCTCAACCACCTAGCCACCTCACCACAACTTGAAGCTTACAAAGGCAATGACAGAGTATAGATGTGTCACAATGTGAATTGAATTGTATTTTCATTACCTCAAAGTTTCCTTGGTGCTTTGTGTAAAGTTCCTCGAATATTACGGACGGATCTGATACTTTAGGCCACAACACAGACTTACACCTGAGGAAAGTTTGGAGAAAACAGAGAAAAAAGCATTGGCCTTTTCAATGCACAACACAAGGATTACAATTGCTGATCAGATGTGGGAGCATGTTTCACAAGGACGATGTCCCAATGTTTAGAAATCAAGCAAAATATATTTGGTGGGCACATATTCTCCCAGCAGCGCTTCACACTGCTGGCTGTCACGTTGCTTAGATCATTGACACGCAAAAGGAAATACGTGCGTTCAACTCCCGGTTGGGGGCTGGTAACCCACACATTCATCTTCTTGGTTCTTTCGGTAAAGTCACGTAGAAGGGAAGTAATAAAATAATACCTGAAGACGGCTGCTTGCGTTGTAGCCGAAACATCGTGAGAATTATTTTATTTTATTGTTTTATTTTTATTATTTTATTACTTCCCTTCTACGTGACTTTACCGAAAGAACCAAGAAGATGAATCCCTGCAGTCACGAAAGCTTTAAATCGAAACCCACACATTGTTATAGAAACATGTAATTTTCACAAGGGCTGTAAATTCAAGATGGGCATCGCTCCACACGTGCGTGAATGGAAACTATTCTGTTTTTTTTACTGCTGATAACAATTAGAGGTAGGTGGGTGGATGGTGGCGTGGTGGTTAAGCACCATACCACACTACACTATGAACTCAGGCACCCGAGTTTGATTCCTGACCATGGCTATCTCCCATGACCAAAAGGGATGGAGGGAGGCCCTATTCCAGCACCTCCTCTATGGCGTTTAGATGAATTACATTATTAGTGCATGTATCATAGAGCTTAAGGATTGATATTAATCAAGGAATCGATGCCTCGGTATACATGCCTGCCAAGAAATAATTGTGTTGCTTTTCAAATCCTCACCTTCTCCCAACAACAAGGATCAGTATCACCAGTCCGAGCAGAAGCAGCATTAGTCCCATAAACAGAGCCAGCCACGTGATCCATGCATCTGCTTCCTGGCCAGTCGCTGGCATCGGGTCACGGGGTTCTGCAATCACATTCCACGATGGACACGTGCAAAAGTTCAGGTGACGGCGCCTTGTTAGGTTAACACTCCGGGGTAACACAGGTCTTGAGCCGTTTAACGCGCTCTCTGATTTATGTTTGCTTCGTTGTTATACTTTGGTGTTTATTGTGGCCACGCCCGTCTCTTGAGTTCTCACGCGGCCAAACCAAATCAGACTTGGAACTCGGAACGTGAAACTGTGCACCTTAACACCGGAAGCAATCGCAAAATACCCACTGGCCTGCAGCGGCCGTGTCTACATTTGAAGCCACATGAACGGGCACGTGCTCGCACAGAAACAAACTTAAATGCAACCGTTGCATTGATTTCGATTTAAAGCTTTCGTGACTGCAGGGATTCATCTTCTTGGTTCCTTCGGTAAAGTCACGTAGAAGGGAAATAATAAAATAATAAATATAATTAAATAATTCTCACGACGTTTCGGCCACAACGCAAGCAGCCGTCCTCAGGTGAAGACCAGGTCTGTCGGGAAGACAGCGTCTGAATGAAACACCTTCCCCCTCCAACCCAGCTTAAATATACGCTCCAAGCCTGGGGTGTTTCATTCAGACGCTGTCTTCCCGACAGACCTGTTCTTCACCTGAGGACGGCTGCTTGCGTTGTGGCCGAAACGTCGTGAGAATTATTTTATTATGTTTTATTTTTATTATTTTATTATTTCCTTTCTACGTGACTTTACCGAAATAACCAAGAAGACGTTGCATTGATATTAACGGCAGAGGCTCCATTCCTGATTGCCAGGTTGTCCCTGCTTGGCCACCTTGCTATCGGGCTCCAACAGGCGGAACCCCACGTCGTGGGTGACGTCACCTTTGTTGATGGCGGTAACCACCCATAATAGAGGCGTCTGGGTTAGATCGTGTAAATATGAATGTGTTGTTAAACCCACCACCACCCGACACAGCCAATTCGTAAGGTTTGTCACGTGAACAAAGCGTGCCAATTCGTTACTAGTACAGCACACCGGCGTGTTGGAGAGTAACCCCACAATATTTACAATTCGGGTACGACGTTTCGCCAGTAATTACAACCAGCATCATCAGGCGACAACCAATCAGGTGCGAAGGCCAGATGGGGGGGGGGGGAGAGGGGTTAATGTAGGCACATAAATTACAATGGATATACATTATCGGTTGGGTTATTCATATGGGAATCAACATACATTATGCATGTGCATCCTGCCGTTTCTTGGGTGCAAGAAATTTCAAGTTCAAGTTCATGTATTAGGTATAGCCCTGTGAGCCATTCGGCTCTTGAATCGGGTGCAACCACAACAAACAAAACATGAACAAAAAACATGTTAAAGTGAACATGTGACTAAGTGCAAACAGAAATCCAAGAAAAGACAGCAAAACATTGCAAAAAAAAATCACCATACACCAACGCTGTGTGCAAAAATCCCAGTGGGATGCAAGTCAAACAACCAACAACAACCACAAGACAACTTAGATTAAGGCCATCAGTCTAACCCTGTACTACAACAAACAAACATGGCCAAACCAATACACTTTTCGATATCGCGTCACCTACCTGTTATCTTATCACAGGTAATCACCATCGACGTATGGTGACCTCTATCGGCATGCAGTTAGACTCGGCGGGGGCAGGCGGCGGGCGGGAATTAAAACTTGAAACCCTCTCAATGGAAATATTGCAACCGTTTGTGCACTCGAGTGATGGCGACAGCAGCAGCAACAACAAAGTGAGGGATATGCAGCGCCCACGATTTCCGGAGATTCGCGAGCCGCGGCGGAGACCGCAGAGACAAGACGGAACGGTGGCGGCAGCAGCGGAAGCCTGAAGCAGGCACCAACTCTTGCCCAAGCTCTGTGACCCTACATCTAGACGTTGTGCATTACGTGACCGTGTGGTTTAGTACATTTCGACGAAAAGACCCCGTTTTGCAAGTGGGCCGTGTTTTTCTTTAAACGGCCAAATGGAAATTTCGTTGAAATCTCTTTTCACGTTTAATGGGCGGCGCGGTTTGTATGGTGCGGCCACGGATGACTTCAGTGGTGAGCGATGACAGAGCCGGTGTTGCCAGCCCCAAACCAACCTGCACTGACCGGCATGGAGAAGTATGGCCACAATTACTGGCAGCTGATAAGGATGCCTTCATTCGACAGGTTGGTTGACAACGGGACGACGATTCGTGTTAACCTTAGTGCCTCCGTGAACATCGTCTCTGTCATTTACGAACTATTTGTTCAAAGTATTCATTGCTCATTCGTCACTCTCGTCGTGGTCAGATTCAGCCATCCCCTGTTCACTGTTGGATGAATCGTTCACGTTCGAGGCCACGCACCGCGTCGCAGCTGCATTCTCTCAGCCACCGTTCTCTCGTGATGAGCGTCATCATCATCATCATTGTCATCAAACGGACGCAGCGACTGCAAGTTGTTATGAGACCACGCTGAGAGTGTGCGTGCGTGTTTGTGGCACCTGCCAACGCCGGTGACGATTATATAAATCGGTCCTGGGCCTCCCCTAGGTCGACTCAGCCTCAAATGAGTACCTGGCCCGATGCGTAAACATCGCCACTAGGGAGACAAAGGCGTTCGGGCTTGGTGCTGGCCACCCACCCCTTCGTGCACCGTTCCGGCACTTGCCCCTACAGTCTGTCGAGGCCACACGGGGGACCTTTGTCTGTGTGTACATTCTGAGCCAGTGACGCGGCGCTGTATCGCTCGGTGACCCAAAGGTAAATTCCCACGCACTGATAACGATTCGTGATGCGCGTGTCGGTCCGCGAGCTGATCTCATAGGCGGCCCCCGGCTCCCACGCAGCACCAACAGCTGCTGAGGAGATAGTGGACGGAGGAGGATGGAGGAGGAGGCTCAGTGGCCACGCGAAGCCCTCGTGCGTCATCGCTCGCCAACAGCGCTTTGCCAGAGAACCGGCGGTCTGGGGTCTGATTCCTGGAAGCGGATAACGCCACTGGCGATTGTGCTGTGTGTGAAACTGTGAGAGGCGGGGATGTGTGAAAGAGAAGGCCAAGTTTCCCTATTTAGGAACTCTCCAGAACTCCGTCTAATAGGAGGGCCCCTTCTGGCAGCAGTGACGTGAGTGAGACGTTAAAGAGCTGCACCTTTAACTTGTATCTTCTTCTTTTAGATAATATGTAGGGTTATAAACATCGCACTTGCATGGCATACATATAGTTGGGTGAGTGAACTTTGCTATGCATTACTGGCATAGCTATATTGCATATGCATCACCACCGTGACCTGTTTGTATACTATTTTCACTCCCGCCATTGTATACGCTGCATACAGCACTGCGTGCACGGAGTGTCTTTAAATCAAGACTGTGCATGCTCACACCTTGCGCATGGGGAGTCTTTGCCGTTGAATGGATGTCTGGGTGTGTTGACCTTCTTCACGCACCGTGCAAAGGCAACTTGCACTAATCAGGGGTGCGCTGAAGGACAACTATAAACACACAGAACGAAACATCTCCACTTAAAGCTTTCGTGACTGCAGGAATTCGTTAAAGTCACGTAGATAGGTTCAAAGAAAATAACAAAACAATAGCAGTTTTTTGTTATTATTTTGTTATTATATAACAAAAAAAAATAACACAAAAATAGCAGTTTTTTGTTATTATTTTGTTATTATATAACAAAAGAAAATAGCAAAACAATAGCAGTTTTTTGTTATTATTTTGTTATTATATAACAAAAGAAAATAACACAAAAATAGCAGTTTTTCTGTTATTATTTTGATTTTTTTTTTACTTATCTCCGTGACTTTACCGAAAAACCCAAAGAACACAAGAACGCAGTTCATTGATTGAGTCTGGGTGTGAACCTGGCGACCCAGGTTCGATTCCCGCTCACGGCCAACACCTGTGAGGGTAATCTGAACCTCTGCTGGGCATCCCCTAGGTCGACTCGGCCTAAAATGAGTACCTTGTGCGGTGTGTAGTAAACATCGCCACTGGGGAGACGAAGGCGGTCGGGCGTGGTGCTGGCCACCCACCCCCTCGTCGGCCGTGCCGGCCTTGAAAGGTGCTACTCGCTAACAGCACTTGCCCCTACAGTCTGTTGAGGCTACACGGGAGATAGTTTGCCTTTGTATTGTCTCCAGTGTGTCTTTGTGTTTGCGAACAGCAAAACAAAGGCAGACATGCGGCGCAGCTCTGTGATGTGTCCTCTGGATGCTGCCACGTGTTGCTCGTCGCCGATGTCCGACGTTCAGCTCCACGTGCTGAATAAGCTCCCGGGACATGGAGCCGAAACGTCAGACATCGTGCTGAACAACCCGCAGTGCAGCACAACAGGCGAAAATCTCTCTCGTGATGCGTAGTGGGGGGGAGGGAGGTGCCTTGGTCTGTTACTTCCCGTCCAGCGTGCGTTCCTCTCATTCACTGCGCTTACCCAGGGTGAGAGATTCACTCCACGCGCTCGGCCGGCAGCCGTCCTCGTCGAGGACTTGCAGTGCGCACCTTGATGGAGAGATTCCGCTTCGCGTTGAACGGCAGATCGATCAGCGCATCGGCGCCGTGTTTCACCTCCAGTGTCTGCTCACGCAACGCAAGACAACACGACGCGCGCAGGGTGTCGCATTCGACTTGGGCGGGTTTTTTTCGGCAGTGCTTGCATTTTCAGCCACGTCTAAATAATATTTCTGTAGCAGGTACAGCACATGCAGTGCCGGATTATCCTCGTAGCAGAAGTAGCTACATATCCCTATGGGCCGCGCACTTTCAAGGGCCCCGCGACAAATGCTTTCAATTCTGGTTCGGCGATTCTTCACTTGCTTTATTACTATAGTACTATACCGCCTTCAACTTTGACTGGATGTTTAAGGTTAGCGATTTGTCGTATTATGTCTGTACAGCAAGTGAACTTTACCATGCAAGTTAAACATTTGTGTTTTAATATTTATGTGTGTTTTTATTTATGGCTAGTTTTGCACAGAACTTCAACATTATCAAAATCAATTGAGTGTCCTTGTTCGCACGCGTGCTGTGCTACTGCTGACAATTGCATTTGGGAGAATTTAATATTTCTCTGATGTTCTTTTAGTCTCGTGCTGATCATTCGTCCTGTTTGCCCAACATCACATTTACCACACGTGTAGTTAATCCTGTACACGCCTTCTGTTGATAGCTTCGGTAATACATCTTTCGTACCAGATATTAATTCTGTATTTTATGTACCGTGCCAAATCTGACTCTGTTACGGATGATATTGGTCGCGAAAGCCTCCGTGTTAAACTGGCCATCGTCACCGTCGCCAGAAGCTAGGATTGCAAAAGTAGAATGGGTATTGTGTTCTATTGACAACAGTTCATGTGGACTCTGAGTTTAAAGTACAGTGGTACCTCGGTATACGTCGTTAATTCGTTCCAGAAGGTTAGACTTATACCGAAAATGACGTCTACCAAACGAATTTTTCCCATAAGAAATAAAGGGAAAGGAAATAATCCGTTCCAGAGGAAAATAAATGATATTTTACATGGCATATTATACATTAATGGGGTTGTATAAAATAATTTAGACACTAATTACTAACATGCATACAGAAGCCACGTGACCGCACTACTGCCAGCTGCGCTGGTCACGTGGCGTGCCTCAACCCCGCACGTCGCGCGCGCGCCTCGACCCGGGGCTCACCGCCCGCCGCCCCCCGCCCCTCTCCCCCACGCCCCCCGCCCCCACGTCCCCCACGTCCCCCGCCTCTCTCCCCCACGTCCCCCGCCCCTCTCCCCCTCTCCCCCACGCCCCCCGCCCCTCTCGCTTTGTCTCAGTCGTGAACGGGGCACACGCGGGTCCTGTACGCGACTCATCCCGACCCATACAAGTTCTAGCAAGCGCGTCGTATCCCAAGCAAGACGTCGTATCCCAAGACATTTTCTCTCTCGAAAAAACACGACGTATACCAAATTCGACTTATTCCAAAGTGGTCGTATACCGAGGTTCCACTGTAAACTACAAAACGACCGCTTGTTGCTGGTGCGTTGCGTCTTCCTTAAACACCGGGGCCGGTGGGCAGTCAGCCGACGCTCTGCCCGACGTCGTCGTGCCTCGTGGCCGAGCTGTAGTCCCCCACTGCCGCCCGTACCTCTCTCTTGCCGCTGACGTTGTCCGCGATGGAAACCCACGAGAGGCATTTTTTGGGGCAGTCGCTCGTCCAGGTGATGCTGATGCTCGTGCTATCGTTGCTCGCGGCGTGGAGGTTGGTGGGGGTTTCCGTGAAACCTGGAAAGACAAATGCGGACGATTAATTACGCACGCCAGACGGTCTGTCTTTTGCTGTGAATAGAATTGGGCATCGTCGTCTGTTTAACATTTGTCTGGGACTGGTTCGCGTGATTCTGTCAATTTCAAATTCCGTTTAATCACCACCACCGAAGCGCGATGGGCGAAGCCTGCAATCCAGCAACTCACAGCCAACATCGGTGACAAATATCTGAGTCGGTGCTGGGCCTCCCCTAGGTCCACTCAGCCTTAAACGAGTATTTGGTGCTGTGAATAATCATCAGCACTGGGCAGCCAGATGCAGCTGAGCATGAGCCCCCCCCCCCCCCATACTACGTGTCGGCCGTCATCAGTTCTCGCTTTACATCACTTTCCCCATACGGCAAGTTCGATGCGGGGGTCTTTGTTTCGCGTGTGTGTGTGCTGCCCCGGGGAGTGGTCCGCACAGATGGTTCATCTTATTTACAGCGCTTCCGGCTGGCCGTCGTCTGCATACGCTACAGATCGCAATGCCAATACGCTACAGATCGCAATGCCAGTACATCCGCATTGGCCACTGGCAGCATGTGAGCGCTGCTGGCCCACTCTCGCGTCTGCCGCGCTCCTGCGTTCGGCGTCACGGTGAATAAATGAGACGACGCACGGTGAGCTAACAGGAATACACGAACACAACGGGGAGGGCGTGGGGGGGGGGGGTCATACTCCAACAGCCTTCTTGAGCCAATTCTATTTAGTTTCACCAGATGGAAAGAACGGCAATATCGGAAGAAGCGATGAGATTAATTGTGGACAGGAGGCAGTGGAGGGACGTTGGGTGCTCATTCAGCCCTCGGTGCCATCGCAAAGGGCGGAACGTGGGGGGCAGGTGGTTGGAAGGGGGGGGGGTTGCCCCGGGTGCCCCCTCCATATGGAGGGGGGGGGGTGACGCTGGCTGAACGCGAAGGTGCCGCAGCCAACGTGTCCTGGAAACGGACCGAGCGGGCAGCAGCTGGGGGCTCAATCATTGGTGTGGTCGGTGCCCGGGAGGGCGCTCACAGCAGGGGGAGGAGAGGGGAGCACGAGGGCGCCACCTCGCCCCGCGCACCGCCGGTATCGTCGGCCTCGCGGGGCTCTGCTCGGCCCCGTCGCCCCTGCCGAGGAGGTGGAACGCCACCGCGCCAGCTGCGTGTCCACAGTGGCCCATGGAGGGAGAGGTGCGGCTGTGTGGCATTGAAATGGGCAACTGCGATTGTTTGGCTGGAACGGGTGGGTGATTGGGAAGGCGTGGGGCTCTCTGCAGACTGTGGAGGGTTGGTTATGGGGGGGGTATAAATAGGGAGTGGTGGAGAACGGGAGGGGTGTGGATGCAAGATGGTGAGCAGCGGTTTTACGTAGTAAGCGGTCACATGGTAGATCTACAATAACAAAAAACGATCGCTACCGCGATTAATTTTCGTGTTTTAAAGGACATCGTGGGTTAAGCGTTCACCACAGCTGCCAACCCACGCGGTTAATCCCGTATTCTTGTAGAGGGGCATTGCGTTTTCAGGTCCATACGGCATACAGCCGTTTCAATACGGGCACAAAGAATGTGTTTTGTCTGTTTGTGTTTCTCGCTTGTGATGGGACTTTGTAGGATGAACGCTGAGATTTATAAGGCAACGGGGTGACCAATAAGGTCTGAGTTGGTCTGTAATAAGGTAGGGCACTGACAAGGGGTTGACAGGCATGGTTCCTTTTTGTTTCGTGAGTGGTGCCTAACGCATCAAATAAAGAAATGATCACAAATCTCCGTGGTCACTACCGCAACGTACACAGCGAGGCGGGGAACGCCTTGAGGTAGAATGGTCTGATGGCGACGCTGCTGCTGCTGCCGTTCACGTAGAAGTGGTGCTCCACCGAGCGCGCCCTTTCGTCAGGGGTCAAGTGACAGCCGACTCTCATGCTGGACTTGACAACGTAGGTCGGGCACTCTTGCACCGCGATGTCTTTGTAACTGCAGGCCAGCGAGACGACAGCAAAAGCGACAAACAAACACAACTCTTTAAAGAAGCGTCAAGCCGTGCGTCTTGCAGCGCGATCAGGAGCTCCTGCGTTCTCTCAACCCCTGGCGACCCACAATGTTTGGTGCGAAAGCTTCGGAGCGTTTGTGCGTCGAAGCGATGGTTTGCGCGGCCGCTGTGCTCACTGATAGAACATCCTGTAGACGGTGTCGGCCGGGGCCAGGTAGCCACGCGCCCACGAGCAGTTGACACTCTTCCTGGTGTACTTGCAGTCGAAGCCAACAACATTTGTATTCTCTTCCCCTATATTGGAGGGGTGGGGGGGAGCAATGCGTTGTACACGTCACTGTGTTTTAAGACCTCGGTCATGCTTGTACCCGTGTATCTAATAACATTTGAACACTTACAGACATTTTGTCAAGCCACTGATGGATAAAGGCCTCCCTGTGCTGTGTTGGTCACGATGGACTGTTTGACCATATTTTACTAAAGAGTGTTTGGGTATTACAAATGAAGGCTTAACGAAGTGGTTTATCATCTCGTGGAAATTTATAGCAGCCAAACACTCTAAACGCGTGGTGATGTTGATTCTAAATGTGGAGGGGAAAACCGAAGGACCTGCAGAAAAATCCACGCGACCACGAGGAGAGAGACACGCAAACTCTAAATATACAGCAGCAGGCGTCATGTTAGAGATCGAACCCACGGTCCTCCTGCATACCAGACGAGGGAGTTAACATCTCCTAACCACCGTGGCATCCCGCTGGATCGGTGCAGGTAGGTGGGGGGCCTAAGGATGGTTGAGACACCCCTTGTCATTGGAACCTCATTTGCCAGAAGAAAAAATATGATAATTGTTTTTTTACCCTTTAATCTGGCAACAAAACTGACACCTTTTTTTTGCAAGGAGTCATGTTTGCATTGACCACAATACCTGCAGTCGTAATGCAAACAAAAAAAGACAACTCTGATAATGATGCGCATTTTGGCATCATCTGGTCCAACACCATGTGAGACTAGGCTCTAAGGAAAGCTGTCTCAGGTGTGGACCAATCAACTTCAAGGCACAGTGCATACATTATCAGAGTTATGTTTTTTGTTTGCATTATGACTGCAGGTATTGTGGTCTATGCAAGCATGACTCCTTGTAAAAAAAATTGTTACCAGATAAAAGGGTAAAAAAACAATTATCACACCCCTTGTCATTAATGTTAGAGGTGGTCAGGAATCGAACTCGGGCGACAGGATTCCTCGCACGGTGAGCTAATTTATCTATCTAGCTAATTAATCTAACTCCATCTATGGTTATATGTTTCCAGAAATTATTTTACGTGCATTTCTTACATACTTATAATTTAAAAGTGCAATCTCCTTCTTTATTTAGCCTTTTTCAAATGTATACAAGATCATTGTACATTGTCTAGATTTGTTATATTGAGAATGTTTTAATTATTATGTTGATTCAAAACAACTTAATGTAACCCAGATCGCCCTTGAAAAACAGTCGATGTTGTTTCATGCCTCCCACTCTTCTATCTACATTTTATCTCGTGGTTAAATGTCGGGTGAAATAAAGGAAACTAATACTACAAGGGGCGCCACGGTGGTCAGATGTCATCTTCCTCGCCTGGTATGCAGGAGGTCGGGGGTTCGATCCCGGCCCTGACGCCTGCTGCTCTATATTTGGAGTTTGCGTGTTCTCCCCGTGGTCAAGTGTATTTTTTTATCCCGGTCCTCTGGTTTTTCCCTCCACATTTGTAAATGCCTTTAGATTATTTTGCTGTTTTAAATGTCCAAATGATAAGCCACTTTGTTGAGCTATCATTTGTGGCCAGGTTGCTCTTGCGAAATAAGTTCATACCTCAGTGGGCTTTGCCTGGTAGGGTGCGGGTAGTTTAGTGTTGTTTTTGTACGTGTTTGGGTGGTTTGTTTAAATTTCTTGTACTCTGCACTCCTATCGTATGGTTTGTACGGTTTGTTGTTTTAACATTCTTACCCTCCCCTACAGTATAAATACATATTCGGATGTCCAAGAGGGATGGTGACCATTTGGTGAGATCGGTGATGGAATGACAGCCATAGCAGGTAACGTGACCTATCTACGAAGACTACAGAGGAGATTGAATGATGAAATCAATTCACGTGCAGGATTGAAATATATTCTGGCATCGCGGAAACCGCGAGTGATGGAAACGACATTTGGGGGAGGCTTTCATCCAGCAGTGGAAAGTACAAAGCTTACTGCTGCTGCTGCTGATTATTACACGTAAGAAGTTGTGGCTTTGTTTCGATTTAAAGCTTTCGTGACTGCAGGGATTCATCTTCCTTGGTTCTTTCGGTAAAGTCACGTAGAAGGAAGTAATAAAATAATAAAAATAAAACATAATAAAATAATTCTCACGACGTTTCGGTCACAACACAAGCAGCCGTCCTCAGGATGAAAACCAGGTCTGTCGGGGAGACAGCGTCAGACGGGGAGTCGTGACTTTACCGAAAGAACCAAGAAGTTGTGGCTTTGTTGTTGTTGTTGCTGCACTTCAGCGATAACGTCACGTAGGTAACAGGACACAACCAATGCGGAAAAGGTGGGACCACAGCGCTGACCACCGAATGAATTGAACGTTCATTCACCGCAGGTCATTTCACCCTCGGTTGTGCGCTCATCGCGTCAGATAAATTTGTGTCCACGTGATGATGAGCCCACTTTGTTCGTTGAGCTATCATTTGTGTTGGCCAGTTGGCTTATGAAAAGAGAGCTGCATAGCTCAGTGGGGCCTTACCTCGTAAAATAAAATAGTAGTAACCAGCATTAGCGAAATATCCCAATGTTAAAAGATTACCTGGAATTACTCAAATGAGATCACAGACACAGCGCCAATATAATCACCCCCCCCCCCTTGCAAAAACGTGTCAAGACCCGTTTAAAAAGAGCTTTCAGTCGAGTCTTTCGGAATTGGATAATATGCACCTTTGACCCTGATTTCGAGCGTCTCATTCCACAGCACACTGGAAGCCTGAAAGTCGTAGTCTTCATAATAGTTGAAACATTCCACCGCATCCTTGCAGAGCACGTTGAGGGTCAGGTTTCTGCTCGGGTCATAGTCATGGCGGAAAGGTAGCTGAGTCTGCAACAAAATAAAACACAACATGGTCACGGGCATTGTTAGCCTTTAACACAACAAGTGCATGCGTTTATGATCACATAAGTCCCGTTTTAATTACACAGCTTATATATAGCGTGCCTGTCATATGACCAGGAGAGTGATATTTGTCTTGTCGTTTACATAAAATCAGAAGAAAAAAACATATGAGTCAAAATGAACATGTATTTATACTAAAGTAATACACAGTGTTATCATCACCGCCACCACCACCGCGACCACTACCGCGACCACCACCGCTGCCACTCACATTAGAATCAATTTTGTTGATTCCATCCTGAAATCCCAGGAATGAGAAACACGTGCAGACCAATTCGCTTTGCCCAACATTCTCGTTCTCCGTGACCGTGAACTTGTAGAAGATCGGCATTGTTTGGGCTCGCGTTCTTGGCTCTCGCGACAGAGAAACTGGAACGACGGACACACAATGAAATACAATTACAATCTCACCTTTTTTATGTGCACACCAACACAACAAAAATACGAAAAGACCCCCCCCCCCGCACCAACCCGTAAAGCCACTAACAGACTGTAGGGGCAAGTGCTGTTAGCGAGACCCTATTGAAGGCCGGCACTGGCACACGAGGGGGTGGGTGGCCAGCACCACGCTCGGCCCCCTTTGTCTCCCCCAGTGGCGATGTTTACACATCGCGCCAGGTACTCATTTGAGGCTGAGTCGACCTAGGGGAGGCCCAGGACCGATTCAGATAATCGTCACCGGTAGCGGCCGTGAGCGGGAATCGTAGGGGGTTTTTGCTCCAAATTCTAATCGTTGCATGATTGTACTTTGTTATTGTGCGAGTTCTCCGCTCACCCAATTTAAGACTAAAATAAACTTCAAATTCACCTGGGCCCAAAGGTGAACCACAGCCCTGGCCGTGAGCCGGCAGCTTGTGTAATGTCACGTCGGCACCTTCGTGTGCCCGGTCGTTTTGTCTCATCCCGCACTCTGTTTTGTGCACCCTCTCTCGTCTGTGCTGCATGTTCGTCTGCCACTCATCCTCACTCATCTTCACTCAATTCGTTGTCCCGTTTCGTTTGCCTCGTTCTCTCTCCATCCTCCGTATCCCTGCACCGTATCGGTTATTATATTTATTATTGACCTAATGTTCACAATACCGCCACCAACCGACACAGAAAAACAGTAAGGTCTGTCACTGGTTGGCCGTGTCGGGTGGTGATGGGTTATACGACACATTTATACTCACGCGATCTAACCCAACCACCTTTATTATGAATAATATTGGTCGCGAAAGCCTACGTGCCAACATCACAATATCATTCGCATGCAATTTGCATTAAAACTAAGGGGAGATTATATGTTGGACTTCTTTTGCACCGCACATTATGGGACGATGTGCATCGTTTGGGTCAAGAATCAATATTCGGCGACGCATCAGCCTGGCCCGAGTATGAACGCGTGAATGACAGACAGACAAAGCCACGAGGCACACGGTGATCTCATACAAGAGGAGAAATCTGTCTCCTCATTGTCTCACATGCTGCTAATTTTTAAGTATCAATAATAATCACGTATTTTGCCAGTAAAGTCGAACTATAACCCTTCACTATAAAAATGTCAAAGTTTTTCTTGGTTTTCAACATTCCATTTTTGCTGGGGAAAAACACAAATTGGCATATTGACCCACGTGACAACCTGATTTGATTGGTGCTGTCTGGTGGCAAAGGGGTTATCGTTAAGTAACTGACGTCATACCTAACACGATCTAACCCAAAGTAAACTGTAATTATGAATCACAACACCAGTCACATCTACTTTTTGTGTTTAGTTTGTTGATCTTCCCCCGCACCTTCGATTAGCACGGTTGGCTACGTACGGTGCGAAATAAGTTCAACTACATACTCTGATAGTGCATTGTCTTTGAGTTGTACGCCTTTTGGCGTCATCTGGTCCAACACCAATGGAGACTAGGCTCTAAGAAAAGCTGTCTCGGGTGTGAGCCAATCAACTTCAAGGACAGTGCATATCATTATCATCATCAAAGTTGTTTGTTTTTGTTTGCATTTTGACTGCTTGTGTTGTGGTTATTGCAAACATGATGCCTTGTATTAAGGTGTCAGTTTTTGTACCAGTTGAAAGGTTAAAAACCTATTACTATACTTCAACTACATACATACGTAGTATGATTACCATGGAAAAAATGTTTGCCAGTATCAAAGTGTGAAAAATAAGAATAGGATTTACCCGTTTATGCCATAAAACAAGTGTTAAGATGTTCAAACGCCAGATCGATACCTTTTGAAAGGAATCAAATTTGCATGAATAATTCTCACTTGAGTCAGACGAGGAAGAGGATGAAAATTCTGGTCCTCAACCATCAAGGTCACATGACCCAGATTTCTCCCATCCTCCTCCTCTGAACCACACCTCCTAACACAAGGTGAACTGCAAGACCTTGTCAGGGATTTGGAACTACCCAAGAGCAAGGCAGAGCTGATGGGCTCCAGACTGCCGCAGTGGAATCTGCTGGCAGGTGATGTTAGGGTTTCCATGTTCCGTGACCGTCAAAAGGATCTTGACTTAAAGATTTCGTGACTGCAGGAATTCATATTCTTTGGGTCTTTCGGTAAAGTCACGTAGGTAGGTTCAAAGAAAATAACAAAAAACTACGACGTTTCGATCGCAACACAAGCGGACGTCATCAGGAAAAGAGGGTTAGCTTCTAAAGGCAACCTATTAATAAAGGTTTGAAATGGGCGTAGCCCATGCTGCTGACATTTACTTATATATACATAATAGTTTTTCGCCTTTTGTTTCATAATACATTTTATTTATAGAACCGTTTTGCTGATTTTAAGTGTTACATGAACAGGACATGTGACATGTTACTGTGTAAAGCAACCATAAACACGTGAAAAGACATCGGTTTACAATGTATGAGTAAAACTATATCTGCACAATATACATAGACGTAAAATGTAAAAAAAACTTAAATATCTGGGGAACAGTAGCCAATCAGTTGTTTTAATAGTCATATTTGAATTCAGCACATCAAAATCCACGATAAACAGGACATTTCATCTCTGAAGCAGACAACGATCTACAAAATTGTAGACCAATGTTTTCAGAGCATGTTTGTTTACATATTCATCACAGCTACGCGTGGTTAATGCAGACTTTATTCCTTGCAAAAGGTTTCTATTTAGGTGTTTGAACATCTTAACGCCTGATTTATTACCAGAAGGGCTAAAACCTCTTATTTTTCGTGTGCGTATTTATATTATAATAAAAATAAATACCTATGCGTGGAAACTGTTGAATCCGGATGAAACCTACGCAGAATATGAGGAAGAACATAGAAACTGCACACAGAACGTCGCCGGAGTTGGCAACCCGACCCAGGACGCCTCCTCTTGCTTCAAGGCACAATCATCGCCACCCTGCCGCCCAGATTCACAAACGGTGCACGCGTTCTCGATCCACACGCACCACACGCGCCTACCATCAGCGTGCGTTCCCAACACAGCAAGGTTCAGCAGCAGCAGCAGAAGCAGCCGAAGCAGCGATATCCAGCGCAGGGCCATCGCGTTCCTCTATCACGTACACACACACAGCAGGAATCCATTGAAGCGCAAAACCTGAATCTCCACTTGTTAGTCATCCACGTCGGTGATCCGACACCTCCTCTGGCTTCCTGGACGCCCGGCGCAGATGCACCGCCTGCACACTCGATGTGCTCGCACCGCTGGGAAGAGAGGCGGCGGGAGGGCCTGGCAGAGTCGAACAGTGCGGTGATGGGTGAACACAATCCTGTGATGGGTAAACACAATCCGGTGGACGGGACGACTGCCATGTGCAGCGTGCCCTACCGCATGGGTGTGGAATCCACGAGTGAAGTTCACGGAGTCAGTGATATTAGTGAGTCATCGTTGTTACAGAAGAGCGGTTTAAACATGTGGGTTGACCTACACTATGGTCATTTTTTTCACATAATGAATTTGCACTGTCTGGGTTAAAGGCTGAGACAGGGCGGTAACATATGTGCACGTGGAATGATATCACGTCCGTGAAAACAAAACCCATAGATACGCCGCATCTTGTGATTAGGAATATAAAATAGACAATAGGTGCTCCCAAACGGCGGCAACACAATGTGTTCAGGAATTCAACTTTGGATGGGCAAATGTGACAAGCGACACCAAACACCACGCAGCAATCACCGCTCACAGCCCGGCGGCACGAGTTGGTTCCCAGGCTGACATCGTCGGCGGCGAGTGACATCGTGTTTACGCACTGCTGCTGTGTGTTGTTTTATTTTAAGTTTTGGCAATTATTTTTTTTTATTCACTGGCGTTACAAAAAGCTGTGCTGCTGCTGCTGCTGCTGCTGTATTCAATGTGACCTACAGAAATGTCAGTTGGGTGCATTTTCATTTACATCAAAGAAAATTAACCCTCAACTTTCTAAGTTCCTGAATTTTCACACGCACACAGCGCACAACAATACACACCTCCTTCCCAACAGAATCATTCGATAAAAGCCAAAGTCACATTAAACTATAAACGCACTCCCACACGTACACACAATTAACTCAACACATTCATCAATAACACTTCCATAAGAAGAAGAAAAAATAAAAATAATAACAGGCAACGTTTCGTGCAGTGCCTGGAACAAAAGCGTGCGTCGTGCTTACCACAAAATGAGCTCTTACCTTCTCGTGTCCGGTGACCGCTATACATACCGAAAGTAAAATGCATTAACCCGTTCTCTTTTATAATTGTGAACCGCGCACGCCTACCAGGATGTGGGCTGCGGCAGTTCAACAACGAGTTCGGTTTGTTTTTTAAGCCCCCCCCACTTCCACTCCTTGAGCTCCTCCGGATCTCATTACAAAATCTCGCAGCCCTGAGCATCTGCTAGCGTGCCAGTGGACGAGCATCGAGGGGAACAGCGTTTCACCACCACCACCACGACCAGTCGCTTACAAAAACTATTCATTCGTATTTACTTCTTCTTACACAACGTGTGTGATTTTTGGTGGAGTTTTTTCCTTCTTTTTTTTCGAAACGCTTTCACGAACGGAATTGGCCAAAAACGTAGCAGCCGCAAGAGAAGACCCCCTCCTGGAAACGCCTAAATTGGCGTTTGGATAGCAAAGGGCAATTTCCGCATTGTGTCTATGATTATTATATACTACTACGAGCATGGAAGTCATTGCTATTATTCATATTATTATTATAATTTACGGTGTTTTGTCAATCCCGCTGGTGGTTTCAGTCCTCCCCCATGGTGGTTCAGACTTTTTGACCACATTTCACTCTTACTTTGAGCAGTAAAGTAAGTAGGGTCAAGGACCCATATGTGGCTATCACTCGCCTGGGTTTTTTTTAGAGCTCTAATCTCGAGCGCAATCAGCCAGCACAATAAGTAGAACACAGCGAGGACCACTTCAGGCCATTGCGCTGTGAGGCAGACCCGTGATGATACTCCACACGACTACGATCTCGGTCAAGAAGCATAAATCATCACGCCAACTCCGGGCATCCTCACGGCAGCGGATTTGGGCGACCCATCGGTCAAAGGCGGTGAACGCGTCGCGCGATTTCTGGTGCGCTTCTGCGTCCGTCTGGAACGTTCTTCCTTCCACTGAGCGCTATGACCCAGCGCTCAGCCGAGCCCCTCTCGGGCTGGTACTACACCCGCATGTACGCGGTGTCCTGCGATGAAAGTGCATCGCACGCCGTGCATCTCTAAGGCCGGCATTACCCAGTGACATCCACGATGTCACTACACTCGTGCCGGTGGGCACTTGGTGACTATAAACAACGTTTGCATAATCATCGTAAGACTGACATGTCCTCACCATCATTGGGGATAGGTCACGTGTACGTACAGCTCTTTCTCATTCAACTGCTGCCCCCTTCACGGATACAGCTCAAGTTAAAATCCCGTCCAAGGGCTCCACCGCATTCCAAACGGGTTGCCACAGTATACAATTATCCCAACACCGTTTGGCTATTTCATATCAAGTGGGAGATGTTAAATCAGCTCGTGTCTGCGCATTCCAAATTTGCACCCCCCTTGTCCCAATCCAGTTGTGGGTGGCACACATAACTTCTTATACAAAGGATCAATAACCCTGGGCTTACTTACTTACTCCTCTTTCGCTGCCTGTGGAACGTAAGGCCGCAACAAGCCCACGCCATGCCGGACAATGTTTAGCAAACCCTGGGCTTGACGAACATTCATACTACCAGTGGACACCCAACAATTCCTAGAAAACCAGTATGCATTCAATGGCGTGGAAAGTACTTGTGAAAATGATAAGGACCCCCCGTGCCGCCCCCCAAAGTCAACCATGGTTCCACCAAGTCCATTACGTATACAAACAATCTCTGTGCATTCGTCACTCAATGATATCGTTTGCGAGCCTGACTCAATATTGTGCCAAATCATATTCCTGTAAACATAATTTTAGTGCCTTAACATGTGCACACGCATTGGTGTCTAATATTAGGTCCTTGCGGTCAGTGGGAATTCGTTCGTTTTCTGGGGTTCGTATTACTTGGGTCAACACACTGGTTGCGAGTGTTGTGGTGCACGAGATGGGGCGATATGGCACAGCCTACATATTATTTCCAGGGAAAGCTTTGGGCAGTAGTGGAGGCGACGGCGCGGTGGTGGAACGCATTTTTTTTTATCGTCTACTTAATTACCAAAACATTGTTTTACAAGACTTGCATAGACATGAGATTAACGTTTCAGACATTGAGGGTTCATAATCATGATCAGCCGTGATCAATCAAGTGCTGGATGAAGGCCTCTCTCGTGAAGCTGTCGCCATATCTCAAGGGGCGTGGAACTCCTGCCGCGGGGTAAAGCGGTGGTCAGAGTTTCATGGCCAGACACGGATAACGCCAGGCGCGAGTGATATATCAGACCGGGTCTCCACCACCGCCGCCATCACCACCCTAACCCCTTTTACTAACCCGCAATGACAAACATGGTGAAGTATGATTAGACAACACCAACGACCGACACAACGTGGGGGAGGGCTTCACCCAGCAGTGGATTGATTCAGGGATGAAATTGACTTTATTATTTCTGTTGATTTTACACAAATATTTGTGGCAAGAACCTGGGAAACCATTGGCATATATTACTGTAATCAACCCTCAAAGGGTGGAGATATTTCACATTACTATGGTGGTGGGAAGTTTTGTTTACACAGGACTATCTTTTTGGTTCTTTCGGTAAAGTCACGTAGAAGGGAAGTAATACAATAATAATAATAAAACATAATAAAACAATACACAGGACTAGCTACACAATGGTATTTATTACATCAAATCGTGAAGAGGAGCTGAATTGACTACCAATTGCAATATAAAATGGTCGTAGGACAACTGGATGTTGTGTAACGAAACGAGTGTTGTGAACTACATTCATAACCATAACTCTGAATGATGATGCGGAAGACGATAATGGGGTAAGGGGAGTGATGAGTGGACTGGATATTTCCATTGCGGCTGGGTATGCAGCTGGCCTCTAAAGATTCCCCACTGCACTGGTGTTGAGAACTTGACTCAATTCAACAGAACATTTCAATCCAAGAATGCATTCTTTGTGAAGACTTTCCAACTATGGATGAAAGCGTTAATGCATTCACAGTCTGTCCGTCCGCAACATGGAGTCACATTTAACTCTATTGTAACACGTAATAGGCTTTCGCGACAAATATTATTCATAATAAAGGTTTTTGGGTTAGATCGCGTAAGTATAAATGTGTCATAACCCTCCACCACCCGACACAGCCAGTAAGGTTTGTCACGTAAACAACGCGCCAATTAGTGACTACTTCAGCCTACCGGTGTGTTGGAGAGTAAAGCCACAACATTTACAATTTTCATACGGCGACATTTCGCTGGTCATAACATCCAGCCTCATCGGGCGATATGCCAGAATAGTGAAGCAATCCACCTGCTTCAGGTCTTCAATAGAGCAAGATGACGTCACCACTGTGAACCTATCAGGTGCAGAGATCAGAGGCGGGGTGGTTATTGTAATTATATGAAAGATTATTAATCAGTTAATTAGCACGTGTTTCCTTGATAAGAATACAGTTGTAATGTGTATTACTTAATAATACGCTTCCAGGCCACACTAAACCTGTAGTTGTCAGAGCGGTTACAATAATTAGTATTTCTCTCAATTTCAACGGATTCTCGAATTAGTCTCAGTCACTAATAATTAGTTTTACACAACACTTCAATGTTATCAAAATCAATTGAGTGTCCTTGTTGGCAAGCATGTTCTGCAACTGCCGATAGTCTTGTTTGAAAGTATTTGATATTTATTTGGTGTTATTTTCGTCTTACGCTAATGTTACATCTCGTCTGTCCAATTTAGCATCTGCCACATAAGCAATTAATCCGATACACACCTGTTGATAACTTATGCAATTCATGTTTAGTACAAGATACTAGTTTTTTAATTTTGTGTACCGTGCCAACTCTTACTCTGAATATTATTATCAATAGTATTGGTCGTGAAAGCTTACGTGTTAAACTGACCAACCTCTATTGGGAGGATACATTTCTTAAAATCAGAAAATTGGAGAAACTCCGCATTAAGCGTGTAAAATGGATGTCTTCGCTGGCGTTCCTCTAAATGTGCAGAGACTCAAAGGTAATAGCAATCGCAGTTTAAAAAAAACACATCACAAAGTCTGTTAAAGCTACCCAAATACTACACAAAGCTAGCGATGTATTGTTACAAGAGAAAATACAGCACAACAGGAGTGAATTGGCTCACATTTATGACTCTCTAAAGCACTTACACTTACATATTAGCAAAAGTATATCCATACATGATTGGAATATTATCGACACGATAACACAACAATCGGCTGATAATTATGCATTTAACGGATAACCAAAACTAAACAAATTAATATTATCTAGACTTCATAACGAACAATTCGCAACTAATAATGAACAATTAAAAAAGCTAACGAATTAATTTAACTAACACTGATTTAAGCAGCGACATGGTATCGGTCCTCTCTAAAGGTCTTAACTTTGTTGTTGCCCCACGTACAATTCCAGTAGATGAGACATGAGGCAGAGATGACTCGGCACGAGGTTGCCAAACTAATTGACAATAGCAAAGTGCCAAAAATAAATATTAGCTTGAGCGAAGGAAAGGCCTTAAGAGAACTTCGATCAAATAAAGGTATCCAAATTCTGGTGGCTGAAAAAGGCCGCACAACTGTAGTGATGTGACGAGCGGATTAAAATAATAATACAATTAAATATTTACTGGAGGAAGGTACCTCTATTAAAATTAAACTAGATCCAACTAATACTTGAGAACGTGAGACGACTGCAATCATTAAACATTCATTAATACCCAAGGCTGAGCAATATCCAAGGGCCTCAAAACCACGTAGACTGTATGGGTTACCAAATATTCATACAATCGGTATCCCATTACGATAGGCTCTGCCTCAAATGAATTTGCTAAATGTTTTTTTTTTAAATACAGCCCTATATCGGTAGGACATCTTCAATCACAATAAATTCAGAACATCTTGTGAATGTGATTAAAGAAATTAAACTTACCCCTAATGATATTCTGGTAAGCTTTGTTATAATTTCTATATTTACTAAAGTTCTTGTTACACTAGTAAATAAGACCGGTTTACCAAAATATATTAAAAACTAGAGGACCATTGTCTACATAACACTTAAATTTCGATTTAAAGCTTTCGTGACTGCAGGGATTCATCTTCTTGGTTCTTTCGGTAAAGTCACGTAGAAGGGAAATAATAAAATAATAAAAATAAAACATAATAAAATACGATTCTCACGACGTTTCGGCCACAACGCAAGCAGCCGTCCTCAGGTGAAAAACAGGTCTGTCGGAAAGACAGCGTCTGACAGCGTCATTCAGCGTCATTCAGACGCTGTCTTCACCTGAGGACGGCTGCTTGCGTTGTGGCCGAAACGTCGTGAGAATTGTATTTTATTATGTTTTATTTATTATTTTATTATTTCCCTTCTACGTGACTTTACCGAAAGAACCAAGAAGATACATAACACTTATTTCTTATGGAGAGGTAATTTCTTTAAACAAAAGGAAGAAGCAGCAATGGGCTCTCCCTTGTATCCTGCTGTTGTCAATCTGTACATGGAAACCGTTGAAGCAAGAGCACTTGCTTCAAGTACACTAACCCCATCTGTTTGTTTTAAATATATAGATGACACTTGGTTGTCTGTCCTACATGGTGAAGATAAACTTAATACATTTCTAAATCATCTCAATTCGCAAAGCCCGGTCATCCAGTTCATCATGGAAATGGAGGTGAATAACACACTCCCGTTCCTGGATATTTTTCTCGGACGCGGCCTAAATGGTAAAATAACACAGCGTTTACAGAAAGGAAACGCACACTGATGGCTATCTGAATGCAGATTCGCATCATCACCCCAGCACATAAATCCTCTCTTATTAAGACGCTCACACATCGGGCTAAAACAGTGTCAGATGGTGAAAGTCTGAGGAGAGAGATTAATCATGTTTAAGAAGCGCTACGATTAAATGGCTACAATAACGCTCAAATTAACAGAGCATTGATTGTCAAACCAAGATCTAACAGCAATACTGCTTAACGCGATCAGGTTATTAAACAATTAAAATACCATATGTTGCAGGAGTAACTGACCAATCAGCTCGAGTTTTGGAAAAACTTGTATTAAAGGTGAATTGCCTAAGCTATCAACAGAAGGCGTGTATCTGATTCATTGCTTGTGGCACATTTCGATTTAAAGCTTTCGTGACTGCAGGGATTCATCGTCTGCTGTCGCCTCGACAGACCTGGTTTTCACCTGAGGACGGCCGCTTGCGTTGTGGCCGAAACGTCGTGAGAATTGTTTTATGTTTTATTTTTATTATTTTATTACTTCCCTTCTACGTGACTTTACCGAAAGAACCAAGATGTGTAGCACATGCTATATTGGACAGACGGGATGTAGCATGAGCGGAAGACTAAAATAACACCAAATAAATATTAAACACTCTCAAACACATAAGTTGGTAGTTGCAGAACATGCTTGCCAACAAGGATACTCAATTGTTTTTGATAACGTTGAAGTGTTGTGTAAAACGAATTATTAGTGGCTGACACTAATTCTAGAATCTATTGAAATTGAGATAAATACTAATTAGTGTAACCGCTCTGACAGCCACAGGTTTCGTGCGACCTGGAAGCGCATTATTAAGTAATACACCTTACAACTGTAGTACTTATAAACACATGCTAATTAACTGATTAATAATCTATTATTTAATTACAATAACCACCCCGCCTCTGATCTCTGCACCTGATGGGTTCAGTGGCAACGTCATCTTGCTCTATTTAAGAACTGAAGCAGGTGGAATGCTTCACTATTCTGTCAAATCGCCAGATGATGTTGGATATAATTACCAGCGTTACGTCGTGCACTCAAATTGTAAATGTTGTGGGTTTGCTCTCCAACACACCGGCGGGCTGAAGTAGTCACTAATTGGCGCGTTGTTTACGTGACAAACCTTACTGGCTGTGTCGAGTGGTGGATGGTTACGACGCATTTATACTTACGCGATCTCACCCAAAAACCTTTATTATGAATAATATCTGTCACAAAAGCCTACTACGTGTTACAATAGAGTTAAATGTGACTCCATGTTGCGGACGGACAGACTGTGAATGCATTAACGCTTTCATCCATAGTTGGAAAGTATCACAAAGAATGCATTCTTGGATTGACATGTTCTGTCGAATGGAGTCAGGTTCTCAACACCAGTGCAGTGGGTAATCTTTAGAGGCCAGCTGCATACCCAGCCGCAATGGAAATATCCAGTCCACTCATCACTCCCCTTACCGTCTTCTGCATCATCATCCAGAGTTATGGTTATGAATGTAGTTCACAAAGGATTTCGGTACACAACATCCAGTTGTCCCACGACCATTTTATATTACAATTGGTAGTCAATTCAGCTCATCTTCTAGATTTGATCAAATAAATACCATTGTGTAGCAAGTCCTGTGTAAACAAAACTTAACCCTCCACATTTATACCTACGCGATCTAACCCAAACACCTTTATCATGAACTCTATTGTAATGTTGATCCAATCTGGACACTTAAGTCTAAAGATGCATCGTGATTCGGGACTTGCACCAGCAGCCTCTCCTGGCAGAATGGATCACATGAAGCCACGTGTGTACGAGGTAGAGCAGAGCCCCCTTTTGGCAATGCACTACTGGATGAGGGCCTCCCCACACAGATCAAATCTCCGGGCTTGTTTAACTCCACTTGTCCACGCCGGTCAGTGCGGGTTGGTGAATGCACGGAGCAATGATGGGTGCACATCGTACAGGACGGACAGTGGATTTCGCTGCACTGCCCTCTGATACCTTCCACGTGGCCCTGGCGGTACACGACAAAACAAACCATTGACACAAATAATCGATAGATATGCGCAAGTTCTAAGCATTTATGCTGAGCAAGCTAATCGATTAGACCGATGAATCGATATACCGTTGGGATGCTGAAATTGTTCTGTCATGAGCACGTGTGCAGTTTGGTGTCAGATACTCCATTGACCTTGGACACGGCTGCACAACACATTGTAGGCATGCAAGTCGGCAAACAATTTTTAAATGCCTTTATTTACACGCTGGTGGCACAAACATCATAATGACTTCGCTTGCATGTTAAAAAGAAAAATCACAACCAATTTTAACGAACGCTATAACGACGACATACAAGTTTTTCAAACTTGAGAGGAAAGTCAGCATACATCATGGAGAATCTCTCGGATCGAGTGGAACTTAAAATGCGTTTGGTCGCGACTTGGGAGCCTACTGAGAAGAGGGGTCTGAATGTCCGAATGGGGTGGGGGTCCCGAGCAGGGTCCACAGACGTGGCCAATTGTTTTAGAAGGGAAATCATCGAAAGACAAATTCATCACGGGCACGTAAGTACAACTACTTTGCTTCATCAAACCCTCTGTGTGTTTATAATACAAACCCTGTTTATAAACGTTGTAGATTGTTTTTACGATTGAGAACCACGGGGGTGCAATGCTGCAGTTAAGGTTAAGAACCACTGGTCCAGAGTCTGGAGTTCTTTTTTTAATAAACTTGCAAGAGCCAACTTTTTTCCTGAAAATCTATTTGATTTAATATCGACTCGGTGCAACGTTTTCATTTTCTTCCAATACGTGGTTGTTTTTATTTGATTGTTAATGCTCTGGTTTTATTTCTGCGTCAACGTTATTGCTTTTGTCGCACCTTGCAAATGAGACCTTCCTCATATCCCGAGTTCTCGCCTAGCCAATCAAAATAAAACTTGAAACTTGGAGATATGATGAAGAGGGTCCAGACGCATAATCTGCAAGTTTGTAATTCCAATGAAGGGACTGGTTTAGAGGTCCAATGGTGGGAATCTCTGGCCAGGTGAAAGTAACACCTGCAGTGACCCTTGGTTTTTAATCAACACGAGCATTAACAAAATACAATTATGATATTTAATGTAAACTCCTGCTGGAGATTTTATTGAACGGGCGAGGACCAGGTGGCCCATTGGAATGGTGAGAATCGACAGGCACGCGACACAAAGAGAGAAGTGTAGGCAGTACATCGCGTCGGCAGACAATGCCAAATGCCTTCTCAGCGGTGTGCAAATCAAGATGCACATCGCTCAGCAACGAATGTGGAATGTACATACACCGCACTTTTGCCAATCCACTGCTGGATGAAAGCCTCCACATGCCGTGCGGGTCACGCGAGTTATTAGACCTTGCTTCACCACGCTGGTCAGTGCGGCCTGGTCATAGTTCAGAACATAGACGTGATAGCATAGAAGTACATTACAACAATGGATTTTGCTGCATTGCCCACGGCTGCCCACCACGTAGCCCCACAGCAGCCAATAACCAACCGTAATGTGTCCGATCTCGTCACAATGTGAAAGCTGAACAGAGTTGAACCTGGATGGCGGTTGGATGGGTGCCCACTTTGCCTAAAACAAAAGTGTAATATTTATAATGATCATTATTCCTGCCTCCCTGACTTCCAGCTGCTCTGTCAAGGCGGTCTCGCTCGCTCAGCAGCCCGACTGAACCCAGAGGAGCGGCTAGTCGCGTAGCGTGACCTCGTTTAAATAGGGGGGGGGGCATACTCAGGAGGGGGCCATGAAACAGTCAATGTTAAACAAACTTGGAACAAGTCCTCAGAATGACCAACGGCAAAATCCACCTTTGTCCGTGTGCATTCTGCTCTAGTTCGCACCCTGCGTGTCAACATTGCCGACTTGACGACTCGGTCAATTATTACATTGCAGGATTGTAAAATATGGTTTAACGTCTGGGGAGGCCTTCATCCAACAGTGGATTGTTTCAGGTTGATGGTGAACATGACGATTTAGATGGCTCAGCCCCCTCCAGCGCCCCCCCCCCCACCCTGCCACCACAGGTCTGTAGAGGATGCACAGTTCACCGCGGTGGCTAGGAGATGTTAACTACCTCGCCTGGTATACAGGATGTCGTGGGTTCGATCCCGATCCTGACGCCTGCTGTATATTTGGAGTTTGCGGTGTCCGTCTCTCTCTGTGGTCGCATGGATTTTTCTCCGGGTCCTCCGGTTGTTCCCCCCCCATTTAGAAACATGCGTTTAGAGCATTTGGCTGCTATATATTTCCACATGAAAATCCACTTCGTTAGGCTATCGTTTGTAGCCGGGTAGCTCCTAAAAACAAGAGCGATACAGCTCCGTGAGCCTTACCTGGTAAAATACAAAATAATGTAGTTTCGATCAATGTCAACGCTCCACTTGCTGTACTGCCATCTCTTGGTCGGGTCATTTAGTATCCCGAGCCTGCAACACCCGGCATTCCGAAGGAACCTCCCACTACCCAAGGAAGTATTTGGCGGCTGCCCGATGTTTCACATCCGCCAGCCCACCGCTGGGCGAGGGTTTCTCCAGGCGGCCTAGCGTCGCGTGGGCTTGGGCATCACGTAGACACGCACGGGGCGGCACAGCGGCACCGTGCCCTCCACCGGGTTGGCGGGGGGCGGCGGGCCAGGGTCGGCGCTCTCCAGCCACGAGACGGGGCTCGGCGAGAGGCACGACGGCGCGGGGCCGACGCCGACCCGGCCGCTGTCGGCGGAGAACGCCAGCATCAGCGACAGCTCGATGTGACACGGCTCTGCGACGGAGAGGGAGGGAGCATGAGCGAATGAGCGAGTGAGCGATGGCGTGGAGGCGTGGAAAGGTACGGGGGGAGGAGAGGGTTTCGTCCAGGTCACGGTCACGCGTACAACTGGGATACACAATTATTAAGTCATCGACTAATCTACCAGTCAAAATACAGGTGCAATTTCATGGCGAATTTAAAATGTGTGCGTGCGTCATGTCCAGTGTGATTTAGCATCATAAGTCATGTCAGACTGGGTGTGGTTTTAAGGGGGGGGGGGGGTTCCTGCATTCGGAAGTCAGGATGCGGGGATCGAACGACATTTTTTTTGTTAAGTGGCCAGAGTAATCGATCACGATAACAATGGTCAATTATCACTTTGAGTAGACGAAACGACCCAACCGACTCATCGTCCCAGCTGTAAGCGCGTGTCTTGCCGCGCGTGTTCCCCCTCACCTGTCCACGCGGCGTGAGACATGTACACCTGGGTGATGAGGCGGTGTTGCCCCTCGCGGGGATTGCGGAAGTCTCCCGGCCGCGGGTGGATGATCTGGGCCTGGCCGTCAGGGTACACCACCTGCACACAGTCCCGTCATCCAACATTTGAACGGCGCCACGGTGGCGAGATGTTAACTACCTCACCTGGTATACAGGAAGTCGTGGGGGTTCGATCCTGACCCCGACGCCTGCATATTTGGAGTTTCCGTGTCTCTCTCCCCGTGGTTGCGTGGATTTTTCTCCAGGTCCTCTGGTTTTTCCCTCCACATTTAAAATCAACATCACGCGTTTCGAGTATTTGGCTGCTATAAATTTCCACGTGGTAAGCCACTTCATTGAGCTATCAATTGTGGCCAGGTCGCTTCTAAACAAGAGCTACATAGCTCAGTGGGCCTTACCTGGTCAAATAAAAATAGTTTAGTGTATTCCATTACAGCTTAAAGTAAAAAAGCAATACCAAAAGAACACATCTCTTCTCGCTCATTATCAATATCGGCCTTCATCATTGTATGACCACTGCTTCGTAACATCGTCAGCTGCGATCTATCCACTGCTGCATGAAGGGTTCCCCCAAGCCATCACCATCACTCATGGCATCACGAAGTATCATTTCATTGAGCTGCTGCACACGAGCCGATCCCATCTCGCCGTCATCCACCACCAGCCGTCATCCCTTGTAGCGACATGTTGTGCCCAAGTCCACTTACTGTTCTTAACAATCAGAATGAGGTCTACAATATTGATGTTATCCGATCCCAGTGTTCATATTCCTGTCGCTGGTGTTCTCTGCATACTTTTTTACATAATGGGTACCTAATGAGTTATCCTCCAACCCCACCGACGATTAAATGAATCGTCGCGATCCGATATCTGCCTCGGTTGTATATTTTCTCAATTTTTCCTATCCTGCGTGTGTAGTTTTAGTTTCTCCTGAAGTTTACGTGTAAACCGTAACTGGTCGATTCTTACACGCAGTTTTATGCATGCATTGCGATCTGAACAATCGCCTTTTAACCGATGCATTGTAACATGCGTGGCAGATATGTTAGCTCAGTGCCATGCGACCCGGCCTGTCCAACTTAAGATTGAAGCTCCGCTCGCGAGAAACTAATTTAAAGTGATTATCATGCACGTCACCATGGTGTTTCTAGTGGCGCCACTGGCATATGTTTTAATATATAAATCCAATTATGTGACTAAAGTACTCCAACAAGACTGTTTTTTCCTGGTATTTTTTAAATATTTTGCTCACATAAACTACGTTGGACTGGTGTGGCACAGCATGAGACACCAAAGGCACACACGGCTATTTTGTTTTTTCGGTTGTGTCTTCCTCTCAGTGCACAATTCCATTAGTACGCAAATACAATCTCATTACTTTCATGTTTTTCTATAACAAAACTACTCGGAATGTTTCCCTATCACAACCGACCATCTAATCAGTCATCATCCGTCTATCCATACAACCGTTATCAACAGCACTGCAGTGTGGTTAGGTGGTTGCGTGGTCATTGCAGATTGACCTCTGGGTTCCTGCAGTCCAGCCTTTTGCCGAATCTTATCTGACCTCACCCACTGATAATGCCCCCTGGAGAATGCAGTATCAGTGGTACACTGGCTGCTGAGAGGGGGTGATAATTCCGCTCTTACAAATGTGTGCCGTCATGTGCCTGGTACAGATACGCCAGCAACTATCGTGGTACATAAGCGCGTAATTTGTACAGAATTTGCAAGACTATTGTAAATTATCGAATCTCAAATATGAACAAAATTACGATGACGATTGACTCGCCAAACTTGCCTGAAAAGTACCTTTTCCTTACAGACTCAATCTCCGGTCGAGAAAGGTGTTCGGACAGTAAAAGGACAGGCCGTTGTATGAACGTGAGGGACACGGGGACACGTGTACAGCCACGGGGACACGTGTACAGCCACGGGGGCACGTGTACAGCCACGGGGACACGTGTACAGCCACGGGGGCACGTGTACAGCGACGGGGACACGTGTACAGCCACGGGGACACGTGGACTGCCACGGGGACACGTGGACAGCGACGGGGACACGTATACAGCCACGGGGACACGTGGACAGCCACGGGGACACGTGGACAGCCACGGGGACACGTGTACAGCCACGGGGACACGTGTACAGCCACGGGGACACGTGTACAGCCACGGGGACACGTGTATACCAACGGGGACACGTGGACAGCCACGGGGACACGTGTACAGCCACGGGGACACGCGTACAGCCACGGGGACACGCAGGTGAGACGACGTGCCGACAGACGGGCCGCGGGCGGCCGCTCACCGACCTGCACGCGCACGGTGCGGTGGGGCTCCGGCACGTTCTCCAACTTGGCGTCCACGTCCAGTGCCAGCACCAGCCCCGCCGTGAAGCGCAACGGGTTGTCCGACTCGCCCGTCGGCTCCAGGATGGTGGCGCGCGCCTGACGCACCTGACGCACGTACGCACACGTGCAGTATGTTGAACATCATCCGTGTCGTGCGTAGCCAAACGCGCTAATTGTGCGGTGAATGGGAAAGGCGGGGGGGGAAGGGGGGGCTTTGGCCGTGACGCACAATGCTGCGAAGCGATTATGTGCTCCACTTAGGCAAAGAGTTCTGTTTTTAGTGTGGTTGACCACACCTTATAAAACATTTGGGCACAATTTGTCAATTAAAATAAATTCTCGGGTAATTTTCAGCTGGATTTTTCCCCCCCAAATGTATTCCAGTTGTGCTATCGGCGTAGTGTCATAACATGATGCATCCATATAGTCAATAAAAAATAGTAATAGGAGTAATCTCACGGAGCAGTGTGCCTTGTTTGTTAGAGAAATGGCCCGTGGAAGCGGATGTTCATTAGACCTTCTTATTTGTGTACATAGTCAGGGCAACACGTCTCCATGCAATCTGCTATAAACTTGTAGCAGGACAGGAAAACCAGAGTTATATCTTTAAATTCTTAGAGCTGAAATTTTGGGCAATCGTTGGCAACCAAGCCGAGATCATTAACTCCCTACCCTTGATAACTCGGTTCAAATGCCAGGAGCTCAGCGCTGCCAGTACCGGTCGGTTTTCTGATATTGATATTGTTGGCCAATCTCATTTACTGCTGGCCTCTCCCTTCCTCTTTCTTCCCATTACACAAAAGCGATGCTTTTAAAATATCCACTTCTCCAACGGTTGCACCTACCACGCATGCGAGCACACGCACACACAAACAAAGATCCCCCGTATAGCCTTAATAGACTGTAGGGGCAAGTGCTGTTAGCGAGCACCTATGAAGGCCGGAACGGTACACGAGGGGGTGGGTGGCCAGCACCACGCCCGACCGCCTTTGTCTCCCCAGTGGCGATGTTTACACACCGCACCAGGTACTCATTTAAGGCTGAGTCGACCTAGGGGAGGCCCAGGACCGGTTCAGATAATCGTCACTGGTGTTGGCCGTGAGCGGGAATCGAACCCGGGTCGCCAGGTTCATAGCGCAGCGTACTAACCGCTACACTACCGCTCCCCACACGCACACACACACGCACACACGCACGCGCACACACACATGCACACACACGCACACACACACACACGCACGCGCGCACCAACTCGTCGAGCGCGCTCACCTGCGGGGGAAGCTGCATGGGCACGAAGGTGGTGTGCTGCAGCTGCGTGTGCAGGATGCAGATCATCTCGGCCGGCTTGCAGCAGGCGAGGCGCGGCATCGCCTCCAGCAACCGCTCCACAAAGCCGCCCTGCAGACGGCCCAGCTCGGCGTGCAGGCACCTACGAGCCCGACGATTCGCAGCGGATGAGCCGCGCTCGTGCCCAACAGCGTACCGGTTCAGTTGCCGACTCTACTGGGGTCACGACGACGTATTGAGTCCGTGTAGCACGGCGCTTTTTTGCATTAAAACACAACCCCATCGTTGAGATGGGTTTGCTCTTGCCACTATTCCTCGTAGCCCAGCAGCCTGACGATGCGGACGAGACGCAGAAGGTTCAAACCGGTCCAGAGTTTGCTGAATAAAATTGTTCCAGAAAGAGCCGACGGGCTAAATCATATTTCCATCTACATGTGCAGATATGGATACAAATATTATTTGTAGCTCCACCTCCGATGAGCATGGTTGGCTACGTACGGTGCGAAAGAAGTTGTACATACAGATAGAGATGAACATACAGAGGTCTGCTTAACTACGGTTCTACCTGTAATGCTCTATTAGGATGGGTCTAGCGGGCGCGTCTTGCATTTCGATTCGTACAGGGTGTACAAAACTCTTGTGGTCGCTGCCCCCCCACCGTCGCTGCGCTGCCAACTGCAGGGTGCCCTTTAATTGGAAGCCTCGCGCACATGACGGCTCCGTCTGGGCGCGAGCCACCGACCGCCGGGCCAGTGAGCGAGGCGCATGCTCGCGTGCGGACGCACGGCACGGGCACCGGCAGCCATTACCTCTGGAAGTCTTCCACCTCCTGCAGGAACTTCTCGCATCGGCTTAGGAGTGGCTCCTCCCTGAGAGAGAGCGAAACGAGTACGGGACAATGAGCGTCGACGGCTGCGAGTCGACGCTCGCCGCACACGGCGGGCGACGGCCGGTGAAAAAATACACAGAGGGACACTCGATCATCAGCGTGCTAGATTTCACCGAGAAATGTGCTTAAACATTAAACATGTGATGCGGGTGACAGTGAAGGTTCTCATCATGAAAATGCTTACGTTGAGCTGTGGCAGTTGATGGTGGTGATAATTGTGACATTGTTCCAATTACGATTACAATAATGGCGCTGATATTATGGCTGACAACGGCAGTGATGATGATGATGGTGGCAATGTAATGATAAAGATGCTGCAGACATGAAATCAAACTGTCAAAGCATAGCTCTGCTCAAAATCATTGTTGGGTAGCATGCATTTCCACTGACTGAGCGAGTGGTGGATATTCCTAATTCATATTGAAAGGTTTTCCCTGTATGATACTATTGCAGATGAAACTTTCAACGAAAACGAACAGCGTGGTAATAGGATTAACTGAAAGCGATGCAGCAGTGTTGATGCCGTTCCTGACGATAATGGTTATATAATATCTACATCACTGTTACTGTGGCTGCTGGGGCTCATGCGATTTGAAAGCGTTTGGATTGATGACAAAGACCGGCTTGGAGACTGGGGCACTGGACAACCCAAAATTTGATTTGCAAGCCGGTTGTTCTAGTTGCAGGTAACGGGTTGCTGCTCGACCATACTTCCCCACGCTGGTCGATGTGCGTTCTTGAGCACAGATGTGGCAGCAAAGTACAGTAAAACAATGGATTTGTCTGCACTGCACTGCCCTCAACACAGCCCTGACGCAGCCTATAATACCTGCTTTATACACGGTGTTTGCCCACACAGGCGCTATGCAGGCTCAACTCTGAATCCTGTCTCAAATCCGACGAGACAGAGGCACTTCGCAGGATAACTGGTCACGGGCCAATGGCTGAACGTTTGTAGCGGAAGACCGCAGCTTTCACACGGCCCACTCTGTCCAGTGAGCAATCGCGACCAATGCCACCAATCAACCCGACGACCGCTCATCGATCAACGCATCTCCCGGTCTCCAGAGCGACAACCCAAGCGGACCCGTTTGCCAGGAGGAACACCGCCAACTTTGCAGAGTGTGGCTCCTCACCCCTGGTTGGTGCGTGCCTGGAGGACGAGCTCCAGCGCCTGCGCCTCCAGCCGCGTTTGCCGCACCATCGCCACCTGCAGCGGCTCCAGGCCCCCGAAGAGGAACTCCAGGCGGTAGGTGTGCTCCACGATCTCAACGCCGCAAACGACGACGACAACAACAACACCGCCAACGCAACCCGCTACATTCCTTCTTTTCTTTCATCTCTCCCCCCCCACCACCACCACACACACAACAATAATATTTCAACTGTGCTGTTGGGTATCGTGTTGTCATGTGGACAACTCTCACGGGAAACAGTGCCGGGATCTTTGACGGTGGACGTTAAAAAACCCGTGGCGTTATTTGAAAACAAGTAGGCAATTAATTTTTTTTACTTAATTTGGTAAACGCACATGGCAACATCGATGACTATTGGCAGACGATATCCACATGTAAGACATAGCACCTTTGTGACAGCCTTGCGCTATGAGAATGGCATGAATATCAAATGTATCATGACTAACATTATTCACGTGTAATATTCTAGCCCCTGGAAAAAAATGTGGAGGGAGGGAGGGGGGAGAGGGAATGGGGGTGGGAGGGGAGGGGAGAGAGGGAAGGGAGAGAAAGGGAGGGATAGGGGGAGAGAAGGGAGGGAGGGATAGGGGGAGGGAAGGGAGGGAATGATGGTGGGAGGGAGGGGAGGGAAACGGGAAGCAGTGCTGGGAGGGAGGGAGGGGGGGAATGATGGTGGGAGGGAGGGGAGGGAGAGAAACGGGAAGCAGTACCGGGAGGGGAGGGTGGGACTCACCTGGGCGGCTGCATTGGAGGCTGTGCTGTCCTGAGGCAGATACAGGGGGACGGCCATGGACCACACTTTGTCCTGGAGAGCCTGGGGAATGGTGGGAGTTGAGGGGGGGAGGCATAGGACTCACTATCACGGGTGTGTGCACAATGCCGATTCACTTAGAGCTCTTCCACTGGTAAATTAAGGCCTTTGCACGCTTCAACCATACTTCATCACGCTGGTCTCGTACGGATTGGTGTCAGAGTCCCAGGACCGGTTTAGATATCACTCTCCACCGACGTTAGCCAAAGCTGGGAATCGAACTCGTGTCACCAGGTTGCTAGCGCTGACCACTGGGCTAGCACTGACCACTGCACCCCCTCCGATGGGCTCTGACTTGGTTATCAAGGACACTTACCAGTGGCCTGCGCAACAGGGATTACACCTCAGCGGACCGACGGGCCGCACATCTGATAGGCTTGAAACGATTCACACATTCACCAATTCTAGGTCACGCTTTAAGTCAAGAATCAAAAATGTATTGTCTCATTCCTACCATCAATATAGGATTTTAGGTCAGATCGCGTTATTTATAAATGTGTCGTAACCCTCCATCACCCGACACGGCCAATCAGTAAAAATTGTGTCACGTTTTTCAAAGGACAAATTAATTAACTTCTTTAGCCCACCGGTAATTATCAGCGAAACGTCGTACTCAAATTTTTAAATGCTGTTGATTCTCTCTTCAGCACACCGGTGGGCTAAAGAAGTCAATTAATTTGTCCTTTGAAAACGTGACACATTTTTTACTGTTTGGCCGTGTCGGGTGGTGAAGGGTTACGACACATTTATAAATAACACGATCTGACCCAAAAACTTATATTATAAATATTATTGGTCGTGAAAGCCTACGTGTTAAATTCCTAACATCAAGTTTGCATTGTTTGTAGTTTTTTCCTACCTCATTTGTACAGTTTTGTTCCAGGAGCCGAGACATAACGTGAAGCGTAGAAGTTACATAAATTGTCAATCATCTATCACTACGCTCATGGCTCAGTGCAGATTTCCTAAGAGTAAGGATGCACTTTGCTAAATTATTATTACGCTTATATTCTTGGTTCTTTCGGTAAGTCATGTAGAAGGGAAATAATAAAAATATAAAACAATAAAATTCTCACGACGTTTATTGTTGTATATTTTTATTATTTTATTATTTCCCTTCTACGTGACTTTACCGAAAGAACCAATAATATGAATCCCTGCAGTAACGAAAGCTTTAAATCAATATTATTACGCTTGTTTACCTAAAGCTTCACCGGGTCTCGAAACTATTTTTCCTGCCAAGTTTTCACAGTCAGGGACAACATTGCTGCGTGCAATCGTAATTGAGTAATTTACAGGTAATTTTTCATCATTTTGAATGCTTGGCCAATACCAGCTACGTTGTATGGGGGGGGTTGGGGGGGGGTTAGCTATGGGAGGAAACCGGCGAACAAGGGAGACATCCATTGAGAACAGGGTGGGAGAACGGGTGGGGGGGGGAAAACGTGCAAACTCCACACGGAGTAGGGCCAAAGCCAAAAATCGAGCCTTGTCCCTTCTTGCGGCGAGGCACAAGCGTTACCACTGTGCCACCGTGCCGCGTTCAAACGGTGCATCGATGCGTTGTGACGTGCACCGTATCGGGCAGGGGGCGTCCTTGCGTGCGTGATCCTCACCTCCGTGAGCAGCAGTTTACACTGCAGGTAGAGCGCAGAAAACTCTGCCGCTCCCGTGAGTTCAGGCTGCAAGCTCCCCCAATCGCTTCAAGTCCCTGGAAACGGGCAGAAGAGCAAGAGGGCGCATCCAACATATGAGCGCAGGCTGCCTTTCACATCGCAGGCCAAGACGGGAAATACAGCGGAGCGTGAGATACCCCATGAGGCTTTTGAGACCAAAATGTAAGGCGGCCAGAAACCAGCGTCAACGTGCGCCCAAGCTCTGTGATCTGACAACAATTGCCCAATTTAGTCATTTAGCGCTGTGGTATATGCCATAGTTCTCCTGGTGTACACTCGTGGTGCGCAAGACTGTCCCGTGCATATTCTCGCGATGTTCACGTGCGCCATCTGGCGGCGCGCGCTGGCAGTGAATGCTCCAGAGTCGAGACGTGGCCCGACTGTGCCCACGTGTTTGTTCAAACGGTGTGTTCGAGCTTCCTAGCAGCATTTTAGAGTGTCATAGTGACGTGTGTACTATGCGAGTTGTATCAGTGTGTCCCTTCGTGTGGCGTTCCTAAACTCCAGTTCATACAATCTCCCACGGACTTTTTCACGATTAACAATATTTTCTCTTATGCAAGCCACTGCACACTGCACATGCCCGACGGTTGGTATGACGGCAAGCTACGCTTGGGGGGGCAGGGTTGCGATTGCTGGAGATGAGAACGCTGCCTTGGTGCGTGTTTGAACGGCATATGCCCGAATTGAGCAGTCTGGCCCTTATACCTCCCCTCCTTTCCACTCGCACATCTGAGCCGAGCCAGTTCTGGGCCATCGGTGGTATGGGGAGTTTTTCACGGGCTCATTTTCTTACCGAGCAAGAGACAATCCATGACACGCTGGCGGCCTCAAAACACATCTGTGGCGACTCGGGGCCAAGCAGGGCCGGAGACGGACGTAAAAAAACGTTAATTGCGTATGACGCGAGTCAGCACGCCGCGAGGACACGGCTTCACCGCATCGCCCACGCCCGTCTCTACACCGTTCGATGCGTGCGACGTTGGAGAAGCGGCTCGGCCTCTCCAGTGGAAAAACACAACCCGGCACCTTCCGAACGGCACGGCTAGGTCGTTGCGGTGGCAAGAAGGAGCTATCATCGGTGGGCATCGTGGCAGGGCACCCAACTGCCCCCCCCCAACCCGAAGCCGTGCGTGCCGGTGCGCTGCTTCACCGGATGGTGAGCTGCAGCAGCCGTGCCGCCCCGGGCGTGTCTGCGCGCCGCAGCTGCTGCACGCGCTCCAGGCTCTGCTGCAGGAAGCGGGCGTCGCCGGCCTCCACGGCCGCGGGGGCCTCGCACATGGAGCCCCGAACGCAGCCCTGCACGCACGCACGCACGCGGCAGGTGCCACGACAGAGGGGTCACTCGCGTTGGATACGTAGCCCGTACAGTTGAGTTCTGCTCATCATCGTCGTCGTCATCAGCAGCTGTCACGGATGATCCACTGCTGGACGAAGGCATCCGCCCGAAGCCGGTGTGCGATTGACCTCACCGGCAGGGAGGGCACCAGGTGGGAGAGGCTGTCCCTGAGGTAGGTGTAGTGGCGGAGAGTGTGGTCAGGGAAGAGGGCAGTCATGGTCGGGCAGCTCTGGGCAGCGTTGAACACGAGCAGCAGCACGGCGATGTCTGCTCATGCTTCGATTAAGGAACCACGAGACATCCACAGCAAACACAAGGTGCTCGCAACACATGCTCACGAACATAATGAAAAAGATCTGGCTCAAATACACAAGTGCTAAACAATAACACACACACAGACAAAAATCACGAAAACAGAAAACCTTCATTCTTGTTGGAGCATGTGCTGTTGGCGAGCATCCACCGAGGTTGGCACAGCAACATAAGGTTGCCATCACACAGGTGCGAGGAGAGTTTGGCCACATTTGCCTAATCAGCACCGATGTGGACAACACAGTTGCACCAGATACTCGTGAACAATAGGGATACATGCAGGGTCGTCCATGTCTGGCTCGGGCGTGTCGAAGAATGGGTGAGTGTTGAGCAGCTCTGGCACCAGCGACAGCACGAGCGTGGGGTGGCGGGCGCCCATGTGCTTCAGGCACCTTGCGGGGGACAACAAGAAGCCAAAGCGCAAAACCACAGGCCAGAGATAGTTACGCGTGGGATAATAAATGCCGATGGTAACAATAACGGCACGTAAACCTTCGACGTCAAACACCCGATAGCCAGCTTTGAGGAATACGCAACCTGCTCAGGGACTCGCTGGTTAAGGGCCCCGGCCCCTCAAGATGCCGTGGGACTCTGTGAACAGGACCTAGCCCCCCATGGTGTCCTTGGAGCAGTTGGTGCTGCCCTGGTTGCCCCTGGGACCTATCAGTGATGACGCTGGGTCCCGGTAAATCGCCCCTCCCACCTACCCCAAAAGTAGACTTGCTCTTGCCTGAAAACGTTTCTGTGCCTCTGTTTATTGGGATTCCCTCTCAATTTCTTGGGTTTTCCCCCCAAGGTTCTCCAGTCGGGGTCCCACTGATTTGAACCCGTTTGCGTTGATGGGTACGCTCAGTGTAATTTTAAGTGTGCACTCCTCCATGCTTCGTTGCCCCGTTTTCAGTTTTTAGATACGACGCCAAAGTTCAGGTGAGAACTATCGTTTTGTTGGCCAGTGCTTCGCCGACTGACCCTTTGCCCCAACTCATTACAAAATAAGGCTTCACATTTTTCCTCCGCAATTCACCGTAAGTGCGTCCGGGGCTTTGAGGGTGTGAGTGGTGACTGTGGCCGGGCGACACTCACGTCCAGATGGAGTCGCGGTCCGACGGGTACTTGGTCAGGTTCTTGAGCAGCTCCAGGAGCGCCATGTGGACGCCGGACTTGGTGGCCACACTCGTATAGCACAGCAGCTCCTGCAGCGCCTCCCGGATGTCCCGCGACGAATCCTGGAGCAAAGCACGCGCACACATGTGCATGAGAAATATATGCTTCATCTGGAGTGCATAGTCTTGACTTATCATAATAATTTTCAGCGAGTCAGTTCACTGATTGATGATGGCCACTCCATGTCATCAGTGCTGGTTGGTGCAAATGGAGACCATAGATCCCAGAGCACAGATGTACAGCACACTGGATTGTGCTGCACTGCCCTCTGCTGCCCACCATGTAGCCCTGCAGCCTGGAGATATAACCTGTTTGTGTGTGGTGACCACACCATCCAAGCACTCGACCCTACGAAACTTGGGCAAGGCCGCAAAAAGGTTTTTGTAGGCCCAAGGCAAAATGTAAAATGAGGCCTCCCTTGAGAAGCCCTCTCGGCCCAATGACGTCTGACACTCGGGACAAACAGTTCCTCCTGCCCCCCCTCCCCTCTTTCTGCAACGGGAGTTGACGACACAGCTGCCGCTCGCCGACTCGGGCGATTACGTGCGAACCTCAAGCACAGCGAGCACGGTGCCGAGCTGGTCGTCGCGCAGCGTGATGTTCGTGGAGATGCGGCGCAGTGCGTGGATTGACTGCAGCCGCACGTCCTCGATCTCGTCGTTGAACATGTCCACGAGGAAGTCGAGGCACTTGGTGGCGAAGGAGCGCGAGGTGAGCGCCAGGGAGCACAGCGATTCCACGCCCGCCATGCGCACCTCTGCGAGCAACGGTGGTCACAACCATGCACACAAAGACAAAGATCCCCCGTATAGCCTTAACAGACTGTTGGGGCAAGTGCTGTTAGCGAGCACCTATGAAGGCCGACATGGCACACGAGGGCACCAGCACCCACGCTCAGCCGCCTTTATTTCTCTAGTGACGATGTTTACACACCGCACCAGGACCTCATTTAAGGCTGAGTCGACCTAGGGGAAGCCAAGGACCGGTTCAGATAATCATCACTGGTGTTGGCCGTGAGCAGGAATCGAACCCAGGTCGCCGGGTTGGTAGTACAGCGCGCGGACTGCTACACTAGCGCTCCCCACAAATGCACACAATGTGCACACACACACAAAGCACGACGGTTTTACGCATTTTCCGACAGACAATAACGGCCATAAAACTGGGTGTGGCTCGTAGTGGACTCCCTCCATTTTCGAGAGGTAGGATGTGGGGGCTGCCAGCATCTTTAAACAGGCCTGAGTAATCGCCCGCAACAACAACAAAAAATCGGTCAATACCAATTGAAGTTTACACATGGACGTGAGCGACCTTAATGTGCCAGCTCCAGCCGCGTGCGTGTGTATGCGTGCGTACACGCGTACCGTACAGCTCGTCCTCCAGGCCGTGAACGAGGGCCCCGCACGCGCCCTGGTTGATGAGGCTCACGGCGTCGGTGCTGAGCTCCTCGCGGGGCGCATCGTCCGCCCACTTGCGCCCCGACGAGAACTCGCCCGACGTGAAGAGCTCCCGCGAGCGCTCGTGGGCGCTGCGCTTGCGCTGGAGAGAGAGGCAAGGCGTGCATCGAGGTGGTGCGGTGAGCGGGGTGAGCGCGCGAGCCACACCACGTGTTGCCTCCGATGTTTGTTCGGGATGCGAACGTCCTCAAGAGAGCGATACAGCGGTAGTCACAAACGACGCGTTATTCAGTCAAGGTGTGCGAGAACTAGAAGTGTAGTTCCAGGCCTTACCCTGAGATCCGACATGAGCTTTTTATCCAAAGTCTGCTCCAGAAATTTCTCGCTCACATTCAGCATTGTTCCCTGTACGGACGATATTAACAAGGTTGAAAAATACATTATACAATTCAAAGTGCCATCTGCGCCATGGGCATATTGATAAAATCCTTGGACAACCCTGGAAGTCGGGTGCATGTAGAATAAAAAAAATATTTCTTCCCAGTTTTATTCCGATTGTGCTGTCAGTGGCAAGTTACGAGACAAATAATCCATTGGAATTTCTGGAAGGACAATGCAACCCTTCATGTTAGAGAATTGCCAAAGGAAATGGATATCACACAGCTACCCCTAAGATCCCTTCAAGAGACATCTGGACCACACAGCAGAAGGCAATGCTTTCCTGCCACTGAGCCCGTTTGTTAAACTGATACTTTATAATTCGATAACGTTAAACTGCGTGTTTTTATTCCAGCTGGAATTTAGCGAAATTGCAGAACCAAATTGTACTCGCTTCAACCAACTCACTAGACCACTGCACTTGAGACACCAGTTTCATCACATGCGGCTCCCGAGATTCTAAAGTAGCTCAACGCTCTGACCTCCGAGTGACCTCGTGCAGAATCGCCGTTCAATAAACGATGACGCAAACTCACCAGCATCTTGGCAGCCTGCACTCGGACGAGCAGAGAACCGTCGCTCACCACCTGGCAGACCTTGCCAAAAGCGTCGTCCACCAGACGGATCTCCTCATTGGAGGAAGGAACCGGCACCACACTGTGGGGTGGGGCAAAGTTTGGTACGATATTACCAAAACAATGTGTACACAAGGCTGAATATCTCACACCTACAATGAAATGGAAACTATAAAAACGAACAGTTCTTATTTTTGCAGATCAGTTAGAAAAACCTTATTCTTGGTTCTTTCGGTATTACTTTATTATTTCTCTTCTACGTGACTTTACCGAAAGAACCAACAATATGAATCCCTGCAGTCACGAAAGCTTTAAATCAAAATTTAGAAAAACCTTGTTTCCCTGGCTGTCTCGCATGAGTTTGAAGCTTTGCCAATGAGAATAGTATCTGAAAGTTACGGTCAAGCACTCCACCACAACGTTTTCTAACGACGTCACGTTCATGATGTATGCAAGATGCACGGGAGTGATGTTACAGAGATGTAACCTCGAGTACTATTCTAGATTTGAAGCTTTCATGACTGCAAGGATTCATATTCTTAGGTTTTTTCGGTAAAGTCACGTAGGTAAAATATTTTAATTATATACAAATACTGTGTTCTTGGAATTTCTCTCACTTGATACAGCTATCGTGCTGTGACGGTTCCACCTGAAGACGGAAGCTTGTGTTGCCTCCGAAACGTCGTGATTTATTTTTTTATTCTTTTTTTACTTTTACTTTTATTAATTAGAATTTTTTACCTCCGTGACTTTACCGAAAAAACCTAAGCATATGAACTCGAGTGCTATCATGATGTGCTTCACGTGGCCTTGACTTTACCTTTCAGGGTAAATCTGGCTGATAACACAGATGAGTCTCACAGCCGCTGACCGGACCTGTTCATAGTCGTCAGACAGAGCCTGGCAAGTCTACACACACACACAGGTGGATTAAGCAAACACAAGTATAATACACACACACATGCAAAGCTCTTGAACAGAATCACTGTTAGACTTTCAGAAAATGTGCATAGACGCAAGTAGACTTATGGCGAGGGCATCTGGCTCCCACCTGCTGATAGACGCTCTGGTCCAACTTCACGCCACGGTCGTGCAGCTGCAACTGAACAATCAGAGATAAACATTCGGCCTGAGCTGCGATACCGTTTTACAAAGACCAGAAGGTGGTGCATGAGGATATTCAAACTACAGCAACCATACACACATGTTTTTTTTATAATTAGGATAATTGACAAATTACATGAATTATAGGACGGTAGTCCAAACCTTAATAGCCTTAAATCTGCACGATTCCAAAATTATGCTGTGAATTCACAACAGTTTGTGTTACCACCAGTGGTGACAGACATCTATACTGGTCCTGCGCACAACCTGCCTTCAGCCTGTACTGACCAGTGTGATCATATTCGATGAAACAACCCCCATGACCAACACAGCAAAGGGAGGTAGATTGCCCAAGGGATGTAAAATATTATGAATGAGAGCAGTGACCATGAGAATGATGACAATGATTGTGATGTTGATAATGTCCCTGATAATGATGATGGAAAAAAAAGATTACTCTTCACCAACCATGGCATTGATGGCACTGGTCCGGACCCTGGCATCCTGGTCAGTGAAGGAATCTCCCAAAATCCTTTGCACATCTCGCGGTGCAGCCCCATCACCCTCCTTCACAACTGGCTGGAAAGGCTCCCCAGACAGGCCAATCAGCTGTAGACATTTGCTCCGTACACCATGGTAGGAGTCGGTGAGAAACTGCAAAAAAAACATAAAAAAAGTCACGTGTTTGCAATAATTACAACTGTCATGAATGTAACACCTACAGTGGTTCTACTACTCTATGTATATCCACCGTCGGTTGATAAAATTTCAAGGCGGACTTGTCCTGTGCTATTTTACTACTACGTTTAAATGCTCTGCATAATTGAATTTATGAGTGTTATCACCACCTCCTTTCTTCTGATAATTCTTATCCTGTGTCACCTAAGCAAAAATTCACCAACGCATTCTCCAGTATCGTCGCTTTACATTCACATCGAAACTGGCACATCAGCTCGCTCGCTCGCTACCCGCCGTCACATGTTGGAGTGATGTCACACCTTGCAGGCGACATCGACAAGCCTTGCCCGCAGGGCGCTGGCCTCAGACTGCAGGGAGCCCAGTGCCTGCAGGGAGTCCAACAGCTGGGCTCTCACCTGGTGTGACTCTGGTGGGGGGGGGGGGGTGAAGGGCAGTCAGGTGGTGGGCAAAAGGGCGAAGAGTGAGAAAGGCACCCCTTTAAGCCACAACTAAAACCACTAAAAGCACTGGACCAATAACACCAATAATAGCACTGCACCAGGGTGACAAGTGATACAATGAATACAAGCACTGACTCTCAGAGTTGAGTGCGTTGATGACGTCATCGAGGACTGAGTCGGGCGTGAAGCCGGGGGTCTTGGTGAGCAGCCCGAGCAGCGACGCAATCTTCAGGCGCACAGAGCTCTCCGACTCCTGCAGTGGGATGTGAATGCACACGGACACATGTAGAGAATGCGCTTTACAATGCTAAAGGTTTGTTTATCTTATGCAAAATTTCAGACATCATGCGCAACAACCTGAAAACACATTAGAGCGCTATACAGCACAACCACGAAAACTTACGGAGGAGTAATCTGGACTTCTAAGTTGATATTAACTCAGCCATATGGAGCAGTGGTGCTTCACAGCAAGAAGAGCCTGGGTTTGATTACTCAGGCACATTTCTGTGTAAAGTTTTATGTTCTCCCCCTATTCTATATGGGTTTCTTCTGGGCTCTCCAGCTTCCTTCAATATAAAACAAATATACAACGTGACCGGTATTGGCCAAACATCCCAATATAGTACCCTCCTGAAAGGGAGTCTTAGGACTCAGTGTGGCTTTCCTAGGTAAATAAAACTGTTATAAACGTCTCTTGTACAATCAACAGTCCCCTTGCTTAACCTTCTTCCATTCCTCTCTGAAAGCTCACCTCTTCTCTACCGCCCAATCTCTTCCCTCCATTTGCCCCTCCGCCCCTTTCCTGATCCCCAAGAATTCTCTATCACTGTGACTCATTCCTTAATCCTACCATCTAAATATTTATATTGTCACAGTTTTTCAAAGCTACGTCGACGCTTTGATTGAAGGCACTCTATAAATATATAGATTATTAATTATGCAAATGTCATTGTGCGGTGGTGAGATCTTCAACTGCCTTGCCTGGTATACAAGATGTGGTTGGTTCGATCCCCACCCCGATACCTGCTGTATATTTGGAGTTTGCAATGTTCTCACCGTGGTCGCGTGGATTTTTCTCTGGTTCCTCCGGTTTTTCCCACCACATTTAGAAACATGGGTTTAGAGTATTTGGCTGCTATAAATTTCCACGTGATAACAAGCAACTTCAATTGGGCTATTATTTGTGGCCATGTCGCTTCTGAAAAAGAGCTATACATCTCAGTGGGCCTAATCCAGGAAAATAAAATAAAAAAGTTTTAGTTTAGTTGAGTATCATAGGCACTTATCAGTGCCTACCTTATTACAGACCAATCCAGACCTTATTGGTCACCCCGTGCCCTTATAAAGCTCAACATTCATCCTACAAAGTCCCATCACAAGGGAGAAACACAAACAAATCGACACATTTTCTTTTTTCCCGTTTTGAAACGGCGTACTCAGATTGTAAATGTTGTGGCGTTTGCTCTCCAACACACAGGTGTGCTGTACTAGTGACGAATTGGCACATTCTGTTTCCGTAACAAACCTCACTAATTGGCTGTGTCGGGCGGTGGCGGGTTTAACGACACATATTTTTACATGACCGAACCCAAAAAACCTCTATGATATTGAAACGGCCATATGGTCCCGCAAACTCAATTTCCCCTACACAAGAACACGGTGTAAACCGTCCGGGTGGACACGGCGCGCGAGCGCGTCGGCATTGCCTTGTAGTAGTGGTCGAGCAGGATCCGCAGCACGCCCTCGGCGCTCTCGGCTTCCACGGGGCGGCGGGCGAAGTGCAGCAGCAAGTTGAGCGCCTCGGCGGGGCCGCGCGCCCGCGACAGCTCCACGTGCAGCGCCGCCGACTTGCTGGGCTTGCTGAGCCGCAGGCGCTTGGCGGCGGCGGCAGCGGCGGCGGAGGAGGCAGCGGAAGAGGAGGTGGTGGCACCCTCATCCTGCTGGCAGCGCGGGACGACAGCAAAAAAAAGCGCGGTCACACCAGAAAAAAAGGCCGTCCATACAAAAATTGTAATTGCTTGAAAGGAGGCAATTAATTGATTAATTGATAACGATTTTTATACAGGCATGCATTGTCACCGGATCTGAGTCCGTGTGCAAATTTTGGGATTGATTGGACAACAGGAAGTAGACTAACTTTTGATTACAAGATTTGACCACGACAAACACGAGTCAAGTTAAAAACACAGAGTTGATATGCCGTGTCGAGCCATGCGGTTTAACCCCGTATTCTCTTGTACGGGGAGATTGAGTTGTCAGGTCCATACGGCGCACAGCTGTTTCAATATGGGCAACAACAAAAATGTTGTCTATTTATTTGCGTTTCTTTCGTTGTGTTGGGACTTTATAGGGTGAACGTTGAGATGTATAAGGGGAACGGGGTGACCACTAATGTCCCCGAGTTGGTCTGTAATAAGGCAGGGCACTGACAAGGGGTTGACAGGTTTGTATTGGTGAGTGTAGTAGTGGTGATTGTCTATTTGTTTGTGTTTCTCCCTTGTGTTGGGACTTTGTAGAATGAACTTTGAGATTTAAGAGGGGCACTGGGTGACCAATAATGTCCCCTAGTTGGTCTCTAATAAGGCAGAGCACTGACAACGGGTTGACAGCGATGCTGCGAACAGGCGTCGAAAGGCCTCTGGGCAGCACACGACACCAGCAGGGTGGCCAAAAAAAACCCCCACGCAACTCATTTGAGGCCGAGTCAACCTAGGGGCGGGGGGCATAACCGGTTCAGATAATCGTCACCGGTGTTGACACCGTGAGCGGGAGGCGAGCCCAGGTGCGCCAATCGTTTTGGCTCAAATTCTGCTTCAATTCCCAGATATGGCCCAGGTCTGGCACATTGCGGTGGTCACGGGCAGTTGATGGTTACAGAGGTTTGTTCGATCCACTGCTGGATTACGGCCTCGCCACGCCTTGTCGCGGTCATTGGAGAGATTTCACCATACTTCACCACACTGGATATATGTAGGCAACTGTATTTATCACTGTACTCGAAGTCAACATTGGTCCCACGATCAATCGAGCGTCGGGGGAGGGCAGCGTTTATATCCCGTTCACGGACGTGAGTCAGTGGACGAAATTCCACATTCACATGGCGGGGCCGAGTTAATCCGTGTGTCTGGGGGGTCCTTCTTGAATGTAACTGCACACAACTGCGCTGTATACAGATCAAAGCAACGCGTGACGGCGACTTGGGCGCATAATGAGAGTTGGGCAAACACACGCACAACGAATAAACATCGACGAGAACGACAAGAAATGAACATCGGATGCAACGACCACCCCCAGCGCCAACGCGCCGCGCGTGTGGAACGATTCTAGCGCGGCAGCTCCCCACACACGCGGCGTGTGGACGTGGCGGCAAACGCGGATCGGCTTCGTCCCCGTCGACCGAGAGCCTCGCGAACCTGCGCGGATTTGCTGAACTCCTCGTAAACGCGCTTCTTCAAGTGGGCGGCCATCGCAGCCGCTTTGCCTTTAATCGCTCGGCCTCAGTGACGATGCCGCCACCGTCGCCATGTTGCCTAGGGAATTGGGAGGGGGGGGGGGGTTAAACGCCGCCATTTTGCCTAGGGAATTGGGAGGGGGGGTTAAACGCCGCCATATTGCGTAGGGAAAATGGCGGGGACGGATTAAATACCGCCGCCATATTGCGTAGGGAAAATGGCGGGGACGGATTAAATACCGCCGCCATATTACGTAGGGAAAATGAAAAACAAATAATATGAATTCCTGCAGTCAAGAAAGATTTCAGTCAAGATTGTACCGTCGCCAAATTACATATTTAAAAAAATTGGGAAAAAGGGTTAAATACTACCGCCATCTTGCGTAGGGAAAATGGGGGGTAAATGCCACCATGGCCTCGAGCGTGTGTCGAGTTCTGATGACGTCACGCTCGTCCCCCCCCTCCCCCACGTTTTATTCCTCCCTTAGTAAGATGGCCGCCGCCACCAACTCCCCCACGTCCAAAGGACCCTTCGCTCACTAGAGAATCTCTATTGACACTGGAGGGCGAATCCGATTAACCACAAAGCTCTTTTTTATCCCACAGCACGGGGTCTGAACGTTACGACAAACAATGCAAAATACACGATAGGGGTATAAAGTATAGGAAATGTAAACTTTTTTTTTCAAAGAAATCTCCATATAATTTTTTTTATCTTATCAGATAAAGCCCACCGAGCTATTCCCTTTTTTTCAGAAGCGGCCTGGCCACAAATAATAACTCAACGAAGCGGCCCATCGTGTGGAAACATTTAATATCACGACGCAATGCCCCGTCCGCAAAAATACGACGGAGACAATCATCACCGCGGCGCTAAACTCCGCTGCTCATGACCGCGCTCGTCGTCTGGCTTGACCGCCTGAATGTGAAATCGTAGTCGCCGCTCTGCAGCCGTAGGAAATAAATAGAATAACAATCCCCTGTCAAATTAAAATCCCCTGGCCTTGTCAAATTACATTTGGGGACTTAACCAGCCTCCCATTCATTCAACACCGCTAGCATCCACGCTCTCAAATCCCTACAACAGATAAGCGCGCCGCCCGCGCCTCGCTATCCCCATTGGCTTAGAGCGCGCACGTGACTACGCGACGGCCGCTTCCCATTGGTCGGCGAGTCCTTGTGGGCGGGGCCAACGCGTGTTCTGTCTATGGAATGTACGGCCTCGGTTGGCTCCTCCGTAGCCTCGCGATGTCAGGCGGCGGCGGCGTCGTCGTGAGCCGTCAGCTGGTGCGAGCAGCGTGCGTGGACATCCCACAGTAAACGTAATGCTTCTCTTGAGGCAACCACAACTTAGGTATTAATCATGCGCAGAGGCGAGCGCGGTTAGTACATAGCGCGTAGACGCACCAGCTTAGTCGTCGTGCTGTAACCATTACATCACTGTTCAGCAGCCTGGGAATGAATGGCAGCCGGCGCCCTGCTAATTGGCACAATGTTTAATTATAACCCGCCGTAATTAACGGCGTTTGTCTTGCCAACGTTATCATTGAGCCGCCTTGCAAATTCTCTGCCTGCAGATACACAGCGGCGTGCCTGCAGGTCGCGGTATCCACAACCGTGTGCTGCTGTTACGTCCGCGTTTTATTATTTAGTAATCTCTAAACTTGAATTGATGTCGCCTCTTCGTTTCGCAGATGGAGAGAGAAGCGGCGGTGTCGACACGTCGTGGATCTGCGTGACATGCGGCGAGGTTGCGGCGCGGGCATGTCAGCATGAGCATAGTGAGTACAGCTGATACGCGATGCCTTTAAACTCTGTGGGCCCTCTGTGGGTAGAGCGTGTTACTGGCTCCTGTTGTTAAGCCATATAGATCGTCTTATTAAGTACTATTGGGCCCTATTTGCATACACGTTACACGATCAAGACACCTCGCAATTTTACAGTGGGCATGTGTCCACGCAGACAGTCAAAGGCTGGCATTTGGTTCACGTTGATTTAGTAATAGGTTTTTACCCTTTCAACTGGTACAAAAACTGACACCTTTATACAAGGGATCATGTTTGCAATAACCACAACACAAGCAGTCAAAATGCAAACAAAAAGAAACAACTCTGATAATGATATGCACTGTCCTTGAAGTTGATTGGTCCACACCCGAGACAGCTTTTCTTAGATTTCTCCACCACGGTATCCATGCCACAGCCTGTACGTCCCTTAAACGTATTTCACCCCTCTCAGCGGGCTGAGGACAGCTGCTTTAAACTCTATGGAAGTTCAACATTTATACATATGGGCACCATAATTGTAAGTTAAACCTGGTCTCTTTAAACCCTTTATACATAAGGGAATGTGGCACCTTTACACCCTCAGGGGTTATGTGGCACATTTAAATGATACAAGTTTTCTTTAACGGTTATACCTGGCCACTTGAAACTCCATGCATTCTATTTGTGTAAATGTTCTACGTGGTCCCTTGAAACCGCTTGTCACTTAAAAGCGTTGCGAAGTCTTTTCACACGTGTTCACGTGTGGCTCTGCAGACTGGTGCGGTGTTAATAAGTGTTCAAAAATTCCTTAGCCATGGGCAATTCACGAGGTGTCTGGAAGGTGACTGTGTGTTGAAATGATGTCGACGTAGATTAGTTGGCTAGGTAGCTCAGTTGGCAAATGCTGTGCAAGAGACACTAAACCGGCACCCCGGAAAATCTGGGTTCAAATCCAGGTTTCAGTTCTCTGTAATTAGCACGTTCCTTCGGAGTGGGCAGGTAGGAACTTGGTTGGACAGCGCATTCGTGCACGACAGACAAATATGCTAGACACACAGACAAATAGTCCCTGGTGGGCAGTGTGGAACCTGTTGTTCCTACCTGTAAAATTGGAATCTAAAGAGTTGCGAATTGTATCAGCAAGACGAGCAATGTATTACACTTGATGTGGCTTATTCCAGCTTTGAGAATCGGCAGTTTTGGTTGGACGTGCAGCAGAAAACCTTTGCAGGCAATATAATAGGTGTGCTGTGTCCATGTGTGAACAAAGTTGCCTACTAAAGTGAAGTCATTAGTGGATCTTTGAATTCGTAGTCCAATGCCATTCTCTGACACAAAAGTGGTGCACATGCTAGCTGTACATTTTAAATGAAAAAATGCACTTTTCTCTCTATATCAAGTAGTCCAATTCAAACTGGGGTTAAAACAATGAAAGCGTTGTTGGCAAGTGGTCATGCTTTACTGTACATTATCTCTTAAAAGTGCCTCTAATTGTCAGCACAGTGGAAAAGCCACTGTACGAGTCATAGTGCTTATATCTCCGCTAACGTGATCTGTGCCTTTTAGCAGTGATCGTTAGCACATGGAAACATTTGTCTCGGATGTCTGGTCCGATAAATGTGGTGCACGTACGTGCGTGTGCGTGAGTGGAGATTGATGGTGACGCATGGATTTACTCGTTTCGCCCATCAGGAGAAGGAAAGGGAGCTGAAGAGAAAACTGCAGAGCTTCCTAAATGACCTCACCGTCCTTGGCACACTCAGGGTTGGAAGTCACTTTTACTTAAATCTTAAGTTACAAATTATTGACTTTGGAAAGGTAAGTGGCGATCTCACGCATGTTGACCTTACTCAACTCTGTGTTGTCCAGGGATTCCGCTACTTTTCTTCCTACCTGAGGGGCAGAGAGGAGCTGGCGCTGACAGTTCTCAATCAGAGCGACGTAAGTTGAAAGGTCGAGTTGATGATGTCATAAATTGAGAAAGCTGAGTGGCTCAGAGGTCAGAATAATGAGCTGACAGTGGTGATATCCCTGGATTCAAATACAGGCGTCCTCCCGTGATTAAACTGGGTTGATGTTGACTGCACAAAACTACACTCGCATATACATTTGGTTCTGCACTTCATTCTGCTATATACCAGCGCAAGGAATTATACATATTAGTTTGACTCTAGATTTGAAGTTTTCGTAACTGCAAGGATCCATACTCTTTGATTTTTTTCGGTAAAGTCACGTAGGTGAAAACTAAATATTTATTTTATTTTGTTTTTACCTACGTGACTTTACTGAAAAAACCAAAGAGTATTAGTTTGACTGTCGTGTGGCAAAATACGCTCAGTGACAAAGTTGGTGGGAAAGAGTATACCCAACCCTCTTGTGTGGAGCAGAGGTCACTTGAAGATATTTCAGAGGTAGCTCTAAAATATCGCCTTCCAAGAGAATGGATATTATGTCTCACATTGCCAAAAGCACAATCGGGATAAAATTGAGAAAAAATATGAGATGTAAAATAGTCAACTGCTGCACCGTGAACCATTTTCATATTGTGGAGGCTCTAATATTGCTGTTCTGCAATTATATATTTGCAAGTTCACGTTAGAAAATCAGCTTTTCGTCCTTCTGGGGTTAATGAAATGAGTACCACTTTGTGGGAAGTTGTTTAGACTGGCCTCCACCACTGAATTGTGAGGCTTTCACCACTGATTCTGGACCACCAATGGAGCTTACCAATGCCCCACTCTAATTTAAGCAGGGTGATAATTTGCCACATTCTGAGGCAGCAGACAAAACAGAAGCCACAACACAGATGTACGTGTTACTGTTAACTTCACAAAATAGCAGATCTTCAAGTGATATTGTAAAAAAAACGTGGGAAAACAATATCACACAGGCGCAATGTGTAAAAAGCACAATTATTATGTCATGGGCAAGGCGTTGCTCGTCACATCTAAAATTAGATGCTCATTTGCGGTGCGAGCAGAGTGCGGGAGCATGTGTCGGCGCCGCGGCGTCGCTGAGTGGGAGCTTCAACGCTGCAGCTTTGCCTTATGACACCGCCTCCCTCCTCATCTCCTTACGTACACAGAAAAGGTTTGGCCGCCCTCAGCATTGTCAATTGCCGTCAACACTGCTCCACTTACATTTTTGTGGTCACATTTTTTTTTTAAATTATCCGATTTACATTTACGCAACGTTGTGGTGCATTGTGGGTAATACAATAATGAAGAGACGATGTTGCGTTCTACTTCATAAAAATGTTTGTCCACCCACCTATGAGTCTTCTGCACCAATGTTTTCTAGCAACATTTAAGCAGGAAAACTCTCAACCGGTTTTCACGTTCCGAGTCTCATCATGACCTCATCATGACCTCATCAACAAATTCAGCTGTGCTGCCAATACATTATGGACAAGAACTATTCACCAACACCCACAATGTATAACAGGACTGTACATTGTTTGCTCTATTGTACCAAACAGCTGCAATGGGTTTGAATTGAGCACGTAATCGTAATAATCACCTGTTTTATGAATGACATTAGTCAATACAATACACTACAGTGTATTGACTATTCTGAGTCTAGAACACGCTTGTGAAAGATATGGCTTCCGAGTCCCATTTTTTTCAAATAAAAGCTTTGGAAAATCGATGGCCATTAAGGCCCTGGTTATTGTATACATTTTTTTTTGCTATTTGTGACTGATGTACATTGTAGATGTGTGTGCGTGTGTGCGAGTGCAGGATAAGTGGGTTCGGACACATGGATGTGGGTCTCCCTCCAGCCTCTCCATGCGAAAAAGAGCCCAGCCTACCGGTACATGACCAAATCACGAAGTAAAAAAGAGCCTTGCACCTTCTTGCACTACATATCAACGGCACTTCCCACGTCTGTATTACATCCTTCGTTGACACTATCTAAACCCTCCATGGATATTAAAGTTAGTTAACAAGTTGAGAACCCTTTGGCCCTGCAATGGAAAATAAGAGGTGGCTATAATTTTCATATTTTTCTCACAATCTTGTGCTTGGTGCACTAAAAGTAATGTTTTTTTTTAATGTAAAAACATTTATCGTGAGGTTTTTTTTGTTATATTCTCTAGTGTTAAGAGAATATGCTGGTGAAAGCATTACATGCGTAGGGAAACAAATTTAAAAGTTAATTAAATGTGAAATGAACCGTGTCAGCCTTGTGTATGCATTACTCCCACCTCTTCAGTGTCCCTATTTTCTTCCGAATCTCTTCTGCATTTTCACTTAAATTCATTGCTTATTTGTTACGTGGAAAATCCCATTTAGCAAGTTACCCAGATAGTTTTGGTGGCAGCAGCCCGCAGCCACGATTGATTTATTGTTGGGGTTGAGAGGAGCCCAGCCAGCAGCCAGCCAGGAAACTCGAGGCATTTTACGATTTCCAACTCATTGGTCATTAAAATTCGTTAACATTGAGGAATTAACACTGGTTTTCGACGGTCAATATTAAGATACATAATTGATTTTTAGGTTAGGTCACCTAATTTAGGCCAGATCGTCACGTTGCCTAACCCAAAAATCGATCACGATTCTAGGGATGAATCGCATTCCCGTTCACGTGTTGACACCTAACGGATTCAGAACGACCGTGTTTGCCGGCAGGGAGAGGGCCGGACGCTCTTCCTGGTGGCCGGCTACGCGCGCTACGGCTGCCCCTACGTGTGGGCTCGCTCCAGCCACGAGCGGCTGCTGCGCCTGGACACGAGCGACGCGTCCGTGCGAGATAACCCACTCAAGCTGCGCACCACCTCCGCCTGGCCCAATGCCGGTGGGTCAGTGTGTGCTCGTGTCTCTATATGGCAGTCGCTTCATACCTCTTTTCCACTGTACAACCAAGCTGTGCTGTGCCGTGCCGAGCCAGTCCAGCACGAATCGGGAGTGCGCCAGATTCGTTTTTCCACTGAAGAATCCAAGCCGTGACGTTAGTTTGCCACTGACATGTGGTGTTCACGCACTGCACTTACAAACGTGGTGACCTGCAGAACACTGGGCAGCTACATGTCAGGAATGTGGCACAATAGGGAGCGCAAGGTGGTACATGTCTATCATTAAATAACCAAATACACCTTGAATTGTTCCATGACCTGCCAGCCAGCCTTCAAAACTTCACTTGATAACGTCAAAGTGCACCCTGCCCAACACAAGCGCAGTCGTGCCATCACCACAGCTTATTGGTGAATGGCGTTTGTTGTTGCAATCGTTGCTGTGTGCGCATCTTTGTGCTTTTGCCTGAACTGTGGATAGCGGGGTGGGGGGAACGTTGGTACAGCCAGCGGTTTGCTCACTACGCTTGCCGCGTGCGTGTGTAGACGTGCACGTGTGGGACGTGGTGGCGGAGGTGGTGCGCCTGTGCGCGTGGCCTGCACCCCGCAACCCCCTGGCACTGGACATGGCTGCCCTGCACGCCCTCCCGCCCACCGAGAGGGGTCTGGCGACAGGCGCGCTGCTCGCCTTCCTGCACCGCGTGTGTGCCACCGCGGATCGCAGCAAACCGCTGCGCTCTGCAGGTAACAGCAGGGACGGGGCAAGGCAGTGGTGGGAATCTCTGCGGGGACAATAACTTCCTTGTCACTCAGAGAGGGTTCGTACACATAAGGCCCTGATGCATGCAGCAGCAGCAGTAGAAAATGACGATACTCTCCTGACAATTGGTAACAAAAGATGAAAATCTTTGTCCTGCCACTGTCTAAATTAAGTTGCAATCAGGACTCATGAGTTGTTGCAAGGACCGAACCCTTGGTCACAATTGCTCCTTTTTGCTGTCTAGAAATCATCTTTTGCGTGTATTTCTACCCTTGCAAGGGTTGCCTGTTTAAAAAAAAATGCGTGTTCATAGTACCGAAAAGTGCGTGTGCAGGTGTCCAGTGGATTGTCACAGGATTGAGATGCCGATGGCTTGAAGAGGCTTTCATCGATCAGTGGATCAATGTTTGATGGTCCCTAATGGAGATAGGACAATCACACTGTGAGCCTCATCTGACATCACCTGTGTCTCTTACAGTGCTGGAGGAGCTCCCGCTCCTCACTCAGCTGCACATGGAGTCCATGCGCTCAGTCATGTCAAACAGCAGCCCACCACCGCGCGCGGCCACACCCCCCAGCCCTCGGCCCGCTCCTTTCATTGGCCGGCCCGTGACCCTGGCGACGCAACCCAGACAATCGGTGGCGGATGAAGGTGCGGGAGGGTGGCAGTTTGAGTTGGGTCCACCTCCCCTGCGGCCAAAACCCAACTGAGACTTAACGAGGGACATTGAAAGAGGAAAGAGAGACTTTGCCGGTGGTCTGGGCGACGTCGGTCCGATCGCAGAAGATGTACGACAGTGTACACGCGTACAAAAGGCACGCTGGCTCGCCTTGGATGTTCCACTTATGCCCCGTGTCATATCTGCAGGCATTTTACAGCCTTAAGCTTAATTCTCTGGAAGTTAACGGATATTTAAAAGCTCTTAACACTGATCAGCAAAACTTTTTATCAAATAAACTGAGCGATTGTGAACACTTAAGCCAGCGGTTCTCAAAACTTTTTTTCGTGGACCACTTGAAAATTGCACCTCATTAACTTTTTTTTCCCTACAAGTTAAAGCACATAACTCATTTTAATAACCATAGTTAACTCCATAGCCTGCTATGAAGGTCGTGGTTTTGACGCCGACGCCTGTACGTTAGGAGTCTGCATGTTCTCCCGGTGGTCACGTAAATTTTTCTCCGAGTCCTCCGGTTTATCCCTCCACATTTAGAAACATGCGCTTAGAGTATTTGGCTACTATTAATGTCCATGTGATAAGCCACTTCGTTGAGCTATCACTTGTGGTCAGGTCGCTTTTGAAAACGAGCTATATAGCTCATTGGGCCTTACCTGGTCACATAAAAAAGATTAAATTTCGATTTAAAGCTTTCGTGACTGCAGGGATTCATCTTCTTGGTTCTTTCGGTAAAGTCACGTAGAATGGAAATACAATAAATCACGACGTTTCGATCGCCACACAGGCGACTAATAAAAATAAAACATAATAAAATAATTCTCACGACGTTTCGGCCACAACACAAGCAGCCGTCCTCAGGTGAAGACCAGGTCTGCTGCTTGCGTTGTGGCCGAAACGTGAGAATTATTTTATGTTTTATTTTTATTATTTCCTATTCTACGTGACTTTACCGAAAGAACCAAGAAGATAAAAAAAATTGTTAAATTTTTTGGAAATAAACTGAGCCCTTGTCACTCTCACATCATCACCATTGTCAACAGCTATTCTCAATCCACTTCTCGGTGACATCTTCCCAGCACTGATACCACCTTCCGACTTGGCAATGGAGCAGAACGGGAATCCTCAATGTGGACACTAACAATCATGAACATAGATATTTTGTGAAAACAAAATTAAGAAATCTATAGCAAAACCCCAAAGAGTAATAATGTGTCTTTTATTGTAGGTGCTGGTGTTACATTTGAACAAAGAAATGTAGCAATTTGTTTTTATGGATTGTAAATCTTAAATATATTTTGTTTTCATGTTTACATGTATTTTTTTTATAAATAATTTTTATCATCTTTGTTGATCTTTTCCATATTTGATTTTTTTTACCATACATTCTCTTCATCGAAGGTCTCCCTTGCAAAATAAACTTTTGTCAAAATAGGCTCTCACCTAGATATAAGTAAAGTTCACATTTGTACGTTCACATATGGTGGAGCAGTGGTGCAGAAGCTCGTGCACTGCGCGATGAGTCTGCTGACCCAAGTTCATACCCAGGCACAACGAACATCGGTGGTGAGTTTTATCTGAACCGGTCTTGGGCTTCCCCTTCACCAACCCACACGGGCCAGCATGGCGAAGTATGGTCAAACAACCTTGCCGATTGACGTGGCATGGGGAGGCCATCCAGAAATAGATTGACAAATGGCTGTCCATTTTAACACTTGTATTTGTTTTATATGTACATCCGTCAAATTGAAATTTTCTGTACTGTCCTTGGAAGCCAACGACATGTTTAATGCAGGTGGTCGCCCATCCAACCACTAGCTCGGCTCAAGTCAGCTTAGCTTGTGATATCTGACAGGGGAGTATCTGGTGATTTTCTCATAGGCCACTTGTACATATGTTCATTATAGCATCGACGACGGCTTTAGCGTTGGGTGTGTTCGTCGCTCGGGAGGATCCAGGCTGCCAGGCACCAGCTCGCACTGGAAGTGGCGGGCGAAGGCGCGCAGGAGCGGCGTCTCGGCCTCTGGGATGGCCACGCGGCGGTCCAGCTCGCGCGACAGTGACGTGACGCCCAGGCCCTCTAGGCCGCACGGCACCACGTGCTCGAACCAGCGCAGGTCGCAGTCGCAGTTGAGTGCGAGGCCATGCCACGTCACAAAGCGGGCGCAGTGGATACCTGGTACAGAACACTCAGCTTAAGCAGTTGTCTCAACAGCATGAGTCCCAGGGCTCCTGTGCGAAAGAAATACTGCCCCTCGCGAGGTTGTTAACACTAGACTTGAAGCTTTCGTGACTGCAAGGAATCATATTCTTAGGTGTTTTCGGTAAAGTCACGTAGGTAAAACATCAAAATTAATAAAAATAATAAAATAAAAATAAAGATCACGACGTTTCGGAGGCAACACAAATCTCCGTCATCAGGTGGGACAGTCACAGCCAGATCAGCTGCATCAAGTGAGGCAATGATTCAAGATGTAATCCCTTAACTCAACTCGCTTTTAAGGGATTACATCTTGAATCATTGCCTCACTTGATGCAGCTGATCTGGCTGTGACTGTCCCACCTGATAACTCAACTCGCTTTTAAGGGATTACATCTTGAATCATTGCCTCACTTGATGCAGCTGATCTGGCTGTGACTGTCCCACCTGATGACGGAGACTTGTGTTGCCTCCGAAACGTCGTGATCTTTATTTTTATTTTATTATTTTTATTAATTTTGATGTTTTACCTACGTGACTTTACCGAAAACACCTAAGAATAGGTTGTTAACAGCTTAGTTAATGTGTCAGCTCTTGTGTCAATCCATAACTGGACGAAGAACTCCCCATGCCATGTCAGCCATGGGGATTTCTTAACCATACTTCACCAAGCTAGTCAGCTTAGATGGTGAAGGGGGTACCCGGGAATAGTTCAGATATCACTCGCCACTGATGTTAACTGTGGCTGGGAATTCAACTTGGGTTGCAGGAGTTTCACGGCACAGTGATCAAATGAATGCGCCACCACTCCACCCCGAGTAGGTTTAAACAAAATGAGGAAAAACTATTCTTAGATTAAATTCTTAAAGTGTAAGAATCTGATGGACGAATCCATATTGGCGATTTTTATAAGATTTCCAGCCTGTCTGTCTCAATCCCCCCTCTTGACTCACACAGCAGTGCACCCATGCATCCTGAGCAAACACAGGTTTGGGATAAATTATAATGAAAATTACAGCAGCGCCGATATCTTCAACCACAACGAAGGTCACATTGCGTCGCACCTCACAACGAACGATGCGATAATTTTAATTGAGCCACGGTCTGCTTGGCGCGTGCCGCTCACCGATGGCGCAGATCTTGCGCTCGCCGACCCAGACACCCGTGTGCTGCTCATGCGAGTGGGCGGGCACGCCGAGGTCGCGGCATGCGTCCGCTGCCACTCGCTCCAGCTGGCAGACGTACCAGCGCAGGCTCCTGCGGTGCCGGGCTAGGTGCAGCACGGGGTAGCACACGAGCTGGCCCGGTCCGTGGAACGTGATGAGGCCGCCGCGGTTCGTGCGGTGGAAGTCGGCACCCAGAGCTCGCAGCCGGGTCTCCACTTCGGCAGGGTACGGCGCCTGGTTTGCGTTCATTCGTTTAGGAGTTTTGTGTCATGAATAATTATTAAATAATAAGTCATTTTACATAATAACGATAAGTACATTTGGTAGTATGCGTGGAATTCTTATAGCACGAGACTATCACAAAAAATCTAGTCTGGTTGGGGGAAATATCGTGTGGTTTTACTGATAATTTTTCAAATATGGCAAAGTTTGTACCATGATGCAGGCACATTTAATTTGGTCTATTCTTTTGCAAATAACATCACAGGATCATTACCATCCGCTGTGACGAAGACAGCACAAAAACTTTTGCGGTTAATACACCTGGAGTATTAATCGGGGTGGCCAGCTGGCTCGAACCGCGAACACCTACAAAAAGCGATGAGCGCATTTCTGCTGGGTCACGTCACAGCTACATGCAACATTATACTTCAAACTCACCTGGCGGATGCCCACAGTGTACACGGGCTCGTGCTCACACAGGAGCAGGGTGTCAGGCGGTGCAGGGCCGCTGGGCGCCGCCAGGTGGTCCAGCAGCGCTCGCGCCAGACGCGTCTGCACGGCGAGGGCCTGCGCATACCCCACGCGGCCCAGCGACACCACCCGCACCACGCGGCCTGCCGCCACCGCCGCTGCCATGGCTCGCTCCAACACCCCCCTTCACCAGTTCAGTCCTCCCAAGTGCTCGAAACCAATCTTCGGTAAATCCAAAAGTTAGATAAATAATTTTCTTACTATGTATTCATATTTCTTGATTGTTTTTGTGTGTTTCACCTTGCCCTGATTTTTTAGTTTTGCTCCATCTTGTGATTAGGTTATTTTTAGAAATTTTTTGAAAGTACTCATTAATATTTTATTCCTTCAGTCAGGAAAATCTTAGCTCGATACTTTAAAAAGTAAACGTAAATGAATACGTCGTGTATTTCCACAAGTCTTACTGCTCCCCCAAGACTTTCAAGATAGTCCTGCTGGGATTTAAAGCTTATCGCTAATGACTCTTTTTTAAACGACAGTAGCACCTCCTCAACAGCCTTGTAAAGGTCACGACCGCTGTCAAGGTCACGACCGCTGTCAAGGTCACAACCGCTGTGCATGCATCGGTCTCACGACTCCGCGATCCTCTCAAAGACGAGCCGGCGTCCCCGCGAGTCTCCGACCCTCCGCGGCCTGGCCTCGTAGACGCCCTCGGTCCGCAACGCGGCGTGGCCGCTGGCCCGCGTGGCCACGTGCCGCACCTCCAGCAGGTGCCGTAGCACGACGAGCAGGAAAACGGCAACGCCCAGCGCGTTCACCAGCACCGCCAGCCCTGCCGCCGGGTCCCTAGCCACCATAGCCCGCGCCGCCCTCCATCGGTAAGGTCCTGCAACAGGGGAGATTGCAGCGTGGGATTTAATGTTTGTTTTCCTTTAGCCAATGTTATCTTCAGAAAGTTGATGAGGTGCCATACGCAGGACTTGGAGGTGATTCTGCAAGGGAAAATGGAAGGGATCAGTGGAAGAGGATACACGCAGATCAGCTTGGTGGGAGAGTTTCGGGCAATTTTACGAGACTCCATGTGAGATGCTGAAGAACACGACATATGGAAAGCATCTATCATGGTCATCCACCCTCAATTATAAGGATGACACTATAGAGTATAGACCCCTGAGTGTGCTATGGGCATTATGTTGCGACAAAGTATCCATTCGCATCCTATCTCAGAGCAGGTGCAACCCTTCATGTTCGAGACCGGCACCCAGATCCAGATTCCACGAAGATGCCTTCAAGTGACCTCTCGTCCGCACAGTAGGTGGCAGCACGTTTCCTCTCTGTTACTTAACTAAATTATCTTATAAGTCAAAAGCAATGTTTTACTTTCACTCAGAGATGTAATTAAGTGCGAATAATTTCACGTGTTTTTGTGCATTCAGTAGTGTAATGGTGAGGGCGGACAGCATCGATGTGGAAGAACATCAATCAGTACGGTACAATGGGCTTTTTAATGCATGGTCTTCTACTGCCCAGAACGTTGTCCCGCCATAGGCACATGGAGTTATTATTATTTTTACTGGACAGGTAATAACACGAAAAAACTATGGAAGTCATATTAAAGAATATTCATATTAATGTCACAATTTGCGGTATTTTAAAACGCGAACCGAGTATAACAGCCACCGAGCTTCCGTAGGTGTCAAGCTAAACATTCATTTGACGTTACTGCAATCGTATATTATACATTTAATTGACACCGTGCGAATTAAAATATTTTCATTCTTGTCTAAGTTAAACGTCAGCGATGCAGTAGGCTACAAGTGTTTAATAATGTATTTGCATCATCAACCTGTCAGACGTGCGGCCTGGCTAGTCGAGTTCTAGATGTAACCCCTGCGTGGGTCGAGATGAAGTACGACTTTTACAACTCGCAAATGCCGTTACGTCGTTAACGAAGACTTTGCGAATACAAAGGACACATTACTGAAATTGAGAGGTATCACAAATGTGGCGTTTATATTCGGGTGGGGAACGATGCAAAGTGCGGGCAAAGTGACTCACAAACACCGGGCTCTGTGATGGGGGTTCAGTGCGCATGCGCACAACGTAACGGGGGCTGGGGGGTGGGGTGGTGGTGGTGGAATTGTGGTGGTGATGATGGGAGTGATGGTGGTGGTGGAATTGTGGTGGTGATGGGAGTGATGGTGGTGGTGATGATGGGGGTAGTGATGGTGGTGATGATGGGAGTGGTGGTGATGATGGGAGTGATGGTAGTGGTGATGGGAGTGATGGTGGTGGTGATGATGGGAGTGGTGGTGGTGATGGGAGTGGTGGTGGTGATGATGGGAGTGATGGTGATTGTGATGGTGGTTGTGATGATGATGTAAGTGATGGTGGTGGTGATGGAATTGTGTGGTGGGGATGATGCTAGTGATGGTGGATGTGATGATGATGGAAGTAATGGTGGTGGTGATGGAATTACGGTGGTGGTGATGATGTTGGGGGTAGTGATGGTGGTGATAATGGGGGTATTTTTTTATTTAAAGCTTTCGTGACTGCAGGGATTCATATTCTTGGTTCTTTCGGTAAAGTCACGTAGAAGGGAAATAATAAAATGATTAAAAACATTTTATTTGAAATACTTTTTAATTTATTATATCCCTTCCACGTCACTTTTCTGAAAGAACCAATAATATAATGGGGGTAGTAATGGTGGTGGTGATGGAAGTGATGGTGTTGATGATGGGAGTGATGGGTTTTATAGTAATGGTGATGATTCTGGTGATGACTGATGACAGTGATGGTGGTTGTGGTGAAGATTGCAATGATGGTGATTATAGTGGTGGTGGTAATGATGAAGTTGATCACTGGCGGTGGCGATGTGATAGTGGTCATGTAGATGGAGATGTGAATGATGATGATTAGAGTGATTGTCATTTTCTACTTCTGTAATAGTAGTGATAGTAGTGGTAAAAAAAGCTGATACTGTACAGTAGTCAAAATTATAATGATGAGGTATGATATAATACACTAGATGTAAAAAAACACATTTATCCAGGAAAGCCTCATTGAGACTCAGAAATTTGTAAGCTTTTGGAAAGCAAACGATGACCGTACACGTACACAAAAACATTGCTCGTTTTTAAGGGGCTGGCACTCAAAAGATCCGCAGACGAGTTCACAAATTAAAGCATCTTGCTGCGTTTACCTCCATCCAGAGGATCCAGGAGTTTCACATGACTATTCGATCCCGGCGTACATGCCAATGAGGTCTGCTAGCTACGACGAGAAGAGGGCTTTTGGAGCGGGAGTTCGTGCAGGTTTTTGCACTTTTTCCTCCATATATGGTCCATAGATAGTTTTGGTTTACATCGCCACCATCGTATTACTGGTGACTCGGCTTTCCTGTACATACCGTGTATCTATAAAACGCACAAATGAACTTGCATGCACTGCCATCTCCTGGCCAAGGTCTGTAAACCTTGGGAGGTCCCCATACATAGTATTTGTGTGATTCCCCCAAGCCTCGTCTCCAAGGATCTGGACTATTCCGGTGCGATGGGCATACGACTTGAATAAAATCCATTCTGATCTCTCACGAGACAACATTCGTGCAGGGCCCACTTGCAAAATGTACACGTGCGACGCACACTACATCACAAAACATTGAGTCTATCAATCTTGATTTGAAGCTTTCGTGACTGCAGGAATCCATACTCTTTGGTTCTTTCGGGTAAAGTACACGTGGGTAGAAAATACAATAAATCATGACGTTTCGATCGCAACACAAGCGACCGTCTTCAGGTGGTGGAACAGAGTATTGAGTCTATCCACAAGATGGCGAGCTGGACCATAGAGACCCACTCAACCCACTCGCAATCCCATCCACAAATCTCAACGCCAACCCCCACCGCTCAATGTCACTTTGCCCTCCCTTGCTACCCTCCTTCCAAACTTCCCAGTTGCATGCAGCTCAGTCTCATAAAGGGCAGAGTGGGAACAGCAGTCAGGCAGGCAGATGCACCGTGCAAGCCTCTCCACCTTGACCATGGCGACTGGGATGGGAATGAATGTCATCGGAGTTGGGTGCCTCTCCGTGTGGTTGTTGATTGCGACTTGTGGGGTGGCTCATACTCACGGCGGTGGACGTGAGTACTCTCAGCTTGCTGCACTCCGATTTGCACGCACGTGGTGGTGGTGGTTGTTGTGGGTTCACGCTCTAAAAGCGCTGGCGCATCTCGCATGAGACCCCCCCACACCAACATTCGTATGTCGCTTTGGTTTGCAGTGAGGACAAATCTATCAAAAAAGCAGCAAGACGAAAGACCTAACGGCACCCGATGTGTCTTGTTCTGAAATATTTCATTGATGTCGATTAAAGTACTTTTTTTAATATATAAATTTTGATTTAAAGTTTTCGTGACTGCAGGGATTCATATTGTTGGTTCTTTACTATTTCCCTTCTACGTGACTTTACCGAAAGAACCAATAATACTTTTTAATACTTAAAACATAAAAATAACACCGAGTGACCGATTAAAAGTGTTCTTTAAAGTAAAGGGACATTGCTCAAAACTTCGCCGATTTTATGTTTTTTTGTTTCATTGGAGACAGTGTTATGGACGAATGTTTTGGGGGTTTTTTTACGATTAAATATTGACCAGTCAGGAAAAAAACACGTTTTTTTAGTTATAGTAATACTTTGGTTAAAGTCTCAACTGTACCGTAACAAATATAGTAGGACTCTTGCAATGTCCTGCAATACTCTAATACATGTTTTTACTGTGGTTTACATCCTCATTTTTTTTTCATCTTTATTATAGCCTAGGACTATAGGGCATGCAAAGGCGGCTCTCGGAATAGATTTGTATGGAGGCAATTCGGGGGCATTAACTACGACACACACAAAGTCACTTTGCAATCAGTAAGCTTGTAAAATCTGAGGAGCGTCAAATACATTTACGAATAAAACGCCGGAATTGCAACAATATCAAAAATGCCTACACTTTAGCATATCTGGAAAGTATTTAATCTCTCTAATCTAGTTGAAAGTTTATTTAATTTATAAACCGCTGACACGTTTTCACTATTGATTAAAATCCTACGATGTTCTTGCAATTGTATAATTTTTTGTCAATTTATATACTTAATATCTTTTGGATCGCACTGCTATGTTTAGTTTTTTATTACAGTACGTGACATGTTTCTGCTCTACCGTATTTGGTGCTACGTATACGGCTTCCCTTGAAAATAATGGTAATTTATCTCGCGTGGGTGTAGATAATGGTCATTTATCTGTGATTATCTCAACTTAAAAAGACCAAAACAAACCTCATGGCTCTATAGTTGAAAGTCATAAGCCCTCTTGGGCTCAAATAGTGATACTGTACTACGTTAATCGCCGTTACAAGCACAGCAATGGTTTGTTTGTCTTGGTCTTGCGAGTTGAGACTGCACAAAGCACAGCCACACTGCAGCCCTTTGTGTCAGCGTTAAAGGTTTCAAGAATTCCTGAGAAGTTTTCATTTTTGTATTCATTCATTTTTCACCTCGGCCACATTTCTTCGCCAAAACTCACCCGGAGAGGCCGACTTGAGAGCCAATTCAAGGAGTACCCCCCTGTATTTTTTGGAATTTAGAAATTGTGGGTTGTTTTTTTTTATATGTATATACCTGCTGGCACATAAAGGACCTCGTGCTTGTGTGGCTGCTGATCAATGAGGTGGGTTTATTTTTCCTTCCTGCGCTTGTGTAGGCCAGAAAAAGTGATGCCATTATGAGCAAAAGCTCGCACACAAACCCTCACCCGTTAATGAATATATTTGGGCACAGTGGTGCATGGTGATTTCATCATCATCATGCAATGTTGGATTAATGCCTCGTCAGGCCACCACTACCACTCACAGTCCTCAAATCTATTACATTATAAATACAATATAATGCACAATTGTAGTTATGGATGAGGTCCTTGCCACCATGCCATCTGCCTCATGGGGGGCTATTTCACCATACTTCACCACTGCTCATATTGAACGTACGATTATAATGAATTTGTATTTATGGGTTTCACTGGAATAAATAGTAAAAATAACAATACAAATCATTACAGCACCTTTGTCAGTCCACTGCTGGATGACAGCATTCCCATGCTGGGTCTGACCATGTCAGTCTGTACAGGCTGGTGAAGAAGTGACAGCACCCAGTACATACTGTAGCTCACCACAGTGATTTATCGTGGCCAAATTAAAAGCAGGTTACCTCGTCGTTTGTATTCCAGTCAAACATAAGGGACTGCACATTGTCAGCAGCCCGGCTGATGTGAAGTGGACATTGTTTATTAATGTTGGTACAGCGGTTGGTGCACGGAGCTATGAATCCCTGTGACCTAAGTTCAATCACCAGTCATGGGTAACAAGCGTGGCAAGTGATACCTGAACCAATCCTATCACCAACCCACACTGACCAAGGTGGCAAAGTATGGTCGAATAACCCACGCAGTGAGAGGCCCTCATCCAGCAGTGGATTACAAAAACGTTGAAAATTAGTAATATAACTGTAGATCAACTCCTTCAGATGTGATGCACGAATTGACGTAATCTCCTCATCGCCGCAGTGGTCATCCACTTTCTCTCCTTGGCTGTCATTCCATCGGTCTCATTCGTTCGTTGGTCCGGATCTCTTTTAGCGACGTATCCTGTTCAAGCCCACTCTCGTTTCTGATGTCAAAATGACATCTCCGCTTTGCCCCTGTTCCCTGATGCACTCGCTCATCATCCTGTCTCAAAGTATCATTATGAACTTCCATCTCCTCACTATTACTTATGGTGTTTTCAGAAGTTTTCATTTTGTAGTTTACATATTTAATAGTTTACAAATATGCACTGACTTGGGATGGCGATGACATGGGAAGGCACTTGATCACGATGATATAAATACAGGTGTTTTGTACGTTAATCACTTGGGACGGAAAACCTAAGATTGACTCTGCAAATGGATTTCCTCTTGGAACGGAACACGAAGCTAAATCTGGCATGAAGTGGCAGTGACAGACATCAGGAAGGATCACATATCAGCCAAATTGGACCTTAAGGAATATCCAGTTATAGAGCAGCTGGCACGCTTATAACACTTCTCATACGGATATTTAATTGGCTAAGTCATTCAAAGTCCACGTATATATTCGGCTGTGAATGAAGGTAATCATTCAAGGGAAAATCACCTGAGAATATCATTGAGCCGGGCGTGGTGGCGCTCGCTTATCACCTGAGCGCTTCAGAGGCGAGGGTTGGTGAGACCACGTGGCTTTGTGAGGCTCACAATCCAACTGAGCTGCAAGTTGGCTAGGAGGTGGCAAGTGGCTCGATGAAGCCATCAGTGCAGACCTTCTGACTGCTATCTCCATGTATGCGTCGGGTTTCCCCCGTGCACTCCGGTTTCCTTCCACACGCAGGAAGACATTCCTTAAAATAGAATTTGGCCGGACAACCCAAACATCAGGTCCCTTTTTACAAAGTCTTGACACTCGCAGAGGCTTTTCTGGGTACAAACAGCACATTTATGATCTCAAAGATCGGATATGAGGGTAAAAAGGAGTAAGCGACGTGAGTCCATCGCACCTCACCCATTGTGACATTCTTCATCTGTCACTTCATTGCTGGATGAGGGCCTCCCCATGCCGTGCGGGTCACGTGAGTTACAGTATTCAACCTTGCTGGTCAGTGCAGATTGGTGAAGGCTGAGAGCATAGACGTACAGTACAATAATGGATAATTATCCATCGCGCAGCAGCTTATAGCACCTGCTTTGTACTCGGTGGTCACCCATCCAATGACGAACGCTATCCAGGCCCATCCCTACTCAGATGCCAAGATCAGGTGGGATGGAGCACATTCCAGGTGATTGGTCATAGGCTGCTGAGCCAGCGAGCAGCCTCTGCATGTGTCGTTTTTGCCCTCTCCCCTTTGCACAGAGGCTGGCGGCGGGCAGTGCGTGTTTCAGGACCAGAGGTACAGCCCCGGCGACACATGGCACCCATTCCTGCCACCCCACGGACTCGAGCACTGCATCCGCTGCGCCTGCTCCAAGGTGAATGACCATCGCACAGCGGCGGTGGCGTTACTGTGGCCTCGTTTGTCACGATAGGATCTTTTTTCTTCGATGCTCTGGCTTAGCGGCAAGTCCTTTGGCTTCCATCTTCTCCATCCTCCTCTGTTTCTCCCCCCCCCCCCCACCCCTCTTCATTTGCACAAAGGCCCATTTCTTTAGCTAATAATCACAATCCTCGGCCTTCCTCTCATTCTTATTGTTTCCATTCTTCCTTCTATAACGTCGTAATTAATCAAACAATCACCCTCGTAGAATACGTCCAAAACATTTCTTCTTTCTCATTCCGATTATCGTTCTTCTTTCCTTGATGCCATTGAGGATTTATTCCATCCTGCGATACGATATCGAATTGAAGGATAGGGCGATTATCGTGATTTTCAGCTTCCTATAACTCTGTAATTTTATTTTGATATTTTATTTTACCAATTTTATGCATTGCGGTGCTTCTATGGTATGAATACAGATTAAAAAGTTCTTCAACCGCAGTTCACGAAACTTAATTTTTTCCTTTTCGAAAAAAAATATTTTGTGAGGCTATAATGACACCCCAGCGTTGCTTTGTTAGAAGGTGCTTTTCGATTAATCGTGGATCATACATCGTACGATGCAATATCATCGCCATAACCCTAACGGGCAGTGCAACTTCACTGGGGCTCACAAGCCGGTGAGGCTCAGATGCCGGGCTGAGAAGGGAGGGGGAAAGAGGATGGAGCCTCCATTCGCAGCCCGCCATCCCTGCCACTAATCCTGAATAGCCTTGCAGCAGTTTTGGTTCAGCAGGGAACACGTGTACTCGTGTCTTCGGGTGTGACGATGACAGTGAACGACCTCCAAAAATGAGTACTGTGAAGGTGGTGCTCATCTCACATTTACAGCCATGAGCGAGCGGTGGAAATTCCACATTGCTGTGGTGAGGAGGAGTCGTTCCATAAGACAAGCACTGTTGACTACCTCACAACGTGGTAGTCATTTTATCAACCCACCCCGAGGGATTGTGGGATGAATGAACCCCAAACCAGAAGTTTAACTCGCAACCTTCCGATGGCAGAAGCCCAGGATTCCAGTGAGTCACCTGGCCAGTTAGTCACGGTGATTCAGAGAGAATGTGTCTGTGTGTGTCTGTCTGTGTGTGTGTCTGTCTGTGTGTGTGTCTGTGTGTGTGTATCCAGTCGGGAGGCAATGCTTCTATAGACTCGCGCAGAGATCCATAGATTTACGCAGAGTCCGACAGACTACTTGCCACTGGTCAGTCCAAGCATTAAGACATTCCATGTTTCCGCTGCCTATGGGGTGACTTTGGGCCTGTGCCGAGCACAGGCCCAAAATTTCAAAACGCCAAACGGCCATCAACAAACAGCGCTATTAAAGTTGTTATAGATAAGAGTGTAACGTGGTGGTTGAATTGAGCAAGATTTTTGTTTTAAGAACTTGAGAAAAGAGACTATGGGAGGAGGGAATTCCAAAGTTAAGCAGTACGAGGGAAGAAGCAGAAAAAGAAGTGTTTGACCCCTAGTATGGTGAGTGGGTGGGAGAGGTAGTGAGTGAGAGTATTGTGGTGGTGTAGCGGTCAGCGCGCTGCACGACGAACCCGGTGACCCGAGTTCGACTCACGGCCAACATTGGTCACGATTATCTGAACCGGTCCTGGGCCTCCCCTAGGTCGACTCAGCCTCAAATCAGTACCTGGTGTAGAGGTGTGTAAACATCGCCACTAGGGAGACAAAGGCGGCCGGGCGTGGTTCTGGCCATCCACCCCTTCGTGTGCCGTGCCGGCCTTCATAGGTGCTCGCTTACAGCACTGGCCCCGACAGTCTGTTAAGGCTATACGGGGGATCTTTGGCTTTTGTATTGTGGTGGTTGAGCTGAGTATGGATGAGATGAATGAGTCAGTCTGCTCGACCAAGTCCTTGAGATGTGGTCACACTTGGACTCCACTATACTATTCCGCAACGCGTTGCGTATCTACGTGTGCGCGCGTGCGCGTGTGTGTGTCTGCGACAGAGCGGGAACGTGCAGTGTGCACGTGTGCGGTGTCCACAGCTCCTGTGCGAGCACCCAGTGAGCGTCCCCCAGCAGTGCTGCCCCGCGTGCCCAGGTGAGACGGGCACCTCCGAACCGCACGCACCATCGCCCGTCACACTGAGCCGCCACTCTTTCTGGGAGGCTCGTCCAGGACACATGGCCGTCTGGCACCCACACCTATACCCACTAAGTAGATGGATGCATTGCGGTATTGCAGGCCCATGAGGGATGGCGACGGCGTGGGGGAGGTCTTCCTCCAGCAGCGGATAGAGTAAAGTTGATGAACATTATAATGACGACGGTAACACAAATATATGGGGATAGTAGATGTAACAGAGGCTCAGATCTACCTATGAGGACCGCAAAAATATATAATTGGGACTATCTTTTTAATGGAAAAAGAACGGATAATACACTGTAACATGATAACAAATGTAATGTTAATAGCTTCAAAAAGTCAACGAGTCTCCACTTGTTCGCCATCGTTGTCAACACGTGCCTGGAATCTTCTCCAGGTGATCGCCAGAGCCTCGTGGCACATTTATTGTGGTGTTGTTGCAAATTCTCGGAAGTGTTCACATTTTTTTGAAGCACACTGTGTCATTTCAGCAAAAGCACGGTGGGTCGATAGGTGGGTGGCTGTTGAGCATGCAAACGTTGTTCAGCACACATTCTCCAAACGCCCACGCAAGGAGGGACGTGGAATGAACACAGACCGTGCTGTGTTTGCTACAATCGCTGTTCTCCGATGCAAAGAGAGATTTTGGCAAAGCGCAGAGCAAGGAGGGTAATGCATCACCATGGATGATTAATGTTCAAAGTTTGGACGGGTGTACTGATGCCAGTACGCGCATATGCGTGCGTGTGTTTGTGGGGTGCAACGGCATAGTGGTAAGTGCACTGGGTTACAAATCGCGGCCACCTGGGTTCGATTCACGGCCACAGCTAACATCGGTGGGCGAGTCATATCGGATCCGGTCCTGGATTTTGTCCGGTTTGAAAACAGCAGCAGTGGGGAGACAAAGGCGGCCGGGCATGGTACTGGTCATACAACGCCACCCCCTCTGCCCATGTGACATTACAACTTGATAGTTGCCTGCGAATAGCACTTGCCTCAAGAGTTTGTCTGTGCTATTATTACCTGTCATTGTGTGCGCGTGTGTGGGGGGAGCGATAGTGTAGCGGTTAGCGCGCTGCGCTATAATCCCGGCGACCCGGGTTCGAGTCCCGCTCACGGCCAACACCGGTGATAATTATCTAAACCAGTCCTGGGCCTCACCTAGGTCGACTAAGCCTCAAATCAGTACCTGGTACAGTGTGTTTAAAACATCGCCACTGGGGAGACAAAAGCGGCCGGGGGTGGTGTTGGCCATCCCACTCCCTCGTGTACCGTGCCGGCCTTCATAGGTGCTCGCGACCAGCACTTGCCCCAACAGTCTGTTAAGGCTATATGGGGGATCTTTTGAGTGCACATGTACATGCGTGTGTGTATATGAGTTGGCAGGGACAGTTGCGTTACTAAAAGAAAAATAGTTTGTTACCAAAATGAGTTTCGTAAAAACGTCTCAAAGCAAAATGCCAGATGGCACGGTGCACTTAAGATTTTGGCTCGTGTATATATCGGAGCATGCATGCAAGTACATTGGCAAAGGTCTCATAGAGCGTCAGTGAACAACTATTAAGACTGGCACAGCACCCGAAGAAGCAATGGCCATGGCAGCCCTCATTTTCCCTGTGAAAATGTTGATTTCACCGTTGCATGTACGCATGTTAGGCCGATTCAATATAAGGGAGGTTCAGAATAGATTCAAATAGCAATTGACAAAGAGCCAAGACATGCAGCGAATGCCCCTATTTTAGAGGCATAAACCACTGGTAGAAAATCAGTGTCATCTCCGCTACCAAAAACACTGATTAAAGGTCGGGTTTCTCGGGGTCACGGGAGGGTCAAACTTGTTGGAGAATTGAAGTTCATAATGAGACCAAGTGCCTGAGAACGAGTAACGACTCATCACAATCAGCACCACCTCATTGGATGTGAATGTCTCGCACAAAGACAAATGTCCCGCGTGTAGCTTTGGGTAAGTGCCGCTAGCAAGCATCGATTACGGTTAGCCTGGCGTACAGGGGGTGGTGTGCGCTGCGAACCACAACTGGCCAGCTTTGGCACACAAGTGCCGATGTTTAGATGCCAAATACTAATTTAAGGCTCAGCGAACCTAGGGGAAGCCCAGGACCAGTTCAGCGATTACTCGCCACTGATATTAACCGTGGTTGGGACTTAAACTCCGGTAAACTGGTTCGTATCACGAGTGCTGCTTCCACGTAGCTCTGAGCAGTACTCGCTAAAGGCACTTGCCCAATCATTCTGTGTAGGCTACACGGGTGATCTTAGTCTCACACGCACACACATTCACACAGACAACAACACCTCCCTAACCCCATCTGCGTTCCTAGGTCAAGGATTCGGTCGAGATTTTGCCCTTGTGGCCCCCAGACTCTGGAACTTTCCTGCATGAGATTTCAGCATCTACTCTGAGTCTGTGGACAGTTCGTATTACAATATTATCTGTACACGTCCATTTGTGCAACTTTTATCCGATTAAGCAAATGGCTTTTAACATTTATTTTATTATTTCACCTTATTCTTCGTTTTTAGTTGCACGACATATTCTCGTGCTGAGTATCTGCCGATGTTTTTTTTATGAGATCCTTGAAGAACGGCAATTTGCAAATAAAAATATCAAACATTAACATTGTCCCCCTCCCCCCCCCCCTCTCTCTCTGTGTCTCTCACCACCTCGCCGGCCTCGAATCGCGGGGTGCAGAGTCGGAGGAGGCACGCAGGGAGGACGGGGGGCGAGCGAACGGACGAGCGTGCCAGTACCAGGGGGCCACGCACCAGCACGGCGCACTCTTCCCGGGAGGCGCGACGCTCTTCCCCGCTCGCCGGCCCACCCAGTGCGTGCAGTGCGGCTGCTCGGTGAGCAATGCCCTTTCTCGTACATTCATGCCCCCCACCCCTTGTCTATTATTGCACCACCCGTCCATAGGAAGCATGGAACTCCCACAATTGGAATCGGGCCACGCAGATGAGAACTGCCCAATGGCCGCTGAGGCGTGGAGTCACTTTGACGTTGCAAATTGCAATATATTTGAAGTTATTCTGCATTATCGTCGGCCACGCTCCATCGGCCGATGCACGAAGGCCTCCAGAGCTGTCGCTGCCCCTTTCGGTGACGGGATTTACCACCGCACGCGAGATGAGACTCCCAGTGTCCGCGGTGGACGTTCTCTCAGGCACGTGACTCTCCCCACTGTCAATTAGTCGCATCGTCATTTCCCGCGACGTTTTCCTGCCCAAACCGAAGCGACTTTGCTGGGCCGTCAACACGACCTCTCTCTCCTGTGCACGCTCTCCGATCCATATGTTTCTCATTCTGCTTCTCGGTGCAATTCAAAGCAGGCACCTCCCAGTGCTTCTACAGCATGAGATGGCATGTCCAGCATGCCGCTGTGCCATGCCTGTGTGTGCAGGAGGGCAGCGTGTACTGCGCACTGAAGACGTGCCAGCCGCTCAACTGCACCGCGCAAGTGATGGGCACGCAGGGCTGCTGTCCTGTCTGCAAAGGTGTGTGCACGTGTGTGTGTGTGCACGTGTGTGTGTGCACGTGTGTGTGTGTGCACGTGTGTGTGTGTGCACGTGTGTGTGTGTGACATTGTGGAGGAGGCTCGTGAAGGACGCTGCTACTGGGCAGTTGGAGGCAGTCGCCCTCCATCAATAACAGAGGGCAGAGGAGCGACGCTCACAACAACGAGCGGAGCGCCGGGTGGATAAAGCAAAGCAAGTTGGCACAGCAGGGGGCACAGGTGGTGCATCAGCCACTCATCTCAGTCAGTCGACCCGTGGCACCTTGGTCTGCCCTGTGACCTCCTGCCAGTGGCCGTACGACACTTGACGTGGCCTCAACGTGCACATAGCCTGGCACAAGCGCCGTGGTGACGTCACCACCACTTAGTGACGAATGGCGGTTGTTGTTGTGTAACACTGCCAGTTGCCTGTTCAGGGACCTCCCACAACCTCAGCAAGACTCATTCCCATACCCCGACAAGCCAGCGTCCGTGTAATGAAGCGGTCGTATCGTGGATGACGCACACAATGACCCGAGTTTGATTCCCATTCACACCAATATCAGTGACCATAACATGACGATGATTGTGGTGTTGCTGATGATGATGGAGGCGATGGTGGAGACGGTGGTGATAATGATGAGGGCTGTTCATAACAATAATAGTGATCGTTTGTGATGACAGTTATCATGATGATGACTCTGGTGTTGATGGCGGTGGTGGTGATGATGATGATGATGACCACGACGATGTTTATGATGTTTGCTGTAATTATTGTGGTCGTGCTGCTGACGATAAAAACAACAATGCTGGTGACGCTCATGGTGATGTGAGTGATGGTTACGGTGACGATGATGATGATGATGAGAGTGGTGGTGACGGTGCTTATGATGATGACCGATGATGACAATAATGATGATGGTGGTGGTGTATTTAAACTAAGACCCCATCACCTCGATTCTCTGTGTTACAGAACACATGAGTGAGACGGAGATGCAGGAGAGCGAGAGAGGGGACCTGGAACAAACCAACGGGGAGACAACTCCGATGAGGCAGTCGCACAGAGAGGCCGTACGGACGCCACGCACGACAATCACGCATTCCACAAACATCCCGTTCACTTCCTCATTCTAGTCGTCATCAGCCATGATCTATCCACCGCTGGATGAAGGCTGTCGCCATTTCTTTCACAGTGCTGAGTTGCAACGATCCGCGTAGTGCCACCGCGTCAGCCGGTTTCACCGCCGCTCCATCTCACCGGCGGGGCCCTCGCAAGCATCTTCCACCCTTGGGCTGTCACTCCATCGTTACTCTCCACCACCAACCACCATCATCATCCCTTCTCACGACGTGTCCTGCCCAGGCCCACTCCTCAACGACCTCTTTTAATTTGACCCATCACAGTCTATATCGTAAGGATAAGGTGGTCTCCTGCCACGGCAATGTGGAATTTCCGTAAATCACTTAGAGCAGCCTGCGTTGGTGATAACCACCGCATAGTAACTGACGCAAGAAGGAAATGAAAACTCTGACTCAACCCTCTACAGCTAAGCTATTCAGATGGCTTTAATAATAATGGATTATTTGTAATGCATAAAAGCCTCATTGTGTTTCAGCATTCTTTTTCAGGAGGATCCTGCATTGCGATATTGAGTCAGTTTCACGAAGGACGGTTTTGTGTGCGGAAGGAAAAACTGGAGTATTTGGAGAACATCCATTGAGCATACGAGGGGATAACCACGCACAGGTCCACACAAATGTACTGCCCCATCCTGGTCACCTTCCAGCTCAGTAGAATTGAGAAATTCATAATCTACGTGATCCCCCGACCTTATCCTCTGAAGTGCCGGATTACAGGGTGTGCACTACCACGCCTGGCTCAAGTTAAACACAAACTAAAACAAGTATTTGTTGTGATGTATTTTGATGACACGAAATTCGCTTCGCTTCATAAACCTGGCTTAGCCTCAGCTGGCTGGACACTGGTGTTGCTGGCTAGGTTTCTCTGACAACCAGGAGATTAGCGGTACTGGCACAGCGCATCCGGCACTGCTATTGTAGGCATCCCGGGGAACAACGTGTCTCTCAGCCTCAGGGGTTCAACCAAACATCCCACATGCCGCACCTTTGGAGAATCTGATACGGCCATCATGAGCCCACATGGAGACACTCAACCACCTCCAATCCTGAGTCACTTGAACGTGATCGCAAAAGTGCGGTGTCACAGTGACTCCCTTGCCCCAGAAAAGCAATGGGGTGGTCGGTCCTCATCCGCTTTAGCAGTCTTGAGCTCTCGGTGGAAACATCCACGAAACTACGGTGGAGGAGTGAGAGCAACGTCAGCTCTGCTTTGCAGTGGGCGAGTGGCGACAATCACAAGTCTTAAACACAGGGCAGTACTTAATCTCCTGTTTACAGCCCTGAGACAGTGGTCAACATTCCACATTCCTATGGCAAGCATAAGTCTTACCATAGCAAAGCAAACAGATAAAGATCCCCCGTATAGCCTTAACATACTGTTGGGGCAAGTGATGTTAGCGAGCAGCTATGAGGGGGTGGGTGGCCAGCACCACGCCCGGCCACCTTTGTCTCCCCAGCGGCGATGTTTACGCACCGCACCAGGTACTCATTTTAGGCTGAGCCGACCTAGGGGAGGCCCGGGACCGGTTCTGATATTCGTCACCGGAGTTGGCCGTGAGCGGGAATCTAACTCGGGTCCCCGGGTTTGTAGCGCAGCGCACTAACCCCCAACGAAGCAGCGCTCAAAGCACAGCGCGGCTGTGTGTGGTGGTGGTGTTGGGGGGGGGGGCGCTGCGATTCCCCACAGAGGCATTCGTGCGGGGGCCCCAGCGGAGAGGAGCGGAGGCCGCGTGGGAGGGGAGGAGGGGGGTCTCTGGGAGGGCGCTCCGTCAGCGCCGCCGCCGCCGTGGCCGCCGCGGGGAGACACGCGCGCCCGCTCCGCGAGTCGCTGTTCCCCGCTCGCGCCAGCGTCTCGTTCAACATGAGCAGGGGCCGACCCGGCAAAGGTGACCCGCTCGCTTGCGCCAATCTCAGCCAGAGGCAAAGGTCCCCGTGGGCGGACCGTCGTGGCAGGTGCACGAGTCGGGCGTGTGGCCAGTACCCACGCCCGGCCGCCCATGTCTCCTCGGCGCAGAAGTATAAAAGGAACCGCACCGTATACGCGAATTATACCAAGGCGACCAAAGAGGAGGCAGGTTAAGTGACCGCCGGCGACTGATGTTACCCACGGCCGGAAAGTCACGCCGCTTTCGAGACGTGCAGCACATTGCGTGAAACAACTACGCCCGTGAGAGCGTGTGCTGTTGCACGCGGCGGCAACAGCACAAGCTCTCGTTCGCGTTCCCCGCGTTGAGCTCGGTCCACCGGCAGCACAACTCGGAGTGGTCATTGACACCGTTGCAGAGGTTCGCAGTTCGAGCCCAGAGGCCACTCCAGTTAATACTGCGGGTGTATTGACCATAAATTACTACGCGCCTTCTGATTCCAAGTGGACGTTAAAGATTTCCGCGACGTTAACACAAAGAGAGTAGGCAATGTGTGCCGGCGTCGTTGTACAAATTCTATAAAATTGTTCACGGACCACGTCATTGGAAAGCCACATAGCAACATGACCCCCGACTGGCAGCCTCATGCCCACTTGCTGGCCAGTGCTGCATTCATCTTGAGCCTCGCAGGGACAACTACCACCGGGGGTGCCCCTGTTGCAGGGCATCCCCGGTGCTGCATGAGAGGCGCCGTATTAATACTGAGAGATGATAATGGTGGTGGTGATGATGATGAAAACTGGCGGGTGGGTAAATTTTTATTTTAAACCTTTTGCTCTCGGCGTGTTGCTCTTTTACGCACGACGCAGCGTGCTCGTACCACGGGCGGCTGTACTCGCACGGGGAGTGGTGGCAGCCCAACGTGGCCCCGCTGGGCCCCGTCGAATGCGTGTCGTGCACCTGCCGTGACGGGCGCCCGGAGTGCCACCGCACGCACTGCCCACGTGACGACCAGATGCCCTGCCCGGCGCCGCGCAAGCTGCGTGGCCGCTGCTGCAAGGTGTGCCCGCAAGGTGGGTGCACAGTGAGAACGGTGGACGTTTTTTAATATACATATACCAGCGAAGGCCCACTGAGCTATATATAGCTTATTTGCAGAAGCTACCTGGCCACAAATGATGGCACAATGAGGTGGCTTATCATGTGGAAATTTCTAGCAGCCAAATACTCGAAATGCACGTTTCTAAATGTGGAGGGAAAACAGAGGACCCGGAGAAAAATCCACGCAACCACGGGGAGAACATGAAAACTCCAAATATACAGCAGGCGTCAGACCTGGCCATCACAAATGATAGTTCAACGAAGTTAATTATTATCGCATGGAAAACTGAATTGATTGCAGAAACGTGGCCCCCATTGTTTCGACTGCCGTGCCGGGAGATGGAATCGAAGCGGCGACCTCTGCACTACAAGTCCGGTGTGCGGACCACCGCTGTGGCAGTGCCCTTCATTTCTCAGTTGCAAAAGTCGAAAATGCGTTTTTTGCTCCAGGCATTTTCTGAATGTGCAGCCAACCGGTAAACATTAAAGTGATTTCATGCAGTTACCGGGAATGCAAATAAACAATTCTAACAAACCTATTAGTATATTCGAATATCAGAAGGGATGGCGCTATTACAATTTGAATATAGATAGAAGGGGCAAGACAGGGAATGGCCTCAGTGAATTATTTTTGGCTTGATTTTACGCTTTCCAAGTAAGGTTGAGATCATATTCTTAGGTTTTTTCGGAAAAGTCACGTAGGTAAAAATTCAAATTAATAAAAGTAAAATAAATAAAAGAAAAAGAAAAATCACGACGTTTCGGAGGCAACACAAGCCTCCATCGTGATTTTTATTTTATTTATTTTACTTTTATTAATTTTAATTTTTACCTACGTGACTTTACCGAAAAAAACCTAAGAATATGAATCCTTGCAGTCACGAAAGCTTCAAATCTAGAATTAAGGTTGAGATCGTCCGTGCATCCAGTCTGTCCATCCGTCTGAATGGAGGTCGTGATAGCGCTCATAAAGAAACACCAACACGAACAACATTTTAGGACGAGGTTGTTTTCCTATTATGGACTTGTCCCAAAGAGAAGTGGTCAAATTTATCAAATGGTTGCACAAAACTTGGGACTCTAAAATTAGTGATGTAATGATTCACCTCTTGTTTTGTTTTGTAACGGTCAAGGCGTGCCTCCCCTCCCGATGAAGTCGTTGCATACTCTTTGGTTCTTTCGGTAAAGTCACGTAGGTATTAAATAAAATAAATCACGACGTTTCTGGCGCAACACACCTGATGATGGACGCTTGTGTTACGCCCGAAACGTCGTGATTTATTTTATTCTATTTTATACTTACGTGACTTTACCGAAAGAACCGAAGAGTATGGATTTCTGCAGTCACAAAAGCTCCCAATCAAGTCGTTAAACGTGACGTCATCTCATGTCACACGCCCTGCGACATCTCGTCATGCGGCTTGCAACATACATGTGTCATCGCTAATGAGATACTTCCCAGGGCACATGCATGCTGGAGAGCATCGCACGGACCCATGCATGTGCATCGTTTGTCTTCCTTGTTAATTCTCAATTTTGTGCAGTCGCTGGTGACCCGGGCCGAGACCCTGAACTCACTTCACTTGAGAATCCAGTTCGATCACAGGTGGTGACCGAAACCCACGGACAGGGTCTCATTGGTGCCGGCTCAATGCCCATGCCCAGGTATCATCGCTGTGAGCCACCTGGTCACCGGGAGCCTTTGTGATGGGCCAGAGCAGCAATCGCTGTGGTGTCAGTCAACAGCTGTGAGGGTACAGTGGTTTACTGCTCGCATGAGCATGGGGTGTTGCTCATCTCCTGCTCTTGGCCTTAAAGCGGTGGAATAAATACCACATTCCATAGGACAACCATTTAGAAACCCTCGACCACGAAGTCGCCATTCATTGTAATCATCTCGGTGGGGTGCAAGGTATAAAGGGACAATGAACGGACATCGCGGCTTAGCTTGTCGCGAGTGTCGCAGGCAGTGCACTTGCATCGAAGCCCACGGGCTGGAGTGGCCCAGGCACGGAGCTATGAATGGCGTGGGGGTGGGGGGGATAGGACAGGGGGGAGGGGGGCCATTCAATGCCTTGCAACAGGGCCCGTGCCAACCACGCAGCGCGATTGTGTTGACCCCCGAGTGTGATTTGAACGGGCAACCTTCACACTGTGTGCCTTGCGCTCAAGACCGCTGTGTCACCTGACTGTGTGATTTCTTTCCACTTCAAGGCCAACACAAGTGTTAGGAACATGGTTTAAACGTTGTACTTGTCACCTGGACAATGTGAGCTGGACTCCAGTGCTTTCAAGCCGCGTGGGCCAGCCAAACGAAACAAAGACCCCCTTGCAGTCTCTTCGGGCTGTTTGGGCAAGTACTCTTAGTGGGCACCTATGAATGCCGGCACGGCGCATGATGGATTCATGTGGCCAGTACCAGGTTCACTGTGCAGTGCACTACTAGACTACCCGTCCGCACAGCCATGCACACGCACACCCCAGTTAAGGTATTGGTCACTCATGTTAGCCAGGAGCGAGAATCGAACTTGAGTGACCGGATTCATAACACAGTGTGCTAATCTCTATGCTATTGCTACCCACAGCCACACACACAACGATTCAGATATTCCCCGCTGATGTTAGCCGTGGGTGTAGAATCAACTCCAGTAACCAGATTCATCTTGCGAGCGTGCTAATCGCTATGCTACCGTTACGCACAGCCACATACACACGCACACCGATTCAGATATTCATCACTGATATTAGCCGAGAGTGGTAATCAAACTCGGGTTGACCGGCTCTTGGTCCAATGTGCTAACCACTACGCCACTGCTCCCCAGAGCCACACGCACACACGCACGCACGCCTCTCCCCACGAATGCCGCTCCATCGTTACAGAACCAGGCGGGGAGGAGAGGGACCATCGGTCCGCCGCGGGCTGCGGCGTGGACGTGGGCGACCGGGCGGTGTACGAGGTGACGACGCTCCGCGTGGGGCCGCGAGAGGCTGGGGGCGGCAAAGGGGACGCAGGGAGCCGATCGCCGCAACCGCAATCGCCACCGCAGCCGCCGCCACCGCCGCGGCTCAGGAAGTTTGCGGTCGTTCCTGATGCCGACAGAGACGTTGACATCGTCATCCTGACGACGCAGAACGGTGCGTGGATTTGTTGCTGTATTTTCGTGGATTTGATGGGTGTTCGGAGCCGCAGAGACGATAGATTTCCGAGAACATTCAGAGACTACATTAGGAGTGGTGCTCAAAGCACAAATTCAAAAAAACCTCGCCATGTTCCTGTATTATTGCTGCTATTGAAAAATACATATAATAATAGGCTGACATTCTGGCCAATTGCCAGCATGTCAAGAGGTTGACTGACTTAGAGATCACATCGTACACTGCGTTATCTTAAAGTATTTGAATGAAATTATAAATTCAAATATTTGTACCTTATTTATATTTTGAATGCATCATGAAGCCACCGGTCGTTGATGATGATGATGCTGCTGCAACATAGCATGCAGCCTTCACAACATTCTCTCAAACCGCAACCAAAATTGTGAAAGAAAAAAAAGTGAAAGCCGTGCTGAAAGAGCAACCACAAATGGTCTACCAGATGTGCAGTGCTCGCAATATCGCGCTCGTAATTTTAACGACACGTGGAAGGCACGGCTTGGCAAAAAAATGAAAAACGAAACGAAGGAAAAGGATCGTTGACGCGAGGAGCTGCGGTGTGGGAAACGGCGCCGTGGTGAAACACCACCGGCGCGTGGCGGAGCCGTGTGAAAGCACCTCTGCAGTGAGTCTCGGCGATGAACTGCACGTGGCGGCGGTGGCAATAAATACCGAGCGAGGCGGAACGCGCGGCTCTAATCCAGCGCTTTAAAGAGGCAGGGTCGGTGTGTCACGCAGAGATCGCGCAAGTAGTGCGAGACTTCTATCCCGCTCGCCTGTGGCGGGCGCAGTACAGAAAGTGTGGAGTTCTGCTCCAGGTACTGATTTTCCTCCCGCATAAAAAAATGACAAAACTCAGTGAGGCTTTCCCAAATAAATATTATTATAAAACAGTGTCTGATGCAGGGTGGAAGAAGAGAACGTGTCTGATTGTGGTTGTTTATTTGTAGGGATGTCTGGCCTTCATAGGCTGTCGCTAACAACACTTGTGCCAACAGGCTACAGGGGGAACTTGGTTTAGTTGTTTGTCATCTGTGCACGTTTCACATTTAAAATATGCGATGGTGTGTCCCAATGACTTGTCAAATGCCTATTCACATTACGTTTACATTACATAAGCCGCACAGATCATTGGTAACATTTCCAAGGACAGGCTCGCCTAAGTAATTTTCAAATTACTTCTGCTAAACATAAATATAATGGACTTGGACAAAGTTTAATTGCTGCCAAAGTTTCCGATTCATGTGCCATTTGAGTTCCTCTCAAGGTAATTTGATTAAAATTTTACAGCGGCATTTTCCATAAAAATAACAAACCAGCCACCGCCTGATTGAATTTTGGCATATATTTCTTAAAAGTGGTCTTTTAAACCATTAATCTACAAAGTGTTGATTTTGTAAATTAAACGCATTTCCTTGGCCCGATGCACATGGCCTGTGTTTTTTTAAAGGTGCAATGCTCATTTTATATGTTGTGGCCTCCCTCTGATATCCACTCGTGCGTGGGTTTTCTGCATTGTAAAAAAATACTCGGGGGCGCAGTGGTGGTTCAGCAGGTCGTGCACGGTGGTGCTATGAATCCGGCTACCCGAGTTCTATTCCCATCCATGGCTAACATCAAGTGGTGATTGAACTGTGAACTGGTCCTGGGGCACCACTTTCACCGAACCGGAATGGTCAAACAACCCCCCAAGACTGACACGGATTGGGATAAAAACCTTCAGTCGCAGATTGATATATGGCAGCCGATTATTTAATTATGATTTTGAAACATTTTTATATTCAACGAACTGGTTAGTAATCCAAAAGCAGGATCCTCATGAATGTTAGTCTTGGGACTTTTATAGTAGAATAATTTAAAAAATGTGTTAAACTGCAGGTGGTACTGTTGTCATGCGCCTGGTATCAGGAGCATGCTGGGTGATTTTAGTCAGACAGCTTTGCCAAATAGGATATCGAAACAAATAATGTATCTCTCTATCTCCCGTCGTCTTTATCCCTGCATCGTCAACACGTAGGCATCATCCTGGACATGAACGTGGAGCCGATGGAGAAGCAGAAGTTTGAGGGCGACTATCGGCAAGACACCGGAGTGACGCTGCGTCTGCTCGCACGCACCACGCACAGTGAGAGCGAACGGCACAGATCAGCACGCGTGTTGAACTTTGTCCGCGCCGTACGTAGCCGAGTCATCGACTCTGACGAGCTGTGCCGCTTGCTCTTTTCCGCCGCTTTCGCCGCAGGTCGATGGAAGAAGTTCCGGCAGAAGGCCTCCCAGGCGCGGGTGGGCGAGTGCGGAGCGGCCAAGCTGTGCGGGGCGCCGGTCCGCGCCGACGAACTCCTGCGAGCGCTCGCCCCGCTCAAGCACGAGTGCGGCGGACGCGGGGGTCACGGCAGGGTCGTGTCCAGGGGGTCTCTCGCGTGCATCATGGGGCTCGCTTAGGACGCGCAGCGCGCGCGCAGGGGTTAGGGTTAGAAAGCTTCGTTTTCAATGTTTTCAATAGGTCCAATGTGTCAAGACAAATACGCGTACGATTTGTATACGCGTGCGATTCGAACGTGTGGCATAGAGCTGTTAATTTAACTGTTGCTCGGCAGACTCCAAATGTTCCGAGGACTGTGCATTGGCAGACCCGTCCCGAGTTGTGTTTGAGGGGTCGGTCTCGAGGCTGACTCAACATGAGACACGCCACGTGATGCATTTGTCATCAACTACAGATCAAGCATACTGGGGTGTTCCAAAACATTTCCCATTCATTTCATCACCACCCTTCAAAGTCAATTAGTTTTACTTGCTTCACATGAGGCTTTTTTGGTGGTAATGCAATTAATCGTATACAGAGGGGTAGTGGCTAGTCTGGAATATGGCTTTAAAGATCTGTTTGAAGACACAAGCATGATCTATCTGATGCAATTGGTCACACTGCTGCCTTGGCCTATAGCGCTCTATATCATGCTCTATAAGGACGATTAATGATGATGGTGATTAATGGTCGTAAAAATTGCTGACGACTCTGGCTGTTTGTGATGGTTGATGGAAGATCGCTGATGACGATGATGACGACGACGATGACGATTGCCGGTGGTGGCAGTGACAATGGGGAACCGCAGCTGTGGTGCTGACGACGACGGCGGCGATGAAAGCGACCTCGACAGAAGCGACGATCATTGAACGCCGCCGCAATCCGAACCCGGGGCGCCTCCGTGTGCCAATGACGAATACGTTCGCAGCAAGTGAAACGTGAGACACGCAGCAAGGTCTCCGCAGCCATTAATCAAAGCCTACGGGCTGGCTTTGACATCAAAGCCAAACATGTATTCGTGCGATGTTGACACACGCGCTTCACGGCACTCTGCCAGTCGGACCGTGCAACACTCGCTGTGTGAACACCTGGATTTGCCTTTGGGTGCTCCCCTTCAACCCAGCCACGCACGGGCACCTTCGTGGGAATCCTGGCGATAACCCGGTGGGAATGCAAACTGGAATCGGCTCCACTTCACGGCAGCTTAAGCTAGAGAGCGGGCGATGAAGCCTCATCGAGCGAAGGCGTCCCCCGTCAACAGAGCACGGCGCGTTGCCGAGACGCGGATATGACACGGTCCGAAAGTAACATGTGGTCTTGGTTATGGAGAGAAAATGTTTTACATCTATACATGAAAACAATGAGAGCAATTCGACATCCATTAACATGACTTTATACTCATTTGGCCGCCTTTTGCCCCCCCCGTGTTTCTGTTTTAAGGGACACAAGTGTCGATGTCAGCCTTTAACCGCACGCGGAGTTTACGGGCCGATCTGGTTTATGGCCCGTGTGAGCACGAAGCGCCGAGGCAGCTTCTTGGTTCTTTCGGTAAAGTCACGTAGAAGGGAGATAATAAAATAATACAAATAAAACATAATAAAATAATACAATTCTCACGACGTTTCGGCCACAACGCAAGAAGCCGTCCTCAGGTGAAGAACAGGTCTGTCGGAAAGACAGCGTCTGAATCTTTCCGACAGATCTGTTCTTCACCTGAGGACAGCGTCTGAATCTTTCCGACAGACCTGTTCTTCACCTGAGGACGGCTGCTTGCGTTGTGACCAAAACGTCGTGAGAATTGTATTATTTTGTTGTATTTTTATTATTTTATTATCTCCCTTCTACGTGACTTTACCGAAAGAACCAAGATGAATCCCTGCAGTCACGAAAGCTTTAAATCGAAATGTAACCGCCGCGGCAGCGTTGACGCAGGGGGTGTCCCAACGTCAGCATGTTACCTGGCTACAAAGCTAACACAACAAATGCGTTCAATTCATTCATTGGTGAAGTTTTCTCCGGACAACGATCAAATCGCACCTAAAGTCGCAAGCGATTTCTCTAGAAGTTGTCAAGTATAGTTTTAAACGCTTCCACAGTTATTTCATGCATGCGCAAATCTAATTTACTTTTTGTGCTGGCCGTTATTGTTAAAAGCAATCCCTTTCAGAAACGCCACCTCTTTGGAAACAATCCAAGCATGAATGTGTTCGCTACATTTTATGAGAAGTTTTTACCTTTTAGCTAAAAGTATTTATTTGAAATATTTTGGCTCAGGTACATACCCCATCGAACAGTTTGAGCGAGGTACATTAGTAATCACACGCTTGTACACGCTGCTGGTTACCCATAAACAGCCAGAAGTGATTGTTTATGTAAATTTTAAAGTTCAAAAATAGTTTGCACAAAATTAACATATTCACATAAACATCCTGCTGTGCTGTTGATTGCATTGTGTACACCGGCCAGGAATCAACTCAGCCCATCATCCATCCATGGTCAGTACAATTTGTACAATTTGTACCACTTGGTGGAAAGTGAACGGTGGCTATTATATGCAGAGACTGGTCCCCTCAATGGGGATGTGGAATTTCTATCACTGGCTCTGGACCACTGACTCAGCTCCACAAGTATTTTAGAGGGAGGTACTTACTTTAGTTAAACAATGTGGTTTGTTTATGGTGGTGTGAGCTCGTAACATCAAGCCAACAAATGCCAATCGCAATGAGTCGGTCATTATGTGGGCCTTACCTGGTAAAATAAAAAGTTCAGTTTAATTTAATAGCGAAAGACCAACCTTTGCGCGAATATTAGACGCAATCACTGGGGAGCTAACAATTCTCACTCGTCAAGTGAGCTGCATGGAACTAGATGGAGGCAGCCCTCATTGGAACAAAACACAAACTGAACAAACGAGGGAAGGAAAGAAACACGTTTCGCTCGTAGACACAAGAAATGTTGACACGAATAAACGTTGCGGAATTTGTAAACGTTCTTTCCGAGTGGAAAATGCGGTGGAGTGGGAGAGAGAGGAGTGAGTGAGTGAGTGGGACGAGGGGGATGAGGGTTTGGTGAGCGGGCGAGTTGAGTGACGCACAGAGGAGGGAGGTTCAACCCGGGAGGAGGAGCGCAACTTGACAACCTTTGTGGAGACGAGACGAGATGCCCCGGCACATGCCCAGGGGTCATGGCTCCTCGTGGAATATTTTTTAAGAAAAATATATAACGACGAATAACGGATGAAAGAAACATATCTAAGAAAAAAATAATTACTCAAATTTAATCTATTAACTGGAACTAAATAGGGTAAATTAAATTCCTACGTTCCAGCGCACGCCAAATTACCGGATTCTGACTACGAAATGCAGTCTTTAAAAAGATAAAACACGAGATGTTTTTAAACCTTTTTTTTCTATCATCGTTTTCACAATGATAGCACGCTATAAAGGTGCAGCCCTGCAATGGCTTCCACAAGAGGTTATCTTGGCCTACTCGAATCTGACCAGACGTCCTGGAAGAGATGTAGTATCCACACTTCACCGCCGATCGACTAATTGTGCTGCCACCCATTTATACTGCTGGGTGGACAGAGGCGGGAGGGGGGGGAAGAGCTAACAAACAAATCCTGCACCATGACGTGAATTGCCACGCTGGGAGATGTAATACAACCTTCACCACAGCAGCAGAATCCTTCACAAAGATACAAGCGGCAATGTGCTACCGCTTTTGTCATTTGGTGGCTCAGGTCCCTTACAAACGAGACTCATCCTGGTTTCGTTTGAGTTCGCACCAGGCTTAACAACATGAACCGAACGAGACGAGCGGCAAGTTATATTGCTATGCAGTTACCTGCCTGGCAAGGACCGACATGCGTCAAGGTAATATTTCAAAATGTGATCAAGCGGAACGATTATCTCTTGAGACAAAAATATGGGTAGCCCCGGAAATAAAATTGCTGCCGAGCACAATGGGCCTCCCAATAAAACATAAAATGAGTAATATTTAAAAATACTTTTAAAAAAAACACGCTTTTATGAAATGTACTAGTAATGGCAGAACTCCACGACTCAAGAAAGTGGCCCCGAAGCTTGCCATAATGTAAGGGGCCGTGGTGATTTACAGCCAAAGTCAGTTGAGCGTGGACAATTAGAGCAAAGCCGAAACATAACATATACAAATTTATGTTTAAAAATACTTTTTTTTATTTCGTTTGATAGAATATAGTATTGTCATACGTATGACATAAGTATACCAAGTTTGCAGTCGATACCACATTGGGAAGTGGGTTAAAATTGAGTTACAAGATTTGAGGATACAACAACAGAGTGAGTTAATAGAAAGCGTGTAAAAAGATTGTTTAAAAATAAAAATAAAATGAATGATAGAATATAGTATTGTCATCAGTAAGACATAAGTATACGAAGTTTGCAGTCGATACTACATTGGGAAGTGGGTTAAAATTGAGTTACAAGATTTGAGGATACGACAACAACAACAGAGTGAGTGAAATAAAAGCGTGTAAAAAAGGGGCAATGCAGCAGGATAATTTAAACATAGGCGGCAGGCGGCCACAGCCAAAATCCTTTGGGATGGGTTGTTAAGTATGGAGGAGGTGGTGCTGGGTGGTGAAGGGCCGATCTGGGGTGAGCGCGGGACAGAGCAGAGTGGAGATGAGACGTGCGGGGCCTCCCCGGAGCCTGCGAATTGATTCGCGGGGTCGTTCACAGATGCACACAGAACAAGGCTCCATGGTAGACGACCGCTCCTCCCTGGGCTCTGTGGTGCCAAGACGCAGACGCGCACACAACGACATGCACAAAACGCACAGCATGCGCGCCCGCCCGCCCGAGGGAATAAGGGCAGATGAGCGATAATAGCCAGCCAAAGAAGTGAACACGCGCATGAGAAAGCGATGCGTTCAGTCGCGAGAAGATGGCATCTCAAGACCGTGAGCGGGTTGTGTCAACGTGGGGAGGTTTACATCCAGGAGTGGACAGATCAGTGCTCATGTTTTTTTTTTCACATATATATGAAACCCTGCAATGATAAACATGTTTGAAAAAATTCATGTTTACTTGTTTACCGAGCCTTCGGGGGTAACATGCTACTTACTATATATGGGAATGGAAAAAAAATTGCAGCCGATTATAAAGTCAGAAGGAAAAAATGTGTTTCTGCTTTTCGTGTTTTAGGTAATAAAATTGTTGGCGCGGTATTGGTTGCTCCACTAATGTGAAATGTAAACTCATTAGCCTCACATGACTTGACCCAACGAGTCAGACATTGAATTAATTTATTTCTCACTGGCGGCGACTGGGGGCAGAATGTCAACTCATTAAGGAGCGTGGAGGTTCAGCAAGCACTCTCAAAAGCACGTCGCTTTGCAGGAGCCACGCACGGCTGTATGCATGTGCGGTCTACTCATGTAGGTGTATGGGATAAGGACAAAGACTCCCCCTTTAACAGACTGTTGGGGCAAGTGCTGTTGTTGGCGAGCACCTATGAAGGCCGACACGGTACACGAGCGGATTGAGTGACCAGCACAACACCCGACCGCCTTTGTCCACCCAGTGGCGATGTTTACACATCGCGTCAGATACTCATTTGAGGCCGAGTCGACCCAGGGGGGGCCCAGGCCCAGTCAAGATAATCGTCAGTGGTGTTAGGTGCGTGGGGAGTGACACGCACACACGGGAGCGCGACTGTCCAACACGCGGTGGCTACGAACCCAACGACGCGAGTTTTGATTCCAGTACACGGCCAAAATTGCTGATATCAAGAACCAGTTGTGGACATCCCCTAAGTAGACTCAACCTTAAAAATAAGTATTCCGGTGCAGTGTGTGAACAATAGCAGTGGGGAGACAAAGGTGCATGGTTGTGGCACTGGCTATACCACCCCACGTTATACAGTTTATACAAAAATACACAAACCCAACGCTCGCCAGTGTAGCTCTAAATGCTGCTGGCATGCTGCTAGCGAGTACCCATTAAAGTTAACATGACATAAGATGCTGCAGTGCATACCAGGACCACACTCAGTTATCCCAGCTGTTAATTTCATTCCAAGTCGACCTAGGGGAGGCATTAGACAGATTTGGGAAGAGCTTGCCACTGGTGTTGCCCACCACCAGGAACACAATTCATGTTTCACAGGAAGCAAACCACTGCATTACCACTCCCCACACGCACACTCACCGTCATCATGCTTTTAATTGTGCCAAGTATTGCCTTGGGCAGTTTGGCTGATAGAGCCCACCTAAACTCAACTTCCTAGTCAAACCAGCAATTCAGCATAGAAACAAGTGTGTATACATCGCAGGCAGGGTGAAATGTACAATGCCTATACACAGGCACACATGTATTAAGACACGTCAGTGTGGGGGATTTGAACCCCATTCGTAGATTATTGCCTGGATTCATTGCCGTTCACCGAAGTCTTTATAGCCGGCATTTCTGGCCCATTACGCCTTTCTCAACCGTGGCCACTTTTATCGCTTGAGCAGGTTAAGGAGGGCCGATTATTCGGTTAGTTATGCGACACAGACTAACAATGCTTTCATTTTCGAGACCGTTCTGTGCGCGCTTTGTAAAATTGCAATCCAACTCGGGGATTTATTTACTACTCGAAAAAAAAATCAAGATTTATTGTGCAAAAATATATATGGTAGTAAAGTCGGGCAAGGTTTTTTTCCTCCTCCACCCACCCCTCCCTTCCCCAACCACTATGGGATGGCAATTAAAAGCATGCGGCATAGTAACTCACTGGCCCACGCTGCGTCGATCAGGGGGAGCGCGCAGGTTCAGAGGGCAGCCCCAGAATTTTCTTGAACACAGAGCTTTCAACAGAACTGTAACTCACCGTTGTCCATTTGGTAACGTGTCACGGTGGGCACCCATCCCCACGCGCTGGCCAGGTCCAAGCCCGCTTGGCTTCCGAAGTCTGACAACAAGATGCATGGCTGCAAACTCGCGATAGAACCCAAACAAAAAAGCTGGCTCTCTTCTTTAGTAAACGGAGGCGTTTATTATCGGTAACGAAAACACACGCGACTATGACGGATCGCAGCCTAGCATCGAAATTGTCTGCAACGTCCAGCCTCCCGAATAAACACAATATTTCTCTGTTACTCGCTCGCTCGAAAGGCTCACTGCTTAAGATCAACTATTTTAATCTACACACAGCGTTTGCTCGATCTTGCGACATTTTTGACCTCTCGTGTTTTAACCACACGGTGCAGCAAAACAGAAAGGACATCGCAGGTGTGTTTTCCTGTTAGCGGGTCACCAATATTCAGTGTTCTCTTCATAACGATGCCCAACCACAGGGACTTCAAACCATCATTCACGACATTTGAGTTTCAAAGCGTACAACGTGGTGTACATCATTCTCTTGACTTTAAGGAGAGAAAGTACTAAATAAAATACAAATATAACTTTAGTTCTGGCTTCACCGAAGCTCAAGACTTATTTAGAAGGGTCCTGCTTAGAATGGTTGTGTGCTAAGTAACCTCAGTTACAGACTCAATCTAGCAGTCTAACACGCACCTACCTCACATTTGCAATGCATTTCCTTAGCGTATTGTGCCTTGTAAAATAAAATGGCCCAAACCTTCAAAGCAACATTTCTTCTCCACTGATGTCATGAGCATCATCCATAGGAAGACATGTGGATTATACACACAGAAATGATCAGAATGCTGTAGGAATGAAACCGGTAACACGACAGAGGTTTTCGCTGTTTAGCTCGGCGACTGAACTCTAGCACTTGAAACGAAACGTCGGGAAAGTCGAACACTTTGCAGTACAACACAAGAACACATCAGAGCACTTACAAGCGTGTTGCTGGACTAACCGCTCTCTCCATACGGCTGTGGTACGTTGCTGCAGGCTGCGTAATGTGTAAATGAGGTTCTTTGAAGGTTTGTAAAAAATCTATCAAGATTAAGGAGGTGGGTGTAATCTTATCTTTGTTTTATACCCTCCACATTCCATCCACCACCCCTCCCCTTCAGAGGTCTACCCTGTGCCATGCTATAATATTGCTTCCAATCGCATTGACATATCAAGGAATTTAAGCACTCAACAAATGCAATTTCCTTATCCTTAATCTTAACTCTATTGATCTTGAGAGTGGACTGGATGATTCATCAAATAATTTTAGTATTTGGAGGGGCCAGCGAGTGAAGAGGATTTTAAAAATTTGGTGATGGAGTCCAAATCGGACATCCGGGGAAGAGATAGAGCGATGAAACCGGCGGTAAGAATCAACACTTGAGCTGGTGCAAGACGGATTGCTCCATCGCTGGATTGTGAAGGGTGGTGACAGCCTGGAGAGGCCTTCATCCAGCAGTGGACTGATCATGGCTGATGATGAATGAGGTCAAGGAAGCTGAATCACAGAGGGAAAGAGAGTGATTGGTGGTATCTTGTGAACTCCTTTTGGGAGCTTCTCACACATTCATTTTGTAACTGGTGGGGATTCAGTGCGCCCCAAAGCCCACACACAACAAGTTGTCCTGGTCTGGCGAAACACAAATCCAACAGTTTCAAAGCGAGTTAGACCAGGCACGGTATTGCGTTCTCTCATGTGACTACAATAATTATAAATCCATCTCACACTGCGATGCGTGATGGGGTTATTTGCACGGCAGAAACATAACCGTACGATGTTTAGTTGACTCCAAATAAATGCTTATGAGCATCACAACAGTAGAATTAATCCAACATCAACAATTGCAAAAAGAGATATAATGAGATGCAGCTGCTTATTCGATCGGACATGGTGTCCCGAGGAGCAGAGATAGCGCAGGACAGGGCAGCGTGGAGAAGGTTGGCAAGGAGAGCGGAACACCCACTTGAGTGGGACCAACGCGTGTGGAAGAAGCTTATTTGATGTTTTCACCCACAAACCATCAAGATCAAGTAGGATAAACCGTTACACGTCAGTTGCCATCATCACTTCCTTTTTATTTACACACAAACAAGATAATGTGAATGGCAGCACAGCTGATGACATATGCATTGCCAAGTCTTAAAAATGAACAGTATGTGACGGTCTCCACACACTTTCCCGCTCAGTCTTACACAGCCTCCTAAACGCCCTCACATCGTCTCACGCGGACTTCACCTAGCCTCATCTGGCACACACGATCTCATCCACCCTCTCTCAGTCACTCACCCAACTTCACCCAGCCTTACACAGCCTCACACACGGCCTCAGGCAGCCTCTCAAGTCACTCACACAGCCATATACAGCCTAACACACGGCCACACACAGCCTCACCCAACCACACACAGCTTCTTCGCAGGCACTCAGTCACTCACCCAGCCTCAACCAGCCTCACCCAGCCTCAGTCACTCACCCAGCCTCACCCAGTCCTCACACAGCCTCGCACGCTCACCATTTCCATCGCTACTCGCATGAAGTATCCATTCCACTGCACGTTACTTCTTCTGGAAGAAGCCCATGATGGATGTTTGCTTTCCGAGTTTGCTCTGTTGAGAAGTCTTTTTGTCTTTCCCCTTCCCGCCTTCCGTCTTTTGAGCAGCCTTCTGAGGAACCTGACAGGAAGGCGACACACCTCCATGAGGGTTCAGTTTTGGTGAAGCCCCACAATTACCTGGCCAGTCTTGTCGTGAGGACCCTCCACCACCCGACATAGCCAAACAAATAAAAATTTTAAGTGTACAAAGGTTTAACAATACACAAATTATTATTCTTTAGGTTCACCGGTAAGTTGAAAAAATTATCGATTCGTTACAATTATACGTTTTAGCTGCCGCGTCGTAAGATGGAATAGAACTCCAACCTCTGGACTGCAAGTCCAGTGTCGTCACGGATTACTATAACTGTAGATTTAAAAAAAGCTTAAGCGCATATTTCTCGAATATTAGAACCAGGCCCTGCACCCCATTGTGTTTTTGTTAGTAATTTATAAAGGATGCAATACTGTTCTGTCCTGTAATGATTCTTGTCATTGACATATTCATGTTAGGGGTCCCATAATTCATATGTAGGCTTTGACAACCAATATTAATTAATTATAGTGGTCCCAATGTGGCTAATGTGGCCTGGTGTATAATATGCACTGGTCATAGTTTGTAGCAGAGGGGATGCTTTACCGGTACTGTTGGTGCTTTCTTGGTAGCTGGTTGGAATTCACCCTCACTGTCTGTACATGACTCACTCACCCAATCTTTCTCAGTCACTACCAAAAACAGAGAGACACACAACACATGTACATGTTTAACACCATACACATGACTCAATTATCTGTATACGGACACAATCACACCCACAACATGCAGGTACCACGAGGATGAGTAATATGTGTATGCATTATAGACCCTGCATGTGGCCAAGTAGCGCTGTGACAGACACACACAACAGCAGGAAAGCTGAGAGTCCATATCATGCATGAGGGTCAGCTGGGCACATCATCCCTCCAGGTCAATAAAATAAATACCACTTCATCATAATTTTGTGCGAAGTTAAACCACCAATGCCCCCTTTCCTCCTTCCCACCCATTAAATAACCACAAATAGGTCAGGGCCCCCCAATGGAAATGGGAACCAACCCGTGCATGTTTAAACACGGAGACATTTCATATTAACGTGATTCGGTCTTTTAAAAGAAGGCAAGTAATGTTTCACTGGAGGCAGACTGGGAATTTACAATCACTATTAGTATGATTGTTTAACAGCAAGTCAATAGTGCAACGCGCCTGGAGAAGAACCAAGCGGCGTCGAATGTGCACGGCGCGGAGCCGCGGGAGAAACACGACACCCGACCGACTGGAAAATCTGCGCTCGGGAAAGCTTCGCTACGCGTGCAAAACCGTAAAACGGATTTTCACGCCAGTCTCCTCGCCGCAAGGGAACTCGACCGGATTACGACCCTGACGGCTGCAAACGGCGGGCTTAGCCACGGCACAAAATTCAATAGCGGCAGTAAAAACTTGTGTTTGGGGTAAAAAAAAAAACATATATAAAATGAAAAAAGGACAGGAATTCATCACCATCATGCTGGGAAAAGTATCAGAGACTTGTGCGTGCAGTCATGGACAAACACAGATATACACGACGCAAAAATGTGTAATATATTTCACACGTTTCGAATGCTCGTTGAGGAAGGCAATGAAACGGGTGTAGGTGTGGAATGGAATGGAGGGTGTTTTTTTTTACATATTTAAATAAATAAATGGCTAGCGGCCCCATGAAATGATTAGGCACAGTGATGGCACTGTGCACTTCAAATGGACTTGGCGCTGTTAACCCCAAGAGAGTTTCACTTCTTGGCCCAATGCAGTTTGTGCTGCATGATAAAAAAAAATGTATATATATATCTATGGCTCAATAAATGTCAGCCTGATATTGATATTTTTGAGAACTCTTTTATTTCTCCGTGGAACTTTAAGCCCCGTGTGGGTCATAGAAGGAATCAAGGCGAAAGTGCTTAGCCATAGGAAACTGTGTTTAGAAGTAATTTTTTACTCCAGGGGTTACGAGTATTGTGGCGAAAATCACTGACAAAATGCTGCCGGTTGTCCCAGCTGTTGTGGTGTTTATTAACATAATAAATATAGTTTAGCACGTCAATTTAGTTCTAATGAAATGCAATCTCCGTTCAGCGATGTCCAACAGACACCAATGACAGAGACTGCCGCTACCCTGTTTTCTTTCGATTTAATAGGAAAAATATAAAGCTAAATTAAACACATATTATAAGAGTGATGCCAACACAGCAGCAGGCTTCTCTTGGCAGGAGAAGAAGGCAATGATATTGCATTAAGTAGCTTCGCATTTTATACTTATCTCTATTGATGCCAGTGGGAGACAAATACACACCACGCTGCCTTTGTGTGAGAATGAACGCATAACTATGTAATAAGAATAAAGCGACTGCTTTGGTAGCTGTTTACCATCAACATAAAAAAATTATTTTAACAGGACCATATATATGAAACATATATCAGGCTAATATTTCTGGGAATAGCTCTTATTAAAAAACGCACACATCGATGCAAATGCCCAAAACATCCCCTGCCTATATTTTCTATAATCTGCAACGTTAAAGCATACATATTATATTCGATATCTATAACAATACGCCAACTTGCACACCTGTACATACATGTTCATGGGTGTGCGAGGCCATGTTTTTATGATTATAAGTATGAGAGGGGAGTGGTGGCACAGTGGTTGGTAGACTGCGCTACAACTCCGGCGACGGGTTCAACTCCCAGCCACACATAACATCAGTGACATCAGAACAGCCCCTGGGCCGCGGCGTTGAAAGAGCACCTGGTGTGCTATGTAAAGATCCGCAACGGGGAGACAAACTCGGTCGGGCTCTACGGGAGCCATTTGTCTTTAATTATACACATGATTGTGAGTGCTGGCACGCTTGGAATCCAACGACTTGAGAAGTAGGGCAGGTGGACGCCAGTTGGAGCCGTGATGCATATCGACACGGACTAAAAGGTTTCTAATCTATCCGTCTGGAGTTTGAGTGTTCGTGACGAACGTGTACTTTCTTAGTCATGAGACTAGATGAGCATTCCCTGCGTGAATAAATAAAAATGGTGGCAAACCATGCGCATGTGTACCTGCCACCAGCAATGACTAGGAGGATCCATCACCACATGGCAACTTTGCCAGTTGTTGCTACCGCAGTGGCATTTAGCGTGCGTCTGAAAATCCAGCACACGCTGGAGCAATAACGCAGAGAACGTGGGGGCAGAGAAAAAAATGCAAAATATCTTGGATGGCAATAAATTAATTCCAAATATGCATAATGCTGGCGACTCCGTGGACAAAAACACAATGTGAGAGCCAAGGTTCTGTGCAGGATTAGTGACATTATACCATGGACACGCCTGCCTCATCGCTTCTGAACATTTCTAAAGCGAACTTTTAAGAACTTTACGTTTTTATTCAACGTGGAATCTGTACCGTTGGCCAGGTATGACTTTACTGAAACGAAACTCAATAATAACCCAGATGCTTTTATTTAAAATAAACTGTGAATGTTACACTGCAGCCAAATTTATATTGTGGTTAACATTGTGTGATAGCTATGGCTTGCGTAATGGAAAGTCAATTGTGCAGGAACATTGTGAGCGCAAATAAGCCGATTCTAAAAAGCCAATACCAAGCATGCTGTTTTACTGATTAGTGGAAAACATGAAACATTTACTGCACTTTACTGTGAAGAATAAAATTACCTGCATTATCATGTTTTATGTTTCAATTACAGGTTTTCACAATTGAGTATATATAGAATGGATAATTAAACCGTTAAAATTTAATAACCTACATGTTATAAAACATTGTATACTTGCACTATAATTGTATTGTATTTCAAAGCATACAATTATCTTGTGGTGTGTATCAATACACAAAATAAACTAAAAAAAACTTCATCAATAAGAGTAATGAGTTTTAAAAAATAAGTTATTATTGCTACACATTATATTCGCTTAGTACAGAAGGCACACGGTGCATTCTTCGCAGATGAGCTTCAATCAGCCCAAGCGTGCTTATTAACTCCTCGGGTACATTATTGTGAGATGTTTACAGAGTGATTTTTATATATGTGCACTGCACATTACTTTCTCGGAGGGTCTAGCATGGGGATGTTTTGGCCAACACCAATGACACTGATATGCTCCTAGCTATGGGAGGTAACCAGAGAACCCAGCGGGAACCCCTGCAGAACAGGGGGAGAAACCAACTCCATGTAAAACAGTGCCAGAGTCAGGAGTCGAACTCAGGTCCTTCGTGCTGCGAGGCCCAAGTGTTACCACTATACCGCCACCCTGCTGCCCATATGAATCTACTGACCGCGTGACATTGCTGACAACACACCAGGTATCAAGAATCCTCCAAGAATCTACAGGCGATTACAGAGTAATGTACGGAGTAGTATGCATATGCCTGCTTGCCATTATTTGGTGCGAAGCTTTACAGAGCGGAGCGTACGCACGGAGCTGGGAATTTCCCACTCTTCCGTCCGTGAGCTTACCCATCGATCCCTCGTCATCCAAGAAGGTCTTGGATTTGAGAACACGACGCCGTTTCCTTCGCGCACCGGACTTGTTGGCCTCCTGCTGGCAAAAACAAAAACTCACAATATCTCTCACATGTCTGTATGCTGCGCGACCGAGACCTTCCAGGGCCACGCAAGAGGCGCCGGTGTTGTTTTTCCACCAAGAGACCAAGAGCCGTGCAGCCGACGTCAACCGTAAAGAAGCAGTCGAGGCGCGCGAAGATTGACGCGGGCAAGGCTGCGTTCGGGTTGTGTATTGACCGACATCGCAACGAAACTGTGAGGCCCCCAGCCAGATTCAGATACATCGCAATGAGGCCAGAGTAGCAGCAGTTGGGTTCTGCCTAGGTGCAGCAAAAGGTGTGGGTCACACGCTGGCTCGGCTCAAGACGTTCGATTGGAAGACGGGTAGACTGCCTACCCTCGCAGCCACTAGTCGCCACATCACCAAACGAGAAAATCACCCGCAATGTGCCCTTATCTCGTCAATGTCGGAAGTTACGTAGGTTTTAAGCTGAATAATGCTTTGATAGGTATAGGCTGCAGGACTATGTCGTGGAAAGCAGATGACAAGGCAGCAAATTCCATAGACACACTGTACTTCTTTTGCTGTGCTCCCGACATTCATTAATCTGCTCTGATCAGTGAGGTGAAGTGTGACCAGATAACCCCCGCGACCTGCATGGTGTACGGAGGGGGCCTCGTCCAGCAATGGATTGGAAAGGGCTGCAAATGTATAAAGAAGCGTGATGTACCGGGCAATGGTAAAATGGCCCCTGAAGCAGAACAGAGCAGACTGAAACATTTTCACATCCAAAATATCTTAAAACTTCAAGAGCATGTGTGTAAATGGCACCGGAACAGGGAAAAAATTGAAAGTAAAAACTTTGCTGAGTTTGCCCTCTCAGCCAGAACCCAAACAGCAAAGTTAAACATTGTCTCTGCTCCAATGAGAACAGCGCTCATCTCCGTTGACAGTCCTGAGTCAGTGGTGAAAATAAAAAATGCATATGGTAGGGCCCAGCCTCCCCCCATAGTACAACAATGGAGTGCTACTTATTTTACTGGCCAGAGAGGGATGATGGACTGAGCAGACCACCCCCCCCCCCCCCCCCAATAGAGCTTTGAACTCACAACCCTTCCATCTGCGAAACATGCCCTATATGACAACACAACCCGTCCAATCGCAGCATGGAAACGTAATCGACTGTCCCTTGTGCCACGTGGTAAAAGGAGGACCCGAAGAAAAGGACGCGACGTGGGGCTGCCTTTAATTGCTGGGAAACGGACGGGCGAACTTATCAGCGCTAACGAGACTCTGCCCAGACACCGCATAACGAGCACTTTTAATTGCGTCAAACAAAAGCACGGCTGAGACGGCACGGCGCCTCGGCCGTGTGTCGACAACAGTGCCGCCACCTCACTTCAAACAGCGCGTCTGCACAAACCGTGGCACCCCCCCGCCTCTTTATTTAGTGCAGGCGCCCCTTGCACTCGTCAAGTTTAACACGGCACAATCACGGGTGGCGGCTTCGCGCGCTTGCAGGCGCAACACAATCGCCACGCAGAGCGCTTTTGTTTTCCCGAGCAAAGCCGGAGGGCAAGCGAACTCCCCCAATTAAGGTCGTCAATTGACTTGAGGAGGAGGAGGAGTCCCGGTACATTAAAGGCAATAATGTTTAATAGACTTCCCAAAAACCCCAGACTGCGACCGGTCACTACACAGAGCTTGTCAGGAGCACTTTATGGAGGTGTTTGTACTCTCAAGTAGTTTCATACTAGAGGAATTTTTAGACTTAACTTAAATTTGATGTTGTTTAGAAAGACTAATCAGCTCATCATTCGTCCAGATCTATAAAGAAAATAAAGATGTACTTTGTGCTTTGTGTGGACATCAAATCTCATTCCCATGTCTCTCCACATAAAAATTTTTAAGTGTTTTTACCCATCCCATTGGCCGCATGGCCTTCTGGGAGTGCATATATCCTAAGCAGCATGGTTTCATAAAATAAAACTCAGGACCAGTTTCAACATGCAGTGCCTCATCGGTAGTAAGGCTGACTTATACCAATGCTTGTGAATTACCAGATGTTTACAAAGACCATTTGCGATCGATTTTTGCCATAGTTCTTTGCCAAACTATACAATACACAACACATTTGAGGCATTAAACGTTGTTGTGGAGAATATAAGTAATAAGAAACCATATAAGTAACAATTTAAATAAGTGACGAATTAAAAGGTGGCTACTAATTTATTATTTTTCTGTTACTTATATTGTGAGACTTTATGATAATTGCGCGAAGCCGACAGTAAATGTCATATCAAGATAATGATCTCCTTTTAAAAATAAATTAATATACTGTCATGTGAATTACAGGCAAAACCTAGACGGGTAATATTTTTTCAAAACGACGGAAGCTGAAGGTTAAGGTAAAGTTTCATTTAAATGTTATATAAATAGCAATTTGCCATGAACTTACTAGCGATAACTGTGACAACGACAATAGATGCTGTTAATGTACATGTTTTTCAAATATTGTACAGCTGCATTTAAGCACTTTTTGCTTACGATGGTGACATCATAGCTAATTCAGCCTTGTAAACAATTTCACTTTCAACGATGAGAACTGACACTTTCAGGAAAATGGCCTCACCCCTGTTTTTTCTGAACCGATCTTGTCTTGTTGATGCTCAGTCACTTCAGGCAAAGGCGGAGTTCCAATGGTTGGCGGGGAAGGGGCTGAAAGAGAGTGAATCAGAATCGTTATACTGGAGGAATCCAATGAGCTATAGTACGGTTGTCTATGTATGGTGCAAAAAAAGGTCAAGAACATACATACATACAGAAAAAAGCTCTTTTTCACAGATGTCCAGTAGGAACAGGTCAGAAAGTTACAACAACAACACAAAAACACGACAGGAATGCAAAGTATAGGAAAGGAAAGCCAACCAAAAAAAATATGTTTTTTATTTAACAAGATTAAGCTCACTTAGCAATTTCTAGCTTCTTTTTCAGAAGTTACCTGACCACAAATGATATTTCGATTTAAAACTTTCGTGACTGCAGGGATTCATCTTCTTGGTTCTTTCGGTAAAGTCACGTAGAAGGGAAGTAATAAAATAATAAAAATAAAACATAATAAAACAATTCTCACGACGTTTCAGCCACAACGCAAGCAGCCGTCCTCAGGTGAAAACCAGGTCCGTCGAGGCGACAGAGTCTGAATGAAACAGCACACGAGCTTGGAGCATATAATAATGATGGCAAGCTACCCTTTTTGGATGTCCTAATCAAAAGGAGACCTGATGGTTCAATGAGCCACTCTGTCTACAGGAAAGCCACCCACACGGATGCTTATCTAAAACCGGATTCCCACCACCATCCATCCCAGAAGAATTCCCTCATCAAGACTCTATATCATAGAGCCCAATGCATCTCCGACCATGAACACATTTCCAGTGAACTCAAACACGTACGCCAAGCTCTTAAGGCTAATGGTTACTCCGACTACACAATCCGCAAAGCCATCACTCCAACCATCAAGAAGGATCCTGTTGAGGAGCCTTTCAAGACCATCACCTTACCCTACATTGCTGGGGTCACAAAAAAGATCTCCAAAATCCTGATTAAACACAAGATCCAGGTCCGATTCAACACAGTACATAAAATCCGTGATCTGGTCCCGTCTGTAAAAGATGTGGTTCCAGACATACAGTACCCTGGCGTCTACAAACTAAGTTTCCTCTGTGGTAGCAGTTACATTGGAGAAACCAAACGACATGTCTCAGACCGCATCCGTGAACATAAGGCAGACCTGAAACACGGTAGGACAAACACCTCAGCCGTGGCAGATCACTGTTACAATTCAGTGGGCTCACATGACATTGACTTCTCCAAGACAGAGCTCTGCAAGCCATCTGGCTATCATGAGAGATTCGTTCATGAGGCGATCCACATATACAAACACAGAGACAATTTCAACCGAGAAGATAGATTCTGGCTTAGCAAACATTGGAAGGACGCAATAAACCATTTCGGATCTTAACTGATTGTGTTCACGTTTACGGTGACTTTCAGACCGCGTTCCACTCACTGGCATGGTGCAGTGTGCAGAGTAATGTATGGTGTCGTAATTGTACAGTAAACATATAGCAGTATGATACACATTAGGGTGGGTAGAATAATACATAGTGTTATATTAAAATGGATAAGGCAGCAACTGCAGCAGCAGCAGCAGCAAGTGCAGCAGCAGCAGTAAGTGCAGCAGCAGCAGCAACTGCAGCAGCAGCAGCAACTGCAGCAGCAGCAGAAACTGCAGCAGCAACTGCTGCAGCAGCAGTAACTGCAGCTCCCTTTGATGCTGTTAATCCTGCATAATGCACATGCATATGCAGTACTAATCACATTCCTGCATTTCCCATAAATATGCTAAATTCCTTTTGATATGCAAATTCCTTTGTCAATGCGCCCAGCTTATATATATGCTCCAAGCTCGTGTGCTGTTTCATTCAGACTCTGTCGCCTCGACGGACCTGGTTTTCACCTGAGGACGGCTGCTTGCGTTGTGGCTGAAACGTCGTGAGAATTGTTTTATTATGTTTTATTTTTATTATTTTATTACTTCCCTTCTACGTGACTTTACCGAAAGAACCAAGAACACAAATGATATGTAAACAAAGTGGCTCATGATGTGGACATTTATAGCAGCCAATGAATCTAAATAATCTAAACGCATGTTTCTAAATGTGGAGGGGAAAACGGGAGGACTCGGAGAAAAAATCCACGTAACCAGAGGAAGAACGTGAAAACTCCAAAATATAATGCCGTGAGGGTCGGGATCAAACCCACGACGACCTCCTGCATGCCAGGCGAGGAAGATGACATCTCGCCACCGTTAAACAGATACGTGTTGAAGGAGAGACATTTTTACCCACATGCAAGTTGAGCAAGCGCTTGTAATTTTAAGCAGCTGCTGTCAAATGCACCGAGGGAATCAATATCAAGTACCAATGGCACCACCTCGAGGCTTAAATGGGTCACAGCAGTCCAAAAAACATTTTCCAAAACCCTTTAGCAAATAATGTTTGTGTCGTGCACAACACGCAACGCAGAATAACAACTCCTGCCACTTAAGGTCATGCTTCACAAGGTCCAGATAGGAGGATAAGTGATATAACCTCATCCACTATTTACAAACTAAATCTGCAGGTGGAAAACACCACTTATTTATTTATTTGCATTCTTTAGGGAAGGCTTAGACATTCAATATGTACATTATTGCTTATAAAATGGAAATGTTTGCACTCCGGATGGCTGGTGGAACGAACGCACAGGGGCGAGGCGATCGAGCATCGTCATACCTTCCTGCTCTTCATCTTTATCATCATCGTCGTCATCGCCGCTGCTGCTGCTGCTGTCTGACACAGGCTGTCGGATTCTCTTGCGCTTTTTGGCCTCTGGCGATGCGCCCCTCTTCTTGCCGTCACGTACAGCCGCCCTCTTCCCAGCATTCCCCGTTCCCTTCTTGCCGGCATGCTTTGACTCCACGGCCGCCACCACCTTCTTTTCTTCCTCGTCTTCGCTGTCCGACACCTTTGGCCGTTTGACTCTCCCACTGAGAACCAAACAACATTTGCGCACCGCTGAATCAACATTGGCTTTTTAACCACACCGAGCCAGCTACATGCAGAGCTATTGGAGCAACATCTGTAAGTTGACCTTTTGTGTCTCACTGTGTTTTGGTTACAAAAGACATTGCCATGTCCCTACACGGAACATGCAATGGTTTAACTGAGGCATGAAAAATACACACTCATCTCACAAAATCCTACAAACACACTTGCTAATGTACGTTTCAAACAATCAAATATTTTGAACGATCGCTTGGACCACAATGAAAAATGCACCTGCTGTTTCCACGTGTGTCATCAACCTTCGCCTGTTTTGCCTCCTCCGTTGAAACACATGCCTTAACCTCAGTCTTGATTTCTTCCTTGGGTTTAGCTTTCGCTGCAAGATAAACAAGAAGGGGTTATCACTTACAATCCGGCCGCATGGCACTGCGGTTAGAGGACTTGACTCATCGGAAGGTACAACCCTTCGTTGTCGATATAATAGCACGTTGTGGGAAGTCAAGGAATGTCATCCTATGATTATACCGGCTCAGGGATGCCAAGAGAGATGAGTTCCCCTCCCCCAATGCCAATGTGAGCAGGAAGCCACTTTTACGCCATCTTCTGAATTATTTACGAGCGAACGAGTAGGACTGTTCATGTCTGGAACGCGCCTAGAACATTTCTTCCCGGGAGGGGGGGGGTCACCTTCAGGTGAGCTTACCTGCCGACGCAAATATGCTGACCTTCACCGGAGCTTTACTAGAGGCTGCTGCAGGCTTCTGAAATTACACACAAACAGACCAAGGTGAGTATCAGATCGCTAAAGACTGCGATCAGTGTAGGGTGTAGCGAGCGTCATGGCTTATTAATGAACACGAACTCGGATAGCCTCCTCTCAAGAGTGCTCTGGGTTGCACAATTTATTGCCATCTATCCCTACGCAGTTGCAGAAATAAAACTGTCGCTCACACGTGTAAATTGAGGTTCTGAATATAAATCTGTAGAAATTACATCTTAAGGAACGTAATTATGCCCCGAGCTTCAAATGTTATACATATTGATCATTCAAATAGCAAATGACTTAAAGACACACAGTATGCCTCTGAGTAAAAAAGCTGATATGTTATAGTTCAAACTCAATCCTTTAATAATAATGCTGGGCTTACAGTATTATGAAGGGGTTTTCCATTAAAAACGGCCACATTTTTTAAATAAATGAGGTTTTTTTTTGGGTTAGATTATGGATATTGGCCACGAAAGCCTACGTGTTTTTTTTATTTAAATCACAGTTGCTAAACACAAGCTCAGAAGCTCAAAAAACCAAGCGGCCACCAACAAACAGCACTATTGAAGTCGTCATAGATCAAACTTACACGTCTCTAATTGAGAAGGGTTTGTAAAAGCTTGGGAAAATAGATGACGATGGGAGAAAATTCCAAAGTTGAGCAGAGCAAGAAAAGGGTGACCTTAATAGTCTGGTGGTTGAACAAAGTGTGTATCAGAGTCGGTGTGGTAGACAAAGTCCTTAACATGGCGGGAGGAATCCATCGGTGATGTTCAAGAGAAGACTAGCGGTGGTAGTAGCGGTAGAAGATGAATAAGGCTGTGACTAACTGGCATCGAGTGAGTGACTGGAGTCAATCGGTGGGTGCTGGGTCATCCATAATTCTGATCAAGCAACAGTAAGGTAGGAACTGGATGTTCTACCCCAAATATGACAACAGTATTCCAACTTTGGATACATCTGTGCTTTGCATCGTAGAAGTCAGAATTTTTCACAGTTAAAGGAGACTTAGGAATGGAACAGAAACCCAAACTTGGGATGCCTCCATTAGCCAGATTAATGATGCATTACTCATATGGTAATGGGAATATTTGATCATCCCTTATTTTACAATCATAAAACTAACTACCGACGCTAAGACGTATTTAACAATTCATAAAACCCATTATTACTCGTGATACAAGCATACAATCGCACGTGTAAGAATCAATAATTCATACATGTTATAGGAAACGCAAACCCTGCAGCCACGAGAGATTCTGCATGTACAATGTTAACAAAGACGCTTGAATCAAATTGTAAATGTTAATCACAACAATTCATGAAATCTCTAAACGTGGCACATTAGTTACATGTCTACCAAACAACTACTTATTAGACTCATTAAAAAATATATAGAGCAAAATATATTTTAAATGACGAATCACCTCCTTGACCGGCTCTGGGGCAGGAGATTCCTTCTTGACTTCCTTGCTGCCACCCCCCTTCCCAGCAAACATTCCCATGATGCCCTTGGGTGCAGCAGCACGCGGGGCGGCTTTAGGGGCGCATTGACCGTTGGTGGCAGCAGGGGGTGCGGCAGGGGGTGCGGCCGGGGCAGCTAGGGGGCCGTCGAGAGGGTCAGCCGGCTCCTGGGTGGAGGTCGCCTGAGATCGCAGGGCCTGCATCTCCTCCGTGCTCCGCGCGACACCCCGCGAGTACTGAATGCTGCTAAACCTATACGGCAGTAGCCAGAGACAAAAACAACGCGAAGACTTCTTCAGTTCTGGGAAAATCGCCAGCTGAAACTGGTTGTAAATTACCAGCGGAACGTCGTACTCAATTTGTAATGTTGAGGGTTTCCGCTCCAACACTCCGGTGTGCTGAAGTAATAACTAATTGCCATGATTTGTTTACAAAACCACCCTTACTAATTGGCTGTTTCGGGTGGTGGTGGGTTAACGACACATTTAAATTTACACGATCTAACCAAAAAAACCTTTAGTATGTGTAGCGACGTCGCTGCACGTCGCTGTGTGTGGCCAGCCAGGGAAAGGCACGCCATACAGCAACACATTGCCACCACGGACACCGCTGAAGGGGAATGCAGTACCGGCCCTCGCAGGGCTTGGGCAGCACTGTCCGACAGTCAAGGATGGCACCCTGCTCTACGTGCAGGGTGCCGGCGAGTGCCGGCCTCGGAACGAGGTTGCAGGAGGCCATGGCACTCTGGTTGACCCCGGAAGACACGTGACCGGAGGTGCGGAGGTGTCTACCCGGAGACCCCCAAAGGGGGGGGGGGGGGGGCTGGGGGGACCACGTGTCCAGTGGAGAAGCTCCTCGAGAGTTCGAGAAGGCGGCTGTGCGGCAGTGGTGTGTGGCACCCGCTCACACCTGCTGGACTGGTGCAGGTTGTCGCGGATGATGTCATAGTCGGCCATGTAGAGCACGCCGCTGTCGAGCAGGCGGGCTCGCTGCACGCTGTACACGTGCACGCTCGCGAGCAGGGAGAGCTGGGCCTTGGCGCCTGCACAAAGTACAAACGGTGGCACTGAGTCTCGCACGGACACCACACCCAGCCCTGTGTGCTGGGAAGCTTTTATGAACGATTTACACTCGGGTTTAAAAGATTAACAACTGTCATCATTATACATGTTTCAGTTTCCTTTCAGTTTCATTTATTAGGTATAACCCTGTGAGCCATGCGGCTCTGGACTCGGGTGTAACCGCAACAAACAAAAACATGAACAAGAAACATCTTGAAGTGACTACACGCAACAGAAAAATCCAGGAAAAAACAGCAAAGTCTTCCAGAAAAAAACACTATTTCAACACTGTGTGCAAAAATCCCAGTGGGATGCAAGTCAAACAATAACAACCATAAGATAATTTATATTAACGTTAACAGGCTAACTCTGTACTACAACAAACAAACACGGCTAAACCAAAACGTTTTCAAAATCACCAAAATAACGCTACAAAAACAATGTAATAGTGATCATAGGAACTGTGATTCAAATTTAACAATAAACGATATACATAACATGTACGACCAAACTTTGCAGCCATAACTGGCTGCATGAGTCACTCCATAACAGCAAGAGTATCAGTAGCAGTATCAAAACTTTTCAATACACCTTTAAAGATCAGCACAATATTATCAAAACTCAAGATCATACTTTGCCGCGGTCATCCGGAGCGAAACATTTGATTTCAGGCCATTCTGAATAGCAGTGGCAGCTAGGGGTGTACAACTCCTCTCGAGCAGTTTTGAGTGAAGATCTCACAGGTAGTGATCTAAGTTGTAGTTTATTGGCGAAAGCATTCCAGACCCTGGGGGCATCAATAGCAAAGGCCCTTCCTCCAGTATTTGTACGGCAATAAGGAATGTGAAGCTGGTAAATGAGCGAAGACGTTAGGTCACATTTGTTCTTCGAAACGGTGAGGAGATCCAGCCGGTAGTCTGCTGATGTTTTTGTAAGTACATGTATGTAAAACATACAGAATACACATCAGACGGATATATCTACTGTTGGATAAAGGCCTCCCAGTCATCACCAACCCTCGCGTTCCTGCACATGAGCTGATCTCATCGCTCCATATCCACGGCGGTCGTTCTTTTGGGCACATCACCTCCTTTGGCTGCCATTCCATCACCACTCTCAACCATGTGCCATCATACCATCTAGCGACGTGTCCTACCAATGCCCAAGTACTTTCGTGAGTATGTCTCTAATTTCCATGCTGGGAATTACACTGACAGAGAGAAAGATGAGCACGTGCATTAATGGGCTCTTACCCGGTTATAAATAGTCCTCTGTCTTTTCAAAGATGACCGCAGTGGAGGTAGAATCATATCAGATAATTATGTACAGCTAGAGATTGTACCATCACAGCACCACGAGTAAGTGACAACATAGGGAGGACTTCATGGAGCAGCAAACAATGACCGATTGCTCATGACTGGAAATCCAAAAGCAAATATTCTTTACATGTAACATTCCCATTAATTGACTAAAACGCAAATATGTTTAATCTGTATATAATATGCTTTAGTTATTTCAGGCTACCCTCATACAATGGTAGTATTACCATGACGATGTAATAAAGCTTACTCTGGTGATCGCATGGGTAGCTTACATGATTAAACACTTTGACAGGTAAACGACTAAAAATCACTAATTTTTATTCGTGGAATTTTGCTTCGAAGAAAATGCATGTGATGAGAAGCTCACTTTCCAGCTCTTCTTCTCTCACCACAGATACTTTGTGACACTGGATTTTAAGACAAAAACACAAAAACATACAAATAATATCCATCATTAATAAGGTACGTATTATATAACTCAAATTACATGAAGCTATATTATTTGGAAGAATGCATCCAAACTCTGAAAGTGTTGTGTTGGACTATCCTCATCTTTGTTGGTGATACAGAGCCAGCAGTGGAAATTCTGCATTCCTATGATAGGGCCAGACATGTGGTTTAATTCATCTGTACTAATTTTACAGACTACAAAGGCAAATCGATGATGATGAAGATGATCATGACTATAATGCAGTAGCTAATGATGATAATGAAGAAACTAATGATAACGTTAATCCTCGATTATGCTGCGGGGTATGATTACGATGATACAAATAATGATGACCAAGTTGAGTTAACTATTCCTGTGCTCTACAAAGTGGGCAACCCTGAAGACTGCTTTGCATAAACTATGGTGCACATGCACACATTGTTACTGGCAGAGAAATGCATTATGGGACAAACACAAGGTGCGCGGCTCACAGGCAGCCCGTCCAGCGTGGAGACGCCCGACACAAGGTACGTGACGTGCAGCGCAACCTTGGGCTTCTCCTCTCTGGCGCGCCGCACAAACTCCCACAGCATTCTGTGAAGGCAGCCACAGAGCAGTCACACCGCTGGCTGCACGGAGCAAGCATCTTTACTTGCATAATAGAAGTTTTTGGGTTAGATCACGTAAATATATAAATCTGTCGTTAAAACCTGCCACCACCTGACACAGCCAACTAGTAAAGTGTCACTAGTACAGCACACCGGTGTGTTGGAGAGCCAAGCCACAACATGTGCAATCTGAGTACGACGTTTGGCCAGTAATTACAACTAGCTTCATCAGGCGACAGCCAGATTTGTGGAGAAGCGACCTGTTTCGTTCCTTATAGAGAGGCGTAGATGTGTTGACCACCCTTTTGCGCTCTTGCTCAATGTGGGGGGTGGGGGGATTACTGAGTCAAGGGACATTATCCATGTGCATTATGCGAGCCCTTTGAACGTCACCTTCCTGTCTATTGTGTTTATTTAACCGGCGGGAAGGACAAGTTCAAAGGGCTCGCATAATGCACATGGATAATGTACGTTGCCTCATTAATCCCCCCCCCGCCCCACATTGTGCAAGAGCGCAGAAACGTGGTCAACACATCTATGCCTCTATATGAGGAACGGAACAGTAAGACTTCTCCACAAATCTGGCTGTCGCCTGATAAAGCAAATTCTAATTACTGGCGAAACGTCATACTCAGATTGTAAATGTTGTGGCTTGGCTCTCCAACGCACCGGTGTGCTGTACTAGTGACAACCCTTACTAGTTGGCTGTGATGGTTGGTGGCGGGTTTTAAATGACACATTTATATAATTACGCGATCTAACCGAAAAACCTCTATTATGGATGATATTGGTCGCGAAAGCCTACGTGTTAAACTGATCTTTACTTCCGTTCACCCACTCAGTTAATACTATCTGGTCCCCGAACGGTGGCACACGGCCGGGTTTGGTGTCTCATGCAGATTTCACCGTGTGCTGTATAACGCCCAACCTGTAGCTGGACTACAATGTGGCGGCAAAAGGCAGTCCAGCAAGTGGATTGATGACTTCCCTTTATAGATTGGTGTGTGTTATCCCCATTTATTCGTGTATTTTCTCCAACTACGATGGTTTTCTACCATGTGCAAAACATTCAAGTAAAATAAATGACAAAAATATCTAAATCGTTTACTCCACCAGCCTAATGTGTTCCGGAAGTACTGCCGAGTATTCAGATGTTCAAGACACGTGTACCCCATGACCAATGTGAACCTATTCAGCTATACAAGACACATTGAAAATAGTACGCAAATGGTATGGCCGAATAGCCCAATGCAATATCCACTCACCGAAAGAATACCAATAGTAGGTTTAACTTTCCTGAATTTTTTTACTCACATCGTCCCTTCACCAACCCGTACTGATATGACGTTATTTGAATTATCCAGATGTGGTACAACTCTATTGAATAACCCACTATTGAGGTGACAGTTATGTGCAGTACCGTAAAACAATCTCAGTGGCAACGTAACCCAAGCATGTGGCTCTAGTTTTGGTTGCAGATAACTCACTTTTTTGCAGTGTTCACATGCACCTGCAGAGTGAGGCTCAGCCATTTGTATGTGACCTGCGTGCAAAAGTAGGGGGGGGGGATAACTTAAACGCGAATTTCCATTCACTTCGTTAGCTATTCACATCTCAGCGCGCACTGCAATCATCCCAAATCATGTAAGCAGCACTGCTATGTACCTTGATAAACTGAAGACGGTTGGGTACGTACGGTGCGAAAGAAACACATGGAGACGTTAACCAATCGGCTTGATTGGAAACTTTAATAAAGAAAGCTGCAAAGTATGTCCATAAGATAAATGTACGTACGAGCAAAACAAGTCCTCAAGAACAGATTCACGAAAAATAATGTTATTTGTTGTATGCACACCTGTAGATATTTTATTTACCGATGAGGAATACGAAAAACTTTGGCAAGCTGATATTTGTCACGAAAGCCGGCACTTTCCACATGAGAGCAATAACGATTATAAACTATTATAAGGCCACTCCTAATGATACGAGCAGTGTGGAGCGATGGGTGGCAGTCGGCACGAGTTTCACAACATCTCGATTTAAAGCTTTCGAAACTGCAGGGATCCATATTCTTGGTTCTTATTGTTGTAGTTTTATAATTTAATTATTTCCCTTCTACGTGACTTTACCGAAAGAACCAAGAGTATATATTTCATAACATCATTAACAGCCACGACGCATATAGCTTACACACTTGTTACACAACTGTAATGTTTAGTAACGGACCGTATGTACATTTGCATTACGCATTGTATAAACATTGACGCATTAAAACCAGTTTGATACCGATCTGAATAACAATGTAAGACGTCTGTGTGTCATGAGTATGCGAATAGATACGGTATATATATAATACTATTATTATAGATACTGTATATATAATACTATTATATATACTGTATAATACTATTACAGTCCTGTTGACACGATTAACAAAGTTAACTGGTTAACGTGACTTTTCAGGTATCAACAAACTGCAATAACACGCATCTATAACGCTTTACTTAAGCACACAAAATGCAATCCAGTGCAAATTAATCTTTTTTGTTTCCAAACCACAACGTCGAAGTAACAATGTTGTAATAATTTAACAGATTATGCACAAGCGTAACTTAAACCTGACACTAGCAGTAGGCCCCAGGCGCTAGGCAGCAAAGGCGTGCGGCCTATTCGCTTTAAAGATGTATTTACGTTTCCCTTTGATTTGTCAAACGGAGCGTCCACTCACGATTCTGCTCTCGTCTTCAATGAACTCGTCGATGTTGTCGATGTACATTTCATCGACTCCCGTAGCTGGCGGCATTGTTTACCTTTAAGAATTAAATTTTAAGCTTTCGCGCTCCAAATCTCAACGCCGATTTTTTTATTTCCCAAACGCGTTCGGCTGAGTTACGGAAGCCCGCACGCGTCGGCCGCATTGTAATTCACAGTTAATACAGGAGGGCGTGCGGACCTATTGATTGTATTCCATACAACTGATACACATGATCCATGCGTTTGTGAAATTCAATTGCACAATGTGATCGTGGTTAATGCATAGCACAGGGTGGTCCATGTGTCTTGTGACTCGCCCCCCCCCCCATGAACTGGCCCTTAAGTATTTCATTTGCATATGCATTTTTTTATAAAAAAAAAACTTTCGAAAATATATTAAGTTTCGATTTAAAGCTTTCGTGACTGCAGGGATTCATCTTCTTGGTTCTTTCGGTAAAGTCACGTAGAAGGGAAGTAATAAAATAATAAAAATAAAACATAATAAAATAATTCTCACGACGTTTCTTTTAGACGCTGTCGCCTCGACAGACCTGTCTTCACCTGAGGACGGCCACTTGTGTTGTGGCCGAAACGTCGTGAGAATAATTTTATGTTTTATTTTTATTATTTTATTACTTCTCTTCTACGTGACTTTACCGAAAGAACCAAGAAGATGAATATATTAAGTTTTAGAAAAATGCAATTGGGGCCACAAGACATCCGGACCACCCCTTCACATGAAGGCAAAGGCGCAGCCCTGCAACGGCTCGCTCACGCCAAAACATCTTGGAATAGACGTCTCTGCAACAGCTTAACAATTAATTAATTTCCCTTATAAAGGCACAACATCCGCAGGCTGGCCATTGCCGATGGGTGAAGATGACGGAGCGTCCACGCGTGGGTGCACAGTATGATGACACCACCAATGCTTTTGCTGCATTCTCTTCTGCTGCCCACCCCCGCAAGTGCCGGACTGAGCGAGTGCGGGTCCTGTAGCATAATGTTATAAAGAGGCCCCAAATAAATAAATAAAACACGTAAATATTAAAAACATAACATTTTTACTTGCATAGTAAAGTAATTGTATTTTGTCATTTGCTATACAACCAGATAATATGACAAATCGCTAACCTTAAACACCCAGTCGTTCATAAAATCCGAAGGCGGTATAGTACTATAGTAATAGAGCAAGTGCAGAATCACTGAACCGGAGTTGATAGCTTCAAAGCGTTTAGCGCGGGGCCCTTGAAAGTAGCATGTGTATGTCTCGTAGCTACATGTGTAGCTACATGTGTAGGTCTCGTAGCTACATGTGTAGCTACATGTGTATCACTGCGGGGATGCGCATATCGTGACACACCGCCGTTCAAACGCGATCCAGAACTCTCCATTGCCAAGCTCAGCGTCCCAAGACTTGATTCAGTCGTAGGTGACTGGCGGGGCAGAAGAGGTGGTGGTGGTGATGGTGGTGGTGGTGTTATTGAATGTTTGACTGGGCACGGGCTAGAGAGAGACGTGGGTTGAAGCGAGATTTGCGGTCGGGACTGAATTTCCACCAGCTGCGTCCAGATCGGCCGCACCCCGACAGACGTGCAAGACAATTCGACAGTGATGAGTTGCGATTGTTGCTCACGTGTCTGGCATACTTCACCTTCTTGGTTTCAAGTTTCATTGATTAGGTATAGAGCCCTGTGAGCCATTCGGCTCTTGAATCGGGTGCAACCGCAACAAACAAAAAACTAAAACTTGAACAAGAAAACATCTTACATTGACTATGTGACTAAGTGCAAACAGAAAATCCAAGAAAAGACAGCAAAATATTGCAGAAAAAGCACCGTACACCAACACTGTGTGCAAAAATCCCAGTGGGATGCAAGTCAAACAACAACAACCACAAGACAACTTAGATTAAGACCATCAGTCTAACTCTGTACTACAACAAACAAACATGGCCAAACCAAAAAACTTTTCGAAAATCACCAAAATAAAGCCATAAAAGCAATGAAACAGTGATCATAGGAACTTTGACCGAATTTTCACAATAAACGACATAAACAACATGTACCACCAAAGTCATGAGTCACTCCACAACAGCAGGAACATTTTCCAATGCACCTTTAAGATCAGCACACTAAATCAAAACACAGATCATACTTTGCAGCGATCATCCGGAGCGAAACATTTTATTTTAGGCCACTGAATTGCAGTGGCAGCTTGTTGGTGTAAAGGGGGTGAGCCCTACTCTTAGGTTTTTTTTCGATAAAGTCACGTAGGTAATTTTTTTTTTAAATAAGAGCCCTGTTGTGATGTCGCTTGCCACTGATGGTAGCCGTGCGCACCATCGCTTGTACCACTTGTTGGCTAAGGGAGTTGACATTTGTCACTTTAAAAAAAATACTCCACTGCGCATTCCGTCTCCCACATGTCCCAACACAACTCAATGTGCCTAATTAATGATCTGTACGGTTGGCAAAGGTACATGAGCCCACATCTGTGGCGGGTGTTCTTGTGTGTGTGTGTGTCCCGGTGGTTTATCATTCACTCCACTGCACATGTCTCAACACTTCAAAAGTGACGGCGTTCTGCGTGCTGTTTGTATTTGTGAGTTGAGTGCAAGTCCCGTGCTGTGGTTAGCGCACGGCCTCGCCTAGATCGACTCAGCCTTAAGTGTAAACATCGCCACTCGGGAGACAAAGGTGGCCGGGCGTGGTGCTGGCCATCCTGTGTGTTGTTTCATAGGTGCTCGCTAACAGCAGCCCTTGCCCTGCAAGCGCTACGCGTCGTGTGCCAGCCACCCCGTCCTCTCTCTCTCTCTCTCTCTGGCCTGACTTGCCTGCCCTTAATAGGTGATCGCTAACCACACTGGCCTCGGGTCAAACAAGAACGGCCTGTAAATTATACACACGTGTGTGTGTATGTGTGTCACTCCGTTTCTCTTTTAATATGCGACGCCAAAGCAATAACGTGCAAGCAAGGCAGGCTCGTACGCCCACATAATGGTCTGCCACATCATTTAAACGCACCAAAAAACCCACGTGCCACACTGCCTTTGATGCGTATAACCGTAGACACACGTACACACACATTGTGGAGAGCCACACACTCTGTGGAGAGGCACACACTCCACCACATCCTCCTCCTCCTCCGAGTTGTGTTGACGTAACAGTGGTCTGTCCCACCCATCACCACGTGTGTGTGTGTGGGGGCTTATTCACGCAGCACCCCACCAAACTCCACAGAGCGCGCACACGGAGAGATGGAGAGAGACAGAGAGAGACGCCTGCCACAGAGTTCCTCCCCGCAACGGAGATTCTTCTAAAGTGAAGGGAAGTGCAAGACGGACGGACAAGCAGCAAGACAAGACGATAGGTAGGCAGATAGACAGCTCGAACAAGCTGAACGGCGACGAACAGCATTGTAGATAGACACACAGGCAGGCAGAACTTGGAAATTAGCTTAACGGACTTACACACACTACAAGAGTTACGCAGATAAAGAGAAGGAAGGGATTACAGCAGCAGATCAATAGAATGATCGGCATACAGACAGACAGGCAGAGAGACAAATACGGAGGAAGGCAGTTACATGGAAATGAAAAAGTTAGAATCCAGTTATCTATTGGCCAGGGTCAAGGCCACTCCGATTAGTACGGTTGGGTACGTACGGTGCGAAAGAAGTTAAACATACGGTACATAACACAGAGTATAAAGTGTCTCGGCATACAAGCCTTAGATCTGTGCTGTGTTGAAGCAAGCCTGTGACCTGGTGAGTATACATCGCACTGAACACAAGTTTGTTTAAACGTTTTGTAAAGTTGAAATGTAACTGATATGCCTCTCTAACTCGAAGTGGGCAGAGCAAAGATTAGTTTAAACCGGTGGCTCACAAATTGGTAGCACAATTGAGTGATTCTCGGTGAAGACAAACATTTAGTTGTCGTTTGTGTTCATAAATGATTACGTTTGTCCACCCGAAGAAATGTCTAATTGTCAAAAAGTTTAGTTGTTCCCGTATTTATAACAATGTTTAAAAGTTGAGTCACTCGGATAATTTAAACATTTACTACAATCGTAAACTTCCTTTGCACGTGCGTTTAGCTCTTAATCGTCAAACAATTATACACTTTTCTCTCGCAAATGGTCAAGGCGGTGTTTACGTAAAAAGAATAACTCTCCTGACATTTATGCGCTGCCCGCGGCTTTGGCACGCACTCGACTACTACGCATGCGAGTGCATCTATGTAAAGGTCACTATCGGTGTTACACGATGCTGCTGTTCGTAGAGTGGTGGTGGTGGGTTCAGCTGTTTCATTCAAATCCATCCACTTGATACCAGCTATCATGCTGTGACGGTTCCACCTGAAGACGGAAGCTTGTGTTGTTTCCGAAACGTCGTGATTTTTATTTTATTTTTATTTTACTTTTATTAATTTAAATTTTTTACCTACGTGACTTTACCGAAAAAACCGAAGAATATGAACGCAGAGCCCACAAAGACCGAATCCCGGCCACGGCTAACATCATCGACGAGTGAGAGTCCGAACCGGTCCTGAGTTTCACCCCCCTGGACCACTTGGGTGAAGTCTGATTGATAAACCCCCGTGACTAATACGGCATGAGGAGGACTTCACCCAGCAGTGGAATGACAAATGTCTGTAAATTATTAACATGTTTTTACGTAACACATAAACCCGCCAACACACGGTGTATTGTTTATGACAACTTGTGATGGCGATGATATAGCTGTTACTGTCAAATATTGCTGATGCTATAGCTGCTGCTGCTGCTAATAAAAATGAAAGGTGCTGCGATTGTTCCTTTGCTACTGCTGATGATGATGCCACTGCTGCTGCCGCTGTTGCTACTGCAGAATCAACTGCTGCCAACAACGCTACTGCTGCTCCTGCTGGTGACGACGACGATGACAACGTGACTGACAACGTTGCCCAATGCACACGGACAGCAACGCTCACTTGGACATTCCTCTCATCCCCAGCACCTTGGCCCGCTCCTCCCTGAGCCACCACCACCACCACCATGCCTCCTGCAGGCCACGGCCCGGCCTGCCCCCTCCTGCCGCTGCTGCTCCTCCTGTGCCTCACCTGGCCCTCGTTGGCGCCCAGGGGCGCCATCGCGGACCCGTCGTGTCCCGTCGGCTGCGCGTGTCACCTCGACAGCTTCGGCCGCTTCTCCAGCTACAGCTTGACGCGTGTCGACTGCTCGTCGTCGGGGCTGCGGGACTTCCCCGCCGCGCTGCCTCTGACCACGACGCACCTCTCGCTGGTGGACAACCACCTGGGCCCGACGGTGAACCCGGGCGGACCCGGTTACACGACCCTGCTGGCTCTCAACCTCAGTCACAACGGCGTGAAGCGCCTGCACAAGGGCACCTTCTCCAGGCTGCGCTACCTGGACGCGCTGGATCTGAGCTACAATGCGGTGGGGCGGGTGGACGCGGGCGCCTTCGAGAGGGCTCCGTTGTCCACAATCGACCTGAGCCACAACGCCCTGTCGGACGAGTTCGACCTGAGCGCGTTCGAAGCGGACCTGCCGGTGATCGGGGTTCAGAGGCTGTCCCTTGACCTGTCCCACAATCGGATCAGCGCCCTGAAGCGAAAGGGAGGAGGAGGTGGTGGTGCTCCTGCTGGAACGCTGCGCATACGAAGTCTCAACCTGGCTGCAAACGCTCTCATAGAGGCGCCACCACCAGAACTTCTGAGACACCTGGCAGACCTACAATACCTCAGCCTGGACTCGAACCCCATAACTCGACTCCGACAGTCAGCCTTTTTTTACCTCAGGGACCTCACACACCTATCCCTCCGTAACCTCGCTCCGGATGTACACTTTAACAAAGGAACCTTCCTGGGTCTCGAAGGGACACTGCAAGTCTTGAACCTTTCTGACAACTGCCAGTCAGGAGTCACTCTTTTGGGAGCCGAGCTGGGCGAGCTGAGGTCGCTGTTCGAACTTCAGCTGTCGGTGTCCGACGACCCATCTCTGGCCCTGCTGCCAGTGACCCTGGGCCTCCCCCTGGCAGGCGCGTGGAAGTGCTGGGAGCCACGGTACCCCAAAGGTCGTGCCGCCACGCACAGAGTGACCGGGGGCTGCGTGAACGTGGCGTGTTACAGATTCCCTGCGCGCGAGATGCTCTAGCCGAGCCATCGTCGTACCTTTCCACGTTCAGCACGGCCGTGCTCTCCCTTCGCAGTGGAAACCGAAGTGGTTACACGATCTAAGCGTACGCGACTGTTTGGTCACCTGAATAACCATGTGCCGCACGGCTCGCCATCCCGGCCAGGTGCGGTCTCCGTACATCCCCTTCATGGCGTCTTCCCGAACAAATTCGCCGACGTGCCGGCTTGGAACCTGACGTGGCGTCCCCCGTTGCCTTGGTGAATTCTGATGAACGTTACGTATTGCACACGCCATATGATTGATAAACGTGCCCTGATTATTCGTGGAGAGCGCTGGTACGATTGTAAGAGATTGGTGATACTGCTGCGTTGGCAGTGATGAACAACTGCAAACAACAAACTCAACACATTTACTACAATAATGAGTCAAGAATGTCTGTGTCCCGCGCGTGACGTCACTCCACGGCGACCAGCCCCCCTCATTAATAATCATGAGCGGTGACGTAACTACTCATGGAGAACCCCCCCCCCTCATTAATAATAATTAGCGGGTGACGTCACTCCACATGGGGGGGCAAGGCGCCTCCTCCCCCCTCCTCAGAGTCAACTTACAACCCTCACTACAAAGGCAGAACCCTCACGTCACGTGGTCTCCGTAGCGCTGTTGAGACATCGAAGTAAAAAGGACGTCGTGATGAACAAGGGATTATGACCTTTAAATGAAATAAGTCTGTGTCACCGCGGCCTTACAAATTGCACACGAATGGATGCAATGAATATTACGTCGCGGTCTGCTTTTCGCTTGCAAGTTTCAGATGTACTGCAAACCACCCGTCCTTGGACGGGCAAAAAGCTATTTTGTCAATAACAGTGTATGGCCTTAAAAGGAAACGTACATATAAGGAGATGTTTTGCGCAATGACCCTTCTATGAATTGACTCATACAAATAAGCTTCTTTAGTTATACATTTTTGATTATTGAAGGGTTTGTTTGTTACACGATAGCTACTAATATCATTATTCATATGCACAATTTCAAAACTGTTCATCAGGAAAACATTTTTACGTTTAATTCTGATTGGGCCCCATGGTGTAAACATCTCCATCTATTGTCCTCAACTTTGTCTCTCTGGCCCAGCGTTCTTCGGTGCAAGGCCCGCACTGGTGGCCCCTGGACGCCTTTAGTGCGGCCCCCGCAACACCCCAATAGTGAGAACACCACTTGCAGGCAGTGTGGCAGCCCTCACACTGACGTCGTCGGCGAAAGTGGGCCCCCTTTGAAAACGAGTGAAGGACGCCGCTTCTTAGTTTGTGTTGTTATGAAGAAAGGCCACTGCCTGAAATGTCACCTATGAGATATTCTTCCTTTTAAGGCTACAGTGTGAGTGAAGAATGTGTTGAGTGTATTCTCATTCCTTACACGGAGCTGCGAGGAGTGAATGTGCGTGTGGTGAGGTGGAGGAGGCCTACGATGAAAAGTTGAGTCACGGGGCAGCAGGCGAGTTCATCATCCAGGTGGCTCTGCTGGACACAGAAGAAGAGGGCTGACATCTTAGTTTTACTTGCAAGGGGAAGAGACGAATCACATGCCCTCACGTGTCAAGGTACAACACGACGTTTAGACTCTCCCTCGTACGAGATAAAGAGATCGGTTGCTGTGATGTCGTTGTAAAAATGAGGGCACTGTTAAAAATCTATTCTAGGTTTTCGCTCTCGATAACGTAGCGAGAACCCCAATCAATGTTGGACTGCGCAGAACACGCAAGCTCGGTGCCGCAGCTTTCAAGTTAAGATCTGTTTGGTTTTTGGAATGCGTTGGAATTTTAACCAGCCGGTAACACGATTGTTAAATGACGGTTGGTAAACGCTGTGATGATGGTGAGGATTTGTGTTCATGTTGGGAAGTGTTCATGTTGGTAAACGCTGTGATGATGATGATTTGTGTTCATGTTGGTAAGTGCTTTTTAGACTTTTGTATTTCACCCTTGTTTGGAATCTTTGTGCCGTAGTTGTGCCAATGTGTAGATTCAAATGTTCGCTAAGAATTGTTGGAATACAAAGCTCTGTTACTGGTCAATTCGTGGGCGTATGCAAATAAGGTGAATAGCACATACTGTACAGTGTTTGTGTCATGCTGCACATAGTTACATACACATATACTGTCCAACATACATACAGCACTGTAGTTATGCAGCAACACAGATGCTGGAATGTATGTGAATGTACGTTCATACTGCAATACATATATGCATGGAGTACATATACGTGTAGTCGATGCACACATGCAGGAGCCGAGGGGGTTTAAAATTATTGCGTAGAATACTGTACAGGGTGGTCCGGATGTCTTGAGACCCCCCAACTAATTGACCCCAAAAAAAAATCCTTCGCATATTCATTTTCAGCTTTAAATAAACCTTACTTTTAAAAATATTAAGTTTTAGAGAATTAAATGGGGGTGAAAAGACATCTGGACCATCCTGTATAAAATGTAACGATCTCTTCAAATGGCCTTTTGTGCTGTTCATACTTCCATGATTCTGGTTATTCGAGGAAGTGATGATTGTAAAATTAATCGTATGGTAAAAATGTGTATCTTACACAATACGAGGATGATGATTTATTATTTTATACACAAAAAAACATTGAAAATGCTGGGAAGGAGTACATGAAAAACGCTCAATTCAATCATGTAAATCTCTTTCTCTCTCAAGGGCAACTCGGCCAGCAAAGATGTTGCCCCACCCACCCACGACATCGTTTTGCCCGCTGGCTTTGCGGTCTCGCCCATCCAAGAGTCTGTCCAGCCATTGTATTTTTTTTACCTACTTTTTTATGTTCAAGCCCGGTAAGAATGCGCCAGTAATTTCTGGTGAGGAGAAGGAGGTGGTGATGGTGGTGATGGGGTGGTGTGCATTAAACAAACTGAGAAGGGGAGGCGGAATTTGTAACGAGCGCTTGCGCCAAGTCGTAGGTGCGGGTCCAGGAGATCTCGGTGTCCACTCTGGGGGGGGGGGGGGGCGGACGGTGGGGGGCCAGGGAGTAAGAGTTGGGAGTTGAGCGCGGCAACATCTTGAAGTTTGGGTGTTGGCCTCGCGCCGCGATTCCGGTGGTGAGAAGAGCGTCCAAGGAGCGAGTCGTGGGACGAGCATTGTGGGGGGGGGGGGGGCATGACGACGCCTGCTGTTGGTGTTCGAGGTGGGACGAGATGGGTAACCTTCCTTTTCGAGAGGGGGCAGGGGGGGGGGAAGGCAAAGGGTCACGGTGACCTCCTCCTGCTGCCCCCCTGCGACCACGTTTATGGTGCTCGCGAAACAGGTCGGGAGGCTGACGAGTCTTGCTGAGCGTGGAGGGCAGGGCGGTGTGGGGGCAGACGGGAGTGTAAACTCGGAGGTATGAACGCCCTGGCGATAGGGGGGACCCGGGGTGAGGATGGATCCCGATGAGCAACGGTGGACGGCTCGGATCGGTCACCGTGGGGGAGGCAGCCCAGAGGCAGGTGGTGTCACGATTCGAGGGACAATAACCTGCCGACGATGGGGACCAACACCGGGCTGTAGAATTCACGTAAACTGGACGTTCGCTCCACTGACTGCCCCCCTTAAATCGAGGCTTAAGACACAACTTAATTTTCAGGGCTTTTCCCATTTTCTAAATTCTTTATTTTGATCTTCTTGGTTCTTTCGGTAAAGTCACGTAGAATGGAAGTAATAAAGTAATAAATAAAAAACATAAAAAAATTATTTAAAAAAAATAATTATTTTATAATGTTAAATTTTTATTATTTTATTATTTCCATTCTACGTGACTTTACCGAAAGAACTAAGAAGATGAATCCCTGCAGTCACGAAAGCTTTAAATCGAAACCTTTATTTTGACTTTGTATTTTATTGGTGTGAGCCTGCACGTGTATGTGTGTGTGTCATTGTGTGTGTGTGTCATTGTGTGTGTGTGTTCTGAGTGGGAAGCGGTGGTGTAGCGGTGAGCGCTCCGCTGCGCTAAGAACTCGGCTTCCGAGTTCGATTCCCGTTCACGGCCAAAATCAGTCACGATTATCTGAACCGGTCCTGCGCCTCCCCTAGGTCGACTCAGCCCCAAAATGAGTACGTGGTGCGGTGTGTAAACATCGCCACTAGGGAGACAAAGGCGGCCGGGCGTGGTGTTAGCCACCCACTCCAATCGTGTGTCGTGCCGGCCTTTATAGGTGCTCGCTAACAGCACTTGTCACAACAGTCTGTTCAGGCTATACGGGGGATCTTTATCTTTTTTGAGTAAATTATGTTGTACTCTTTGGTTCTTTCGGTAAAGTCACGGAGGTAGAAAAATAATCGATCACGACGTTTCGATCGCAACACAAGCAATCGTCATCAGGTGGGACGACCACCGCAAGTAAAAAAACTGCTGAAGTAGCCTACTTATCTATTATTTGTCTACCCACGTGACTTCACCGACAGAACCAAAGAGTATGGATTCCTGCAGTCACGAAAGCTTCAAATCAAGATTAAATTACGCCGTGTTATTATTAGTAAAGTGCAGGCGCAGGGCCGAGCTGGTGCGAGATAACGCCACCGACAACGACCCCGGCCCGTCGAGACGACCCCACGGGATCACGGCAGCGAAGGGAGCCGCGGGACCCCTCGGGGCCGGCGTCAGTGGCCAGAGGGTCACGCGCTCACAAAACCGCAGTGGGCAGCGGGGTTGGCAGTGGGGTGGAAGTAGGGGGCAGGCGGGCAGCACGTGACTGGCAACAACCACGTTGACCAAGCACCTGCATTTTAGCACCTTCAAGGGTTTTTTTTGGTTCAACCTTAGCCCAGAGCGCACGATGTATATAACAATTCAACGAGGTTGTTAAACCTGCCATACCACTTCTGTGCAAAGTGAGCAGCAGTTGTTTTTTCGAATGACTGACTCCCAACCGTAGCAATTTGTATTTTCCCCGCCCGCCTAAAAAGCTGCAATTGAGATGAGAACCAGGTCGCGCTTGTTTCAGCAGTGTAACAATTTTGTTAATGTAACTATGCACACGTGCACGGCGCAAGCCTGAACAGGCGCTCGCTTTCAGCACTTGACCCCAAGTAGTGTGTTAAAGACTTCTACTTCGATGGGTCTTCGTATCCTTGTTGAGTATTGCTCCATTGCCGAGGTTCACTCAACCTGAAACAAATCCGTATCCAAGTGAAGAGACCTTCGTATGTCTCTCCACGCATCGCCGAATGGGATCTTCCAGAATCATGTTGCTGCTTGTGTTGTGGTTATTGCAAACATGATCCCTTGTAAAATTTTGATTTAAAGCTTTCGTGACTGCAGGGATTCATATTATTGGTTCTTTTGGTAAAGTCACGTAGAAGGGAAATAATAAAATAATATACATATAAAACAATAAAAATCCTCACAATTTTTGTTCTCACAATTTTTGTGAGAATTTTTATTGTTTTATATTTATATTATTTTATTATTTCCCTTCTACGTGACTTCACCGAAAGAACCAAGAATATGATCCCTTGTATAAAGGTGTCAGTTTTTGTACCAGTTGAAAGGGTAAAAACCTATTACTATTATTTGGAAGAGTTAGGCCCGACCGGTTTGCGTCACCTGAGTCTCATCGGCATTTATTTGTGCAGAGACGAGCGGGGATGGGGCTATTCATGCCGATTTATTTACGCACCCATAATGCTCCACACCAAATACCACCTCGTGCCAATGTACGACCATGGTGACCTTAATAGGCACTCGCTAAATCGCCGGTCGCCTTCACGCGAGGACATCGTCACCACTTACCTGGCGTGTTCGTGTCACGCTAAAGAAAAGGTCCCGTATGGCTGTGGGGCCGACTACTCATGCGCCGTGCCAGCATTAACAGATGCTCACTAACAGCATTTGCCCCATCAGTCTATGTAGGCTACATGAACGTTTTTTTTGTATTGGTGTTGGTTATGCCCAATGGAGTGTGTAATACAAGGCTCCGCGTTTCACGTGGGATTAGGGCTCCAATGCTGAACGTTTATAAACAGGATGCTGTTTTTTGCATGAATTATTTATAGGGTATCCATGCAGCTCTGTACAGTGAGCTGATTACGGTTCCATAAAATACATTTTCCGGATGATTTTTCTGGACATTAGCGGCTAATGCACCTATACGAATAACAGCCGCTTTAAAAAATAATGGTGCCATATATGGCCCTCGCTGTAGACATTACATTTTCACGGACTCTGCTCACATCACGAAGGGCAGCTACCCACAAAATTGCTCCGGCAAACCACACTGCGTGCTTCACGCCAACAAAATGTCCCGCTGAGCCCCTGCCACATTTAACCCCGCAGTCGCCGCCGTGTGCGTGCGGAACGCGTGCGGAACATCGCAGAGAGATGGACTCGTGGGGCTCATGATGGCTTTGTCAGCGCACCGAGCCAATGCCAGTGTCATTGGGGAAGCGTTAATTACAATGTGATAGAGAACTTTCAGTGATGTCTCTTAATTTGTATTGCCAGACACGCACATTGTGGCAGGCAGGCAGTCGCACGGCAGACAGCCACATGGACGGACAGATAAGAAAACAGACAGGCAGGCAGGCATACAGACAAATTAAGAGACAAATTAAGAGACAGAGATGAAGATAGGCAGACAAACACATTGACAGAAAGACACAACTAAAGGCAGACAGATACATCGACCGATATTTGCAAAGACAGGGGAGCGGGCAGAAGGGCAGTACAGTGGTGAATAGTAAAGCAGGATGACAATACATCACGTATTATTATCATGAAGGGTCTATAGTCAATGCGTAAAAGACAAATTTCCCCATGTAGCCTTCAACAGTGGACCACAATGCAGTTCTTCAAGAACTCCTAATGGGCTTTTGCATAATGCACAAAGGCTGAGTGCTTTTTCCACATTGTTGTGTCGTTTCAAGCTCGTGGTTTTCCGGCTCCTGCGACGATTCTGCTATAATGGGTTTTTTCCTCTCTCGTGATATTCAGATCTTATTCATTTAACAGGCTGTTGGAGAGAACGTTTTTTGACGAGCAAACGGTGGACCGCCTTTGTTTCCCCGGTCCTGATATACTCGTTTAAGGCTGAGTTGACCTAGGAGAGGCCCAGGAGGAATCCTGACA